CTCAACGGTCGGCTATGCTTACTCACCCTTCGAGACGCCGTGGTAGTCGGGGCCGGAGCGGGCTGCTCGCTGCTTACTCCGCTGCGCACCGCTCAACGGTCGGCTATGCTTACTCACCCTTCGAGACGCCGTGGTAGTCGAGGCCGGCGCGGGCTGCTCGCTGCTTACTTCGCTGCTCACCGCTCAGCAGTCGGCCGCGCTCACTCACCCTTCGAGACGCCGTGGTAGTCGAGGCCGGCGCGGGCTGCTCGCTGCTTACTCCGCTGCTCACCGCTCAGCAGTCGGCCGCGCTCACTCACCCTTCGAGACGCCGTGGTAGTCGAGGCCGGCGCGGGCTGCTCGCTGCTTACGCCGCTGCTCACCGCTCAGCAGTCGACCGCGCTCACTCACCCTTCGAGACGCCGTGGTAGTCGAGGCCGGCGCGGGCTGCTCGCTGCTTACGCCGCTGCTCACCGCTCAGCAGTCGACCGCGCTCACTCACCCTTCGAGACGCCGTGGTAGTCGAGGCCGGCGCGGGCCGAGCCGTCGCGCGTGTACAGCCGGGTGACGGCCGTCTGGCTGAGGTCTCCCAAGCGGACCACGGCCACCCGCACCGACGCTGGCTCGTCGGGGCCTAGCGGCTCGGTCACGCGCAGCCGGGCCGACTCCAGCTTGATCAGCGGCCCTGAAGGCGGTATGGGGCACGGTGTCGGGGCAAGGTCGCCACGGCAGGCGCCGTGCCGTCTCACGCGAGGGCGACCATGACCAACGGCAACATCACCTTTGTTTAACTTCGTCAGTGCCGTCATTGACATCGTTTGTTTAAACAAGGATGAATTCTCAACACGCTGGTGTCTCTCGCGAGACGCATTTGCTGGATGATATTTATGCATGGATGTATGATGTGTGGATATGGCTTGACATGAAGCCCTTGTGACATGACGGGGATTAAGGTGGATAAGGCATAACGATCGGAGATAGTCGACGAACCGTCTGAGGACCCACGTCACTGCAGAAAAGATAACTAGGTCGTTGATCAGATAAAACAAATCCGGTGATCGATGCAGAAAGCCAGATGTGTACGCTCGATGACGGCACTCTTGTTGACAGCCCTGCTTGCTGCACCCTGATGCAATGCGCAAGGTCGGGCGAGTAGGCCTGGGCCATTTTTGAGGGGTCATGCTTGAAGTCATAAGGTGATATGATGCAAGGAGGAAATTTTCACCATGACGCTATGTAGTCAATTAAGTTGCAAAACAGCCCACTGATTCATTGTTGGCCCATGCGTAATATGATGGCCTCCATAGTCAAACACAGCAACGACTATATTTGAAACAAAATACACGTGTCAAGTTATATCGAACACCAAAGGATATATATGCATGTGCAACGTGAGGGGAATGGTGCATACGTCAGAAAAAGTCAACACATTAACGTTGACAGTATAGTTTTTCATGGTGTGAAGCGTGCCTCAAATGTGCAGATCTCCCGGGAGTACTGAACCAGTAACGTTGGAGCTCCCCTGCCTGTGGATTTATACGCGAAGTAGCCTTATCACCAGAGACTGATAAGAAACGATGGGCTTACAGGAGCTGCGGTGAAAATTAAAAGGTATCCGTACCTCATACTAACCGCGTTACAGCATGAGAAAACGGGGCAAAAGCACTATCTGAAATGTTGTAGGACCATTCCGTTTCATTGTAGCGGAAAAGGACCCAGAACGCGAAAACGCGGAAAACTCAGAGGACTCAAGGTGACTCAAGGACTCCAAAGCTAGGACGCACTTTGAAGTAAGATTGTTCTACACAGGAAGGTAAAAAAAGAAACGTTCAGGAACAAGTTATTCTGGGCGGTCGACCTCACCCGGGGCCCAAGTCTCACCGAACACAAACTACGACCAGTCTGGAGATCTGTGGGGTTAGGGCTGGTTGGACGAAGGCTACGAAGTAGTTGTATGAATGGGACAGACCCACAACGGGTGCAGGACACTCGGAATGCACGCTGGAGGCCAGGATCATCGGACAAGCCGCCACCGAATGAAGCGCAGTCGACAACATGGAACCAAACTGGCGGCATGGCAATCACCGCCCCGACGAACGCCAGCCGTCACCACACACTCCGCTCACAGCTCTGCTCCGTCATTCCGGCGGGCTCACGCCGGTCCGGGGCCGTCCACACCGGGCAGCACGGGCGATAGACGTCGCCGGGGGCGGGCGGGCAGCGCCGGTAAGTCCAAGCACGACCCTGCGCTGAGCCGCGTTGTACTGCACGGACAGAGCAGCGGAGAGTGGCGAGAGCGGTCGGTGACGAGTTGCGTCACCGCCGTCCGGTGCTCACGGCTGCTGTGTGGCGACGGCTGGCCCAGCGCCTCGTGCTCGAGGGCCGTGAGTGAGCGTTTAGCGAGCCAGTTAGCCCGCTTGAGAGGCTCTGGCCGCGCCCTCCCCAGAGCCGCAATCTCAGCACTCTGCGGCGTTGGCTCGTGAGCGGGGAACGCGCCGACCATCACCTCCTGTGCTCCCACTCCCGTAAACCGCGTGGATAGGGTCAGCGCCCCTCCCCCCCCTCCGGAGGCGCGCGATAACCAGGACCCGGCGGCAGATCGGCCGGCGTGTCATGTCCGCGGCTGACCCCCCTCCCCCCTGCACGGCCCCGGGGCACGGCCGGGACTAGGCCCGGGGCGAGACCAGCCGAGGGGACACACGGGGATCTTTTGACGTGGTGCGCCGGGTTGAAACCAGCCAAGGTGCTCTGAGGAAGTACGTGGGCCGCCCTGGCGGCTGGAGCCGCCTTCGATTTCCAGTCGTCATCGTTTTTCACCTCTATCCTGAAAGGTACCGACCACGGGTGGGGGTGTGGGACTTTTAACCGATGATTCTACAAGCGTCAAAAATGACTCCACAGTCTACACTGCTAGCTGCGACCTCCCAGGTCCGGAGACGACGTCATGTGGGTCTCCGATTCGGTGCAGCAGCCACGAACATGACACCGAGATGGCCGTCCACCTCACTCCTCCATCACCTTCACCAGAGCTAGCCTCAGCAGCATCAGCACCGTTACCGCCGTCATCACCGGCATCATCGCCAACATCGCCACCAGCATCACGACCGGCATCATCACCACCCTCGTCACCACCATGACGTCCCGGTGGCGCTGACTTACGATCGGCAGCGTCCCGCACGGTGACCTCGGTGGAGTTGCGCGATCCGAGGCGGGCCGCGCCGGCCTCCAGCGACGGCAGGCCCAGCACCAGCCGAAACGTCTCCGGCGGCTCGTGGCTGTAGTCGTTCACCAGGATCACCGAACACGGCTTCTCGATCTCGCCTGCGGGCGACCGCGCGACGTCAGGCAGTCGGGGGCGGGCAGGGAACGAGACACTACCGGGATCATTGTCGGATTGCCAGGCTGCTTAAAGGCGGCAAGAGGTGTCATAAGACCCCGAGTCATCTAATGCCGTTTTATGAATGAATCAGACCTACAAATGACGTGCTTGTGACTCATACAAGCGCGCGATTTGACGCCGTAGCGTCTCGTCGGAGTCACTACTGAACATGCTGGTTTCAAGTTTGGTCATCACACGCCAAGTGATAAAAGCAGGGCCGGTGAAGACTGAAAGTCTCGGGTCTCTCACGGCGCAGTCTGTAATCAATGTATGCAGGACTGGTTGCAGCACCACGAACAAAACATGAAGCTCACAGCCCCAAAATGATTTCCCCTGATCTGCGCCATTTCGCCAGATCTGCACCACATCGCCATATCACGCGCGGCATGTCACACACGGCTGACGTCAGCACACCATATCACGCGCGATGGCTTGATCATACAGGTGTGCATGAGATCATCTGCGTGTGGCGGTGAAGGTAGTAAGACGATTTGTATATCGGAGCGAAGCTAGTCGGCATGGAGAGGCTTCGCTTATCGCGTGATACGGGGCTAACAGAACGCGCCGCTACTCGTCACACGTAAGCCTAGCGCCCCAATCTATTACTTACAGATAAAGCGGGGGTCTGCCTGATATGACGCATATCGTGTTGGGCGAAGTCACTTACTCAGGGCCCCGAAACTAAATGTGGACGAACATGCGGGCGTGGAATCTGGCGTTAAAATAATAAAGCAGAAGCGACAAAATAAGTATCTACGGGACAAATGCTCTCGAAGATGGAGGAGCTATAGGTATGGTATACTCTTGATGTGGCAAGCAAGCAAGCAAAATGCAAAGTCAGTGAACTGAAGTCATGTCAGTGTTTGCTATTTTTCATAAATGATGTAAATATGCAAGCATTTTTGTGTAGTTTTTGGTGCCTCTATACCAGATTAAGAGAACTAACTCAAATGCTCAACCACTATGTGACCAAAAAGCACATGGCCATCCAAGGTTATCCAAGGTCATTGGCCTATGTGGCCAGAAGTGATGGACTATATGACCGAGTGTGACGTACGTAACCACCTTCTTACCGCGTCCGTGAAGTTGATGACGTATCATTTCATACACCAATGTGCCTATTCTCAGTTCGTTACAAATACTTTGCCAGGCGTCGAAGGGACTATGCATAATGTAGTTGTGCAATAGTGCGATCTTGAGTACCTGCAGGTGTACAATACACTAGTTCTGACCACAGAACAGCAATGTGCTCGTCACGTAGACCCACATAGCACCTCAATTTTTCACTTGGATGGTATAAACTTAACCTATGTTGACCTCAGATGACCTTTAGGACGGAATAAAATGGTGTTATGTCTGAAATACTGCTGTCCCGCAGATGCACCCGATACAATAAACTTAGTCGGAAGCGCATTGCAAAACATGTATCGTTCTTGTAGGCTGCTGGTAGACCAACTCTGAACGGTGACCTAATCTGACCTGACCCCTGTGGGGAAACGGAAATGGTCAGAATGGACTCCCCACAGTCTTAACACTTATTTCAGTGTCCTCAATATCTGTTTTGACGTGTTGACGTAGGTTTTAACTGAATCTTTCGGAACAGCCGTTTTGACCTTCCGTAGCCTCTGGTGGCCCTACATTTGACCCAAGATAAAAGTTCGGTGCGAATTCTTCATGATTTGACGAGACCCTCGCAGCGTTTTGTTTTTCTCATACAGCGTTTAAAAGTTGAAGATCCCAGAGGAGGAATTCAACTTCTCTCCCCCCCCCCCCCCCCGACCGGGCACGGTTGCCTGAGACTCCCGGCCGAACGCGCGTCAATGAACGCTCAGGGACCACCTTTCAAAAATTTAATCCTAACCCTTTGAATGGGTGGATTTCTGGGATCAGAGTCACGCTAAGTATTGCTTGTTGTATGAGCTCTGACACCTACCATCCGATCGCGCAATTCTAGGTCAACGACAGAATTTGGTGGCAGAAGTTTAAAGTTCTTCAATGCCCAGCACGATCCGTCCTGCCCTCTGATGTCATCTGACCTTTATCGCGGCCGCTGCTACGGACCGCAGGCCTTGCCTGTCGAGGATAAACAGCGAGCGACTAAAGCGACTCGAATTTCCCCGACAGGGTTGGGTGAATCGGGAGGCAGACGCTCTAACCATCCGAGTCATCGAGGCGGACAACTATGTCATAGGTTTTATCGTGACACAACGAGCACCCTGTCAGACACCAATCGGTGACTCAGGTAAGGCCAGGGGCGCAGAGTAGGTCAGCCCCTGTAGGCTGGGCAGGGTGGCGGTCCACGCGCTACCCTAACCCAGGTGACGACGGCAGCACCGGCAGTGCGCCCCCCAACTCGGTGGCGAGAGTGGTCCAAATCCGGGTGTGAATTCGTATTTTGGTGTATTTCTAGGATAGATTTCAGCATTTCCATTGCATAGCCCTTCACCCCCCCCCCTCCACCCCCACCCAACTCATTTTGCGAAACTATGCCCATAGTAATGAGAAGGCAAGGCAACCCTGGCGCAAACTCAAAGTACATGCATCTTATCTTCGACAGCCTCTTACCAAAACATGGACAACAGCTGCATAGGCCTAAATAATATCACGCCTGGTGTATTAGTAGCTTCACAAGGTTTTCGCCAGTTAACTCGCCTACCACCGTGAGCTGTTATGGAGTCCTGATCAGAATTGGAGATGTTTGACTGTAAGACATGTACGCGTCACACACCGAAATCTTTCCTTGTCATCGCTGGAACTCGAAGCCGTTTTTTTATACAGTCCAGTGCTCCACCCGAGGTCCGTTACGACGGGTGTGTTAAACAAAAGATATTGGAGGCCGAGCTGCACGCGTGTAAAGCTATCGCTAAAAGCGTCGACTCGTGAATGGATATCGTCAATTGAACCACGCCGTTCGAGGTGCGTTCGATGCAACCCCGATCGGCAGAACATGGAAATAATTATACGGCGAGCGTTGGCGCACCGAAGATTGGATCAAGGCTATCTAACGAGGTAGAACCGTCGGATCCGAAAAAAGTAGCAACATCGTTACAGCCTTACGTACGCAACATTGGAACAAGGCTATCAATCTCCAGGAGGCTATTGGAATATCCTCCTGGGTTTTCATCGCGGACATTTAAAAAATAAAGTTTGGGTAGTGTCACGCCGCCAACCAGATACTTATCAACCTATGCATGACCTATTTTAAACGGAATGTTGATAAATCCCAAAATTACAACGGCAAATGACACTGAAGGGTATTTTCTTAGAAAGTATGGAATGAGCGAACTTGTCATCATTCGAGACAGGGTACGCTGAGTCTTAAGATCTCTGACGTCAAAGGAAAACGCCGTCAATGGCCGGACGAAAGCCGGCAAGACGTCGCCTCCAAGATTTTCCCATGTGTGCAAAGTGGACTGATCCATGCGATCAGAATGTCAGTGGTTGAGCTGCTCAGCCAATGAGCGAGTCTCATAGCTTCCTGGTACTGGGAAAAATAATGATGCTGCAGGCATGCCACAGCGACCATGTCCACCTGGGTAAGCTCCGATTCCTGCAAGTCGACTCATTGATTTCCCGTCCACTCCTGTTTTTGTTGTCCCTTGTGACGTCACTGGCGTTGCTATCGGCTGCTGCCGGCGGTCAGGTATGCTCGCCGCGGTCAACAATAGCACTCCGGCCCGGCGTCATCGGCGGGGCGCAAGACCGCCGCGGAAAGCTCCTGAGCGATCAGGAGTGCTCGACAGGCTGACGTATAGGACCCCAGCCAGAGAAGAGGGCACTTTTAGCAAAGCGGCCGGTGTGCGCTCACGCACCCAAGACCAGTGCGCGTGAATGAATGGCCTGTGCAATCAAGAGTGCCCGTGGAGGTAAACGGAAGGCCAAATTGAGAATGAAGGGTTGTGCGCAAACGGGACCAAAGGGAAAGAGCCCGCGATCAATGTAGAGGGCCCCTGAGCATCGAGTGGCTCAGTGCCTTCCTTATATTGCCCCTAACAACAGCACAAGGCCCTCCGAGCAAGTGAAAGGAACTCGAGACCAATATGAAGAGCCCCTGAGGAACTGAGTGTCTCCGGCATATGGGGCCCCAACAAAAGCGCATGGAGTCTTTCGGGCAAAGCGGAAAAACCCGTGGGGCTTCCTGATCGATCAAGAGTGCCCAGACGTGTGAACAGATAGCGCCCCAACAGCAGCGCAGGGCCCTGCGAGAAAATACACGGACTTCAAAGGTTATGTGGAAAGCTCCTTTGCCACCAGATTGTCCTGGCAAGTAGACATATAGGGCACCGACAACGGCGTGACGCCTCTAGACAGCGTAATGAGTTTGTCTGCTCACGGGCTTCACTTTCGCTTGCGGCTGTTCTTGGTCGTCTGGAGGCCCAAAGACGTCCAATTTTGTTGTATTTTGTGTTTAAAAGCTGCGTCTGTTGGCCCGGTCATCAACCCCCTCAGAGCCTATGGCTCCCCGAGAGGCACAAGGGGCGAGCACGGTTCGGTGTCTCCCTCTTCCGGATCCACCATTGGCTCGAGCAGTCTGATAAATGGTGCCCAGACAAGTACATGGGGTCATCCATTCAGATAAGAAGCACCCAAGGCACGGTATTGAGAGCCCAGGAATGATCAAGTGTGCCCGAGAGGGCTAACAGATGAGGCGTCCCTGACAAGAGCGTAGGACGCTCCATTCAAATAATAAATACCCACGACACAATGAGAAGAGCCCCCAAATGATCCAGTGCACCCGAGCAGGTTAACAGATTTGGCCCCCAACAAGAGCGTGGGACCATCTATTCAAATAAGAAGTACTTAAGACCCAATGTAGATGACCCCAAGCGATCAAGTGTGTCAGAGCAGGTTATTAAAAGGGGCCCCGACAAGAGCGTAGAGCCCTCCATCCAAATAAGAATTACCCAAGACCCAGGGTGGAGGGCTCCCGAAAGATCGAATGTACCCGTGCAGGCTATCAGATGGCCCCTGACAGGGACGTAGGGCCCTGTATTCGAATACCAGGACCCAATGTGCAGGACCCTCAAACGATCTGGCGTGCCCGAACAGGTAAGAAGATAGTGACCCCGATAAGACAAAACAGGGCCCTCCATTTAAATAGGAAATACCCAAGGCCCAATTTGGACGGCTCCGAAGGACCAAGTGAGCACGAGTAGGTTGACGGATGGGCCCCAGACAAAAGCGTAGAGCCTTATGCAAAAAACAGAAAATTGGAAGGATCCTAGACCAATGCAAAGGTCCCATGAGCATATCGTGAGTGTGCCGAGAGGTTAACCGTGACCAGCGTTAGGGGCCCCTGAACAAAAAAGAAAACCCCGGCATGTCAACATGTGAGGCCCTCTGGTTCTAACGTATAGAGCGTTTCGGGCGAATGGGAAAAATCCGTGGCAGGTGCTTGATTGCTAAAGAGTGCCCCAGCACGCTAGCAGGAAGGGCCGCAGCAACAGCGCAGGGCCCTTCGAGCAAATACAAAGAAATCAAGAGGAGCGCAGACGGCTCTTTAACGATCAGGTTGACCCAACAAGCGGACATATAGGGCTCCCGGAAACAGCGTAGGATCTCTGAACAGCGTAAGCAATCTTAGAACCTCCCAATCACTACCGCTTAACCAGTGAAGACTAATTTTTGTCTGCTCGTGTGCCCTTACTTCCGCTCGCAACTGCTACCGGTCACCTGAAAGCCCAAGGACGACCAATACTGTTGCGTGCTGTGTACAAAAACTGCTTCTGCTCGGCCGGCTATGAGGCCCCCTCAGAGTCGGTGGGCCTCTTCGGGACCCAGGCGGAGGGGAGCATGGCCCCGTGGCACCCTCTCTGAATCCGCCCCTAGTGCGGCGTGTGAGGTGTGCCCCTCAAGCACGCTGCTCCGAGGCGGAAATGGCACATGAACAACAATCGCGTGGAACACGAGGGCACAATCGGCCGGAATGGCCCACGCAGCTTCATTTACTTAGCCTCCCAATGTTGGTTTTTGGAGAGGCGTTGCTTTTTTGCCAACAGATTGCTGCCGGTGAACGCGAGCGCAGTTTTCCGCAGTGCACTTCCTTTTGCCAGTGAGCGCAACTGAAGGTATCCAACAGTAGACGGCAGCCCAGTCTGACATCACAGCCGACGCTAACGGCGACACGCCAGTCCTGACCTGGCCCGAACTCCAGGCGGCTGGCATCGGTGTCAGGCCGCTCGTCGAAGTCGGCACCGGCCGCCGCGCTGCCCTGCCGCGTGAAGCAGCGCACCGATGACGTCATGCTGACGTCACCGCGCCGCACCACGTAGGCTGTCACCAGGTCGTCCTCTTCGAGACCCTCGTACGTCGCCTCGGCGAACTCGTGCACGGGCACTGCCGGCGAGACGGCGATGCAGTGAGGACGCGACGGAGCCAGCGACGGCGACGGCGGGGCGACACCGACGCATTGGCTGCCTGGGCCCGACACTGGTGGTATGGGGGCGGCAAAGGGACAGTTGCTCACTACCAACGCCTTCTTATCAAGAATCAAACACTCACGGTCGGAGACGGAGTCATCGATGGTGACGTTGAGCACGTGAGGCCGGCCGAACGTGCTGTTGAGCGCGCGGGGCGGCCCGAGCGAGCCGTTCACGGGCAGCCGCAGCAGCAGCTGGAGTCGCTCCGGGCCCTCCAGCCGCGCCAGGCCCGCGTCGTCCAGCACCGTCAGATTCAGAGAGGCCTCCGTCTGGCCCGGCCCGAACACGAGCGTCACGCCCAGGCCTCGGTAGTCCTCGCCGGCTGTCGGAGGCGACGCATGTCAGGGGCGATGCTGCAGCGCGGCACGCGCCGGCTGGCACGGGCATCGCAGACATACCTGTCGGTCACTCAGGAGAGGTAAGAAGGTTTTTGAAACACCTATATCATTCTTCATGATGCTTTTTTCCCATCATTTTACAAAAAACCAACGAAACAAACCCAAATCCACGGCGGGCAACTATGAACGGCTTGCTAGTTTAAGGAAGCTAAAACAAAGATCATGTCCAGCTGTATAATTTGGCGTGGAGAAACTGCCGGGGGAGACGTCTCACCGGTGGCCCGGGGTGGTGGTCCCGGTCGCGAGGTCACGGTCACCGATGACGACCCGGTCAGATCGGTTCCAGCTCGGTAGACAGTCACGGACACTGCTCCAACGCTCTCGTCGACATCTAGCGTCGGCTCGCCGAAGTAGAAGTACGGCGCTATGCGGGAGCAGAGAGTGACACCATCGGAAGATAAGCGGACGATTATTTTAGCCGAACACGGAATACTACCAATATGTTGAACTGAATGATGCAGATATGTGTCAGCGGTATACAAATACAAATCAGATGAATGCAAAACATATTAACGGCAGCCGCATAGTCCACAGCGACGCATGCAGCACCAGTCACGGGAAAATGACTTTACGAGACCCCATTGTCCAGCACGCCTCACAGCCCATGCGACCGGTAGACCGGGTCTGCTCACCGTCGTCGTTGTCGCTAAAGATGGCGACGCGTGCGGCGCGGTGGCCACGCCCGGAGAGCCGGCCGCCGCGTGGCTCGCGCAGCTCCAGCCAGAATGTCTCCTCCGGCTCGAAGAGGGCGTCATCCACCAACTGGACGGCGCAGGCGGCGGCGCTCTGGCCGGGCTCGAGACGCAGCCGGCTGGCCGCCTCCCCCGGCCGCCGAGAGACGTAATCGGAGAGCGACAGCACGGCACCGTCCGGCGTACCACGCGCCGTGTCTGTCGCGGCGCAGGGCGTGGTTAGGATACACCACCGGCACGGGGCGTGATCAGGACACATCGCTGGCACGGGGCGTGATCAGGACACACCACCGGCACGGGGCGTGGTCAGGACACACCACCGGCACGGGGCGTGATCAGGACACACCACCGGCGCGGGGCGTGGTCAGGACACACCACCGGCGTGGGGCGTGATCAGGACACACCACCGGCGTGGGGCGTGATCAGGACACACCACCGGCGCGGGGCGTGGTCAGGACACACCACCGGCACGGGGCGTGATCAGGACACACCACCGGCGTGGGGCGTGATCAGGATACACCGCCGGCACGTGGCTTATTCAGGTACCCCAACGGCGCCGGACGTGGTCAGGACACATCGCTGGCACGGGGCGTGATCAGGATACACCGCCGGCGCGGGACGTAGTCAGGACACATCGCTGGCACAGGGCGTGGTCAGGACATACCACCGGCACGTGGCTTACTCAGGTACGCCAACGGCGCCGGACGTGGTCAGGACACACCGCTAGCGGCGTAGATATATATGTTTGTTCATGCTACAGCACTACTCCCAGGAGCAGTGAGCGAGCTGTAAAGCTGGGTGTCGTCTGAGCACCAAATCTGTCGCCATGGCTTTAAGGCAGTCCAAAAGCAGTTGCAAAGCATTAGCTGATGTTTCTACTCATGTCTTGAAGAGCCGTCCCTGGCGTGGCTCGTTAAGTCTCCTGATCGCGTACCATTCTTGGTGAGGCAGAGGACGGTGAGCTCCTGACTGAGGTCTCCGGACCGCTCCACCATCACCTCCAGCAGGCCGACGCTCTCCTCCACGCGGTACTCCGGCACCGGGAAGAACACCACCGACTCTGCCGGAGCGTGCAAGGGCGTGAAGCGGGCGACCTCTGTTGACCACCTCGGAGGCCCGGCACCGTACTCCAAGACGTGCTGCTATATGCAGTCCACGTCACGTGGCCCAACCCTGACTGGCCGAGACCGATCACGTGACGGTCGGCCGTCAGCCCTGGAGACGGGTCGTGCTCACCACAGGCGAGTACAGCACTCATGGCTCCCTCTCCTTTCTCACCGTCCTCCGGGTCCACGATGACCACCTCGGCGGCGGCCGGCGGCGCCACCAGCGCCTCCACCGGCCGCTCCAGGTGCAGCCGTAGAGTCTCGGCGCCCTCGAAGCGCGCGTCATCCCGCAGCCGCAGCCGCCAGGTGGCGCGGCTCTGGCCGGGCGAGAACTGCACCTGGTCAGCGTAGGTGGCGCTGCAGTCGGCGCCCACACCAGCCGTACCGTTCTCGACGACCACCGCTGCAACAGGCGCCCCAGTGACCACCGACGGCACGGTGTGGGCTCGCAGGCAGACACTGCTCGGCTGTGACACTGGATTCCTGCAAGGGTGGGGTGCGGACGGCGCCATGCAGCATCAACAGCTGATTGCGTTGCAAAGCCCCAATGACACTCCACAGGCTGGTAGTATCTCTCATTGGTATGGCCAAAAATGTGAGAATTTGTCGTCCAAGCACCAAAATTTCATTCACTACGCCCTTCGATGCGGATAATTACGCATGTGGAGGAGCACTTGCATTAATTTCCGCTGCTTCGTTTGGCGAGTAAACAGTGATAACGAGGCGGACGCCGAAAGCTCTCACAGACGAACGAAGTCTCCCCGAGGTATCCGGTGCGATTCAGCTGAACTTCCAGGTGCGCCGCCGTCTCGTTGACGCGGTAGTGGGCGGCGCCGAGGGACACCCACGACCAGGTCAGGCTGAAGGTCAGGCCACGTACGTTGTTTCCGGCTGACGGCAGATGGCGGAACGTCACAAGAGGAACTGTCTGAGTCTGAGGGTTACACAGGCGGAGCTGGGCCTGCGCAGACCGTGGCCATTCCTACCAGCATCTGACAGTCGCTTCGTCATTACGTAATAATGTTTACAGTAGAAACGAGCATGTCGAGAAAATGTACTAGGTGAAAAAATGCAGAACATTATGGAGATAGACCCAAGCGTACGGACGCTTGCTAAAAACACAAGAACAAAATACTAGTCCACAGGCCCAAATACCTGGACCATCTACCGTTCGTCACTCTGTGCCCTGAGGACAAACAGCATTCGCTCCCAGCCTGCCCCTCCTCCTGCGTTGTGGAACACATGTCCCGGCCCCCGCGTACTGGCAGGGGATCAGCGCGCGCGCCCGCCCTTCCTCTCGCCTCAGCCGCCGCGAGCAGGCCGCCGCGCCGCCCTCGCCGCCGGTGCGCCGCAAACGGCCGCATTATGCACCAGGCTCGAGCGGCGGCGATTTGTCGGCATGGCGCCGCACGTGGCGACGCGGTGATGGATCGAGCGGCCCCGCCCCCGTGTGGGACGCCGGCACGAACGGTGGGGGCCGGCGCAGGAGATCCGGCACAGATAGACGGTAAGTACCGCAGGTGGATGGTAATGGTTCGCGGTTCGAATATCATTGGCCCCGAGTGGCGATGTTGTGCGCGACGTTGGTCGGCGCCCCGGCCGCTGGGGCGGGTGAGACGCCGTGTCCGTGGGGAGACTCTCAGATATCATCTGAGGAGGTCCGTGGTGCGGAGAAGGCTGCCGATTCGCGACGAGAGCCTGACGTAAAACTCGCGACAAGGCGATGACGCCGATGGGAGGAAAATACAGTGAGACGCCTGCGACAGCTGCCGCCCCAGAATTGCTTGGAACGGGCGTGATTTTATGTTTTGATTGTCATGTGCTTGTTCCGGCCGCTATGACACACCCAGCTGTCGTCACATTATCCACTCGTGATATGTATTGCGGTGTACCCATCCGTTGATCAAATTTACGGAAAGGAAACCAAGCGACAGGGGAGTTTGTACCAAACGTTTTAAGGCCATTTAATTTCATTGGAGGCTTCTAAAGTGGAGATCGATGTTTATGTGCCATCGATACGATTTAAGTGTTCAGAGTTGTTCGACAAATATAGCTGATCAATACGCATGGTAATTTTGACAAACGGTATTGACCCGGGATTGCCTTCCCAATGCTGATCTAGTACCAAACGTGCCTAATCGTATTGAAATTGTCTCATTTCCTGAATGTAGCCATGACTATTAAGCGAGCGCTGGAATGGCAAATCGATGGACGCATTAGCATGATCGTCGCGCCATTCCTGTGGGTAATACTCGATATGTGCTTACCGTACGCAACACGTCCGGTCCGATGACGTGAACAGCTTTAGTATGCATCGTTTGGTTTTATCGCTTTGCATTATATAAGCTAAACGTTTTGGCTGAGTTGTTTACTCTTATCATGGAAACAATTCCACGCACAGATCCAAGATCCTGTTCACATCAATATCTGATTAAATGACAGAGTGGGATCAGCATCGTCAGATTCTCTGCTCTGCTCAGCTAATCAGCCAGTTTATTCGACTAAATCTATAACAGACTATCAGTGATACGGTCTCATGACATTTAAGGAAGCGTTGCTCACATGCCTGATCCCACGATTCCAAGTCCCTGCATGCCGACCAGGTCCGGTTCACACCTGGTTCTCTCTCCACGTCAACAGCACCGGCCCCGGCACGTTACCTGGGTCTCGCACGCTGTAGACGAAGCTGTCACGTGACGTGGTGGCGTTGGCGTCCTCCGCCAGCAGGTACGCCAGCTCCTGCCGCTGCAGCTGGCCTGAGGACAGAGCGCAGCGCCCCGCGTCGTCAGGTGGCAGCTATGCGCGGAATGTCCGCCCAGAACCCGCCGCGCCGCACCGCCGCCCGCTAATTGTTTTCTCATTGTTTGTTTAGCGGCGGTGTTGCGGCGAGTGATCGATCCCACACCCGTTCACAATTGGTAATTCGGTTGTAGATGCGCCCCGGTCTGCAGAGATATCTGCATCTAAACTAGCTGGCGGCCGCGGCGGGTCGGAGGCGGGGGTGGGTCGGAGGTCAGGCCCTGCTGGCGGGTCTCGGCAGGGGTGAAGCCGAGCCCCGGCGCCGCTGGTGGGTCGGAGGTGACCTGCCACTGAGGTCAGGCCCCACTGGTAGGTAAGAGGAGGGCTGGGACGGAGGCCACACTCGTCGGTCACAGACGGACCGGGACGGAGGTCAGGCCCACTCATAGGTAAGAGGAGGGCTGGGACGGAGGCCACACTCGTCGGTCACAGACGGACCGGGACGGAGGTCAGGCCCACTCATAGGTAAGAGGAGGGCTGGGACGGAGGCCACGCTCGTCGGTCACAGACGGACCGGGACGGAGGTCAGGCCCCACTCATAGGTAAGAGGAGGGCTGGGACGGAGGCCACGCTCGTCGGTCACAGACGGACCGGGATGGAGGTCAGGCCCCACTGGTGACTCCCAGACGGACAGAGACAAAGTTTCAATTCCTCTCAAGGCCTGGACTGAAAGTTATGTCCCACTGGAGATTCACCCGCCCGCGTGGGACGAAAGCCATGTCGCGCTCACGGACCGTTGCGGGGACAGGGTCGGGACAGGGACAGGTCCCAGCGCTGGGTCAGAGCCGGAGCGGGACGGGAACGGCTCTCACGGAGGTCGGAATGTGCCGAGGTTGGATCGGTGTCTTCCTCGCCGTGCTGTCCCACTCTCGGTATCGCCACACCAGAGTCTTGCGTGATCATGAGTCACAAACCTTAAACGACCATTGACACGGCGTAGAGTTTGGCTGTGAGGTTTGCTGCTGGTGATTATTAATCGTTCACCGTGTGTCCGAGCTAAATCCAATAGACATGTGTTGTACCCACACATTACACTGAGTGAAAAGTCAGCAGGCAGTCGCAGGATTTATGAATTATCACAGGAAAGTTTCATTTCTCCTTGCCGTAATAAAAGTGAGCAGTTAACTCAGCAGAATAGCCTGCCAGAGAGAAATTAGCTATTACATTTGACGTTTCCCTTTATGACATTAAATTGCAACAACAGCTAAGTTGATCGGATTAAAACTGGGAGGCATGAATTACACCAAAAATGCAAGGTATATGACGTCAATTGAGCTGGCATCCACGAAAACGTATAACCATTTAAGGTTTCCAACACATAGCATAGTCATGGCAACGGACCAAGCACGAGTGAATGATTCCCGACATGATGATAAATTTGAACACGTCATGTACTTAGCCAGTTGACAGCCGACCGTCCTTCTACGGGGCTCCGGAAAACCATCTTCAGGATGCCATTGAAACAGGCATCTGCTCTGCCACACAAGTTCGCTAGACGCGGTTTCAAAGTCAGCGAACTACGCGAACGATTCTGAAAGCCGGCTCGATCGCCGCGACGCACGGCGGGCACCCGGTCCCCTCGGCTCCCGTCGCCCGGGCCGGCCGAAGACGGATGGGTGCGTGAGGCGTTCATTAATGCAGGCCGCCGGTGAGAAGCGACGGGGGCGGCGCGCGCACCTAGGGCGCGACAGGCCAACAACACCCGACAACCGATGGGTGGCGGCGAGCTCGGACACACCGCCGACCGGCGCGGCCGAGCCGGGCTCGGCCGGACACAGGCTCCGAGCCGGGCTCGGCCGGAGACGGGCCCCGAGCCGAGCTCGGCCAGAGACGGGCTCTGCGCCGGGCCCCGAGCCGGGCTGGCCGGAGACGGGCTCCGAGCCGGGCTCGACCGGAGACGGGCTCCGAGCCGAGCTTGGCAGGAGATGGGCTCCGAGCCGAGCTCAGCCGGAGGCGGGCCCCGAGCCGGGCCCCGAGCCGGGCTGGCCGCTCGGAGCCGCGTGGCCCGAGGTAAGCGGGATATTTTTAGAGGCCATTTGAATGCTCAGCCTCGCCAGCCGAGCTCCGCTGCCGCTGTGACAGCAAATGGGGTTCCAGCTACACTGATGGCAGCTTTTGCGCACAATCCGGCCCAACATATGGCTCGCTCGTCCAATTTTGCGTCAAAATGAAGCCAGAATAAATTTTCTTCCTCCTGTCTTAGATCGGCAGGAGTGCCACACACCTACAGCTGTTGGCAATATCAAGCACGGGTGCTGCAATACCAGTGGTGAAATCCTAGTTTGGATACACGAATTTCATTCTGAAACTGGATATGTGTAGCATGCGACAGCTGATACAAGCATGTGCGCTGTAGTGATGAAATGCAAGATGACGGCACTATGGTAACGGCAGCCGGTACTAAATCAGTACTGGCGGTACGCGCAAGAGCGGGCTCTGAGTCATGACCACTGCCGTGTCTAGAATATGATCGATCGTCCAGAACAGTGGCGGTGTGGTGATAACACCAGGTATTTATGCAGCCCTTCGTTTGCTGTCTTTGTATCTTGTGAACTAGACCTATCTCTCAGACAAGATTCTCTGAATTGATGAGATTCTGCACGATTCGGTCCAACGCTTGCTGCGTTCTCTCTGGCGTCTAGGATTCGCTGAATGCCAGGAAGCAATATCCCGCGCGTGATTTGCTTCATTAGCGGTGGCTGGCGATAAAAGAACGCCCCGCGCGGAGGCAACACGCGGCGAAGCACGCGGCGCCGCCCGAGATCAAACGGCCTGTCGGCGCGGTCGGCCCCGCCCGCTTGTAATGGGGTTGCCCGCTGCCACCACATTCCCCGGATTCGGGCGCCTGCGAACGATTGATTCGCAGTGAAATCGGGCCCCGGCGCGCGGCGCCATGTGTAATCATCCAGAAGCGCGATCACTAACGCGCCTCCGACGATCGCCGGCCGCCCGGGCCGGCCGCGAGCAATTACACCGGCGGGGTGTGATGCGATCAGAGAACCCGCGGGGCGCGAGGGGGAGGGGCGGGTGCTGGACACCGCTCGCCGCCGAGAGATTGGGGGGCGGGACAGCACGCGGCCAGCAGCCCCCGACCATTAGCGATAAGAGTTCACAGACTAGTTTATGATATGGCGGGCGCGTTGCTGCGGTGCTATCTGATAGCGGCTGAAGGCGATGATGGCAGAGGAGAGATCGGTGTACCGATTAGCCACACGTGGCAGTGGTGAGCTTAAATGGGGCGGGCGGGGTGCCGTCCATTGACTTCCAGGTAAAACAGCTCAACCACCACCCACTGAGCACTAAACCGTCTCATCAGTCTTCACGTGGTCACGGGCTTCCATGGTGTTTGGGAGAACGGAGCATGGCCGGCGAATGGCGCGCGCCACATAGAGAGCCATGCGGTCGGTTCACTGGGCTTGATGCTGACGGCTAGAGGGCGAGAGTCAGCAGGTATCCTGCTCACCGGCTGGACTTGAATGTCTTGTGTTCGCCCGTTGACTGTTAGGTTCAGACATATTCTGTGACCCATGAATCTTGGGTGGCACATTATCCTTCGGGAGGACAACGGATCTTTGGTCACGACCATCTGCCACGGTCGCCTCGTCACCACCACGAACAATATTTAAGAACATGTGGATCTGGATCGCGGACAGCCCATCGTAGTAGATATGATTATCTACTAAGTCCTTACGCTGAAAGATGTTTCCATAGTATTAGCGAGCCGCGTACTTGGTCCAGCCATGCATGACATGGCTGACTGACCCTCCCCACCTTGCGTGAAGTTGGTGACGGTCTGGTTGGTGAGCAGGCTGACCAGGCGACCCTCTTCCGGGCCGGCGGTGACCGTCACCAGCAGTTGGTGGTCGGCCGAGTCCAGGTCGCTGAAGCGCAGCTGGCGGGGCCCGAGCACCGCGCCGAGCCGGCCGGACGGCAGCCGCCGCAGCGCGGTGAGGCCGCGCGACAGCTCCAGCCGCGGCGGCGCGTCGTCCACCGGCAGCACGCGGATGTGCAGCGCCGTCGGCAGCCGCGTGCCGCGCGCCGTGTCCGGGTACACGTAGTACATGGGGTCGGCGCCGTCGGTGACGGTGAAGCTGAAGCCGTCGGCGCCGGCCGGCTCGCCGCCGCCGTGCCGGTACGAGATCATATTGCTGTCGAGGTCGCGCTGGCTGAACTGGCGCGCCGGCCGGCTGTGGTTGAAGAGCAGCCGCCCGAAGCGCGGCGGCTCGACCACCGTGAAGAGGAGCCGCTCCGGCGCCGTGTCGCGGTCGTCCAGCCGCAGCTCGAACGGCGTGATGACGCGCTCGGCGCCCTCCTCCACGCGCACCTCCTCCTTGAACAGCACTGGCCGCTTGTTGTCCACCGGCAGCAGCGAGATGCGGAACGTACGCCGTACGGCGTGCACCCCGTCGCTGACGGCGAACTCGAAGCTGTCCGCACGCTCCTCGTGCTGCTGGTGGTGCACGTAGCGCACCCGGCCGCCGGCCAGCTGCAGCTGCGTAAACTCGGCGAGGGGCCGGCCGGGGGCGCCGGCCAGCTCCAGGTGGCCGCGCGCCGGCGGCCGCGTCAGCCGGTACGTCAGGCGCGCGTCGTCGCTGTCGCTGTCGCTGCTGCTCAACACGTCCGTGGTGAGCACGGCCGTGCCGCCCTCGGGCAGGCGCAGGCCACCGCTCAGCGTCAGCGGGTAGGCGCTGTCGCCGCCCGCCACCGACACCAGCAGGTGCCGGTCCATCAGCAGGTTGGCGCCGTCGCTGACGTCGAAGCGGAAGCCGTCGTCGCCGTCGTCGCCGCCGCCGTGCGCGTAGCTGACGAGGCCGGCGTCCAGCTGCGGCTGTGTGAAGTTGTCACCAGGCGCCAGCGGCCGCTCCGCGCCGTCCAGCCGCAGCGTCAGCCGACCGTGGCGCGGCGCCGAGCGCAGCACGAACAGCAGCGAGTCGGCCGGCGAGTCGAGGTCGGCGGCGCGCAGCTGGCGGCCGGTGAGCGCCGCCGCGCCGCCCGCCGGCACGCGCAGGCCGCGGTTCACCGCCAGCGTCGGCACCTCGTCGTCGACGGGCACCACCTGTACGGCCACGCGGCCCTCGACGGCGTGGCCGGCGTGACCATCCTCCAGCCGGAAGCCAAAGGCGTCGGCCGTCGTCTCGGAGTCGTCGTGCGAGTAGACGAGCGCCATCCGACCGCGCAGCTCGTCGGCCGTGAAGCGCAGCGCCGGCTCGCCGCGCAGCAGGAGGCGGCCGTGGCGCGGCGGCGCCGTCACGCGGAAGGTGAGCGCGTCCGGCGGCAGGTCGGCGTCCTCCGCCGACAGCAGCTCCGAGTCGATGGCCAGGTCGCCACCCTCCAACACGACCAGCTCGCGCAGCAGCGGTCGCGGCCGCTCGTCGTTGACGGGCCGGATGAGCACGGGCACGGAGACGGGCGGCGAGGCGCCGACCCCGTCCGAGCAGCGCACGCTGAAGTTGTCGGCGCGCGGCTCCACGCCCTGGTGCACGCTCTGCACGTAGCGCACGGCGCCGGCGCGCAGCTCCTCGACCGAGAAGGCGGCGGCCGGGCCGGCGCGCGCCACCTCCGAGCCGTCGGCTGGCGCAACGCTCTCGAGGAAGCCGAACCGCGGCCGCGCCGCCACCACACACTGCAGCCGCGCCGCCGGCGTGTCGGCGTCCGTGACGGCGAGCAGCGCCGGTGGCAGCGGCGCCGCCGTACCCTCGTCCACGTAGAGGCCGCCATCGGCGACGGACACCACGGGCCGTTGGTTGTCCACCGGGCGGATGGTGACGTTGACTTCGATGTGGTCGACGGCGTCGCTGGCCATGTCGGAGAGCGCGAGCCGGAAGGCGTCGGTGCGCGCGCGTGGCCCCACCTCGCCGCCCAGGTGGCAGTAGGCGACGGCACCGTGATCCAGCTGCGACACCGTGAACCGGTCGGCCGGCGAGCCGTCCACGCAGACCGCGCCGGCGGCCGGCGCGCGCGCCACCAGGAACGTCAGCCGGCCGCGCTCCGAGTCGGGGTCGACGGCCGGCAGCTGGTCGGCGTCGAGCGACGCCACGCCGCCCTCGTCCACCGCCAGCCGCAGCCGCCGCGCTCCGGCCGGCACGTGCGGCGGCTGGTCGTCGACGGGCGCGACGGTGACGGGGAAGAGCGCCGGCACAGCCTGCCGCCCGTCCGTCACCTGCAGTCGGAGGAGGTCTTCGGCGCCCTCCGAGCCGTCGTGTACGTACAGCACGCGGCCGGCGGCCAGGCTGGCGCGCCAGAAGTGCTCGCCGGCGCGCAGCGGGCGGCCGTCGACGCTGAGCGTGCCGTGCGCCGGCGGCGCTGTCAGCACGAAGCGCAGCTCGTCGGCAGCCGTGTCCGGGTCGACAGCATCCAGCAGATCAACGGTGATGACGGCCGAGCCGCCCTCGGGCACGTCACGCAGCCCGCGGCTGGTGACGCTCGGCGGCAAATCGTCCACCGGTGTCAGGAACACGGTGAGCACCTGGTCGCGGAGCGTGTTGCCCGGGGCGTCGGCCACGCTGAAGCCCAGCTGCAGGACGCGCGGCAGCAGGCCCAGCTCGCCGCTGGTCGGAAGGAACGCCACCTTGTGGTGGTTCACCTGCGCCTGTGTGAAGTTTGTGAGCCGCTGGTCGGGCCGCTCGGCGAGCACCAGGTGGCCGGGGGCGCCCTCCAGCGGTGCCGGCGCGCCGTCCACCTCGCGCGCCGGCCGCGTGACCACGAACACGACCCGCTCCGGAGGCGAGGCGTTGTCCTCGTAGCTGAGCGCCGCGCGGTCAAGCGGCTTGGCGCGACCCTCGTCGACGACCATCGAGAGAGACGCGCCGGGCCGCAGCGCCGGCGGCTCGTCGTCGACCGGCAGCACGGTCACGACGAACGCCTCCGGCCCGGAGCGGTTGGGCGGCTCGGCGGCGTCGCGGACGGTGAACGCCACGTGCTCGGTGTGCACGCCGGCGCGCGGCGCGCCCGTGTGCCGATAGAAGAGCCTGCCGTCGAGCAGGTCCGCCTGCGTCCAGGCGGTCACCACGCGCTCGTACAGGCCGTCCAGCTGCCGCCAGTCGGCCGCGCCGTCCGGCTTGTCGGCGCGCCTGATCAGGAACACGCCTTCGCCGCCGGCGCCGGGCGGCGCCAGCTCGAACGTCAGCTGGCGCGCCGGGCTGTCGACGTCGACGGCGGCGAGTCGGCGCGTGGTCACGCGCACCTCCTGGCTGCGGTGCACCGTGAGGCCGGTGTTGACGCTGACCAGCGGCGGCTGGTCGTCCTCGGGGAACACGGTCACCGGCAGCACGAACAGCACGTCGCTGCTGCCGTCGGTGGCGCGCAGCAGCACGTTGTCGCTGGTCGAGTCGCTGCCGTCGTGCTGGTACGTCACCAGGCCGGTGTCGAGGTCGGCCGGCGAGAAGCGGCTGACGGTCGCGCCGAGCAGCAGCAGCCGGCCGTGGCGCAGCCCGTCCACCACGTGCACGGTCACCTCGCTCAGATTGTCCTCGTCGGTGATCTCCAGATTGGCGGAGCTGAGCAGGTGGCGGCTCTGGCCCTCGAACAGTGAGATGCCTGTGTTGCGCGTCACCACCGGCGAGCGCGTGTTGATCGGGTGCACGACGATGCTGAGCGTGAACGGATCGGACACGAGGCCGTCGGCGTCGAGCACGCGCAGCCCCAGCTGGAAGGTGCGGCGGCGCGCCGAGCGGCCACTCGGCGGCTGGTAGCTCACCTTCAGCTCGCCGAGGTCGCGCTGCAGGAACGACGTGAGGGGCGCGTCCGGGTCGTCCGACGAGAAGAGCCGGCCGTCGCCGTAGCCGAGCGGTGCCGTCACATTGAAGACCAGCTCGCCGGCCGGCGTCTCGGCGTCGACCGCGCGCAGCGCCGCCGGCCGCAGCGGCGTCGGCGAGCCTTGGCGCACGTCCAGCGTGAGCTGCGCGTCCGCCGATGGCGCCGGCGGCGTGTTGCGCCGCGCGCCGTCGATGTGCACGCGCACCTGGAAGTGCTCGCGCCGCAGCAGCACACCGCCGGCGTCGCGCGCCTCCGCCGTCAGCGCGATGAAGTCGCGGTCGAGTGCCTCTGGCCCGCCGTGACGGTACTGGATGGCGGCGGCCGAGAGCGCGTCGCACGGCAGGCGCCGCTCGTCGCCGAGCTGCGTGACCAGCCGGCCGTGTCGCGGCAGACCGAGCCCATCCGGCAGCGTCAGCCAGCAGCGCTCGCCCTCGCCGGCCACCAGCCGCAGCAGGTGCGGCCCTAGCGGCTCCGACAGGCCGCCCGGCTCGGCCACCAGCAGCGGCAGACTCTCCAGCACCAGCGTCGGCGACGCCGGCAGCACCCGCACCAGCAGCGTCAGCGGCACGACGGCCGCGTCCTCGGCCGAGTCGTAGCGCACCAGCAGTGTGACGCGGTGCTCTTCCGGCTGCGCGGCGCCATAGTGCGTGTAAACCACGGCGCCATGCGCGAACTGACACGGAAACTCGTCCGGCTCAAGGCGGCCGGGCGCGCGGCCGAGCGGCGCGCGCACCACGCGCACGCGACACCGGTCACCCGGCGGCACCCAGAGGGAGAGTTCCGAGGTCGGGTCAACGGCGTGCTCGCCGCCGCGGACCACCGCCAGCCCGTGGTTGGCCTGCACCACGTCCTGCTCGTTCAGGTAGTCGAAGGCGCCGGCGAAGCTGTAGTCCTCGTAGTAGTCGGCGAAGGAGTCGGCCGAGGCGTCGGCGTCGGCGGCGGCGGCCGCCAGGCACACGGCCAGCGCGGCAGCGGCCAGCGCGCGCATCGCTGCCGACTCACCGGCGGCTGCCGAGGACTCACCGTGAGCTCACAAGACGAGACGAGACGGGGCGAGACGAGACGAGACGAGACGAGACGGGGCGAAACAAGCCGGCCGGCACCGTGGCGGCTCTGGTTGACGCCAAAGAGAAGCCGCGGCTTGCTCCGTCTAGCGGTGATTTTGTCTCCGAAGAAGGTTCCGCAGCAGGTACGTCAACTGAAGCAGAGACCCGCACGCCGCACAAGATTGGAACTGACTAAGCGGGGCGGAGGGTGGGGGTGGGCGGGAGGAGGCGGTAGGGTGATATCCCGTTTGCCGCCAGCGGGGCGGTCAGTCAGACAACAGTCCACGGCGAGAGCCGACACCAGACTGAGCGGATACACGCTGACCGGGGAACCCGTTCACTCCCGAGCGGGGAACCTCCTCCCGCGGGGCCGCCGCCGTCAGATGGCAGGGCCGGCGCCCGGAGCCCCGGTGCCGGCGGTCCAGAGCCGGCAGGGGGCAGATCAAGAGCTGCGGCCGGAGAACGGGGTGGCGCATGTGTACTGTCGTTAGAGGCTGGGCAGGTTAGGTGACTGCGATTAAACCACTTTTGGTCAGGTTGCTCAGTTCAGGTCTTTGGGCCTGACTACTCAAGCTGAGCGGGGTTATATCGTTCTCTACCTCGGGTCAAGTCCATGTTAGGACAGATCCGGGAAGAGGGGTTAACGGGACCGTAACACCTTCCACGACAGCGGAAAGTGCTCACATTTTCTCTATTTCTCTAATTCAGTGACTTAAATTTAGGGAAATTGCCCTATTCTAGCACAGATCGCTACGACTTTGGCACGGCTTTCCCAAACAGACTTAAACCCCTGCCCAACCCTCATGCTGGATCCGCTCCAAGATCCGCAGGCCAGGCATTTGTGTCAAATTGCGAGTGCCGGTGATATACCCACCAGCATGCTCCCTACTTGACCCCAGGTCAACCACCCCCCAATATCTAACCGCTGGAGTGACCCAGGCAGGCGTAAGCGCTGTTTGGCGTAAGTTCTAGCACGAGTCGTACAGGTTCCCCAAATTTGAACTATCCGTCCAAATGTACGCATGTGACGTGTCGCAGGGCCTCGCACATAACCGAGACTTAACTAAGCGCAAGAACTTCGACGAAACCTACGCACAACAGAACTAGTGCCCACATTTTGACCTTTCCAGTTCATGCGGCTACAGCACTGTTTTCTGTTCATATACCAGACGCCGTGGTTTACTGGCAAATCATACGTGATAGGATTGTCGATACATGAAGCCGGTGCCACCGCTGTAGCTTAAGGTCGTGTCGACTGACTGCTCCCCTCGCGACTCGGATTGCGACGGCGGATAGTTCATTGCATGGCTTCGGGCTCCTAATGTTGATAAACTTGCAGGTCGTGTCATCCCTGAATACAAATCGCAGCGGTTGATTTTCGAGGTAGCTTTTGAAAATGCAATATGGCGCTCTCGGCGGTGGAAAATCGAGAGCCTAAATGTTCTTTTGAAACGAATAACGGCATCCTGATATAGCGTTTCGTCTTTTATTTTGTCGTTTTATATCGCTCAGACCGCGCGGCAGACGGCTCACAACTGGACGGAGCGGCCGGCCGGCTGCCGCTCCGACGGGCCGGGTGCGCACATGTTTCTTTTGTATCTGCACGTGAGGGGGTGTCCCTAAATAAGCAGCGGGCCCGTTAGCTGGACGGTGTGGGCGTTGTTCACGGAGTGTTCGTCGCCTCTGCAGACAGGGGGGCGGGGCTCGGCGGCGGCCCGGGCCTCCGCTGGGCTAACGAGCCGGCCGCCGGCTGCTAACGGGCAGCAGAAGCGGACCACCAGATGACCGGGGTCAGGGGTCAGTAGAGGGGGAAGGGGGGGGGTACACAGCGGGGCCGTGACGATACTGGACGTGGAACCAGCCGTTATGGTCACAACGGGTCGTGTGTGAACAACTGCTGCCCGAATGGCGAGAGGTCACAGGAAGGATTGGGTTGACGAGGTTACAATTGGGACAAGGACACGCGCATCTTCATCGTGTTAGTTGACGTTTTCATAAGCTTTCACATGCGTATTTGGCAACCATATTCTATTTGCTCTCTCAGTTTTGATATCGGCGAAATGAAGACGTTTTTCCTAGCATTGCGTGACTATATCTCGCTGATCTTAGCGCAACGCCCGATCTACGGAGCTGGGCGTAATGGATGTGGGGACGAAGCCGAAGAGACGTCCAATCACACATAACTCACCACAACCCAACCTTTTTCGCGTGAAGCTCAGGTTCATGAAGGGCATATCGGGTACTTCAATTCGTAAATAAAACGTTTCTCATGAGCGCCGTTCCCAAATCAGCAGGCCAAAAATCCTGCGTATACGGCTCGACACGCAATGATCGGATGATCACATGATTATCACACAATGATCACACAATGATCGGATCCCCGCAGCATTTTCTCATCATGAGCTTGCAATGAGACGCACGGTCGCTGTACCGGGCATCATTCATCGAAGGCATGCCGCACGAAGGTAACCCATCGCCACGATGTTTGAAGCAGGCTGAATCCATGAAACGGCAAACAAACCTGGCAATTGACCTGCCGACCTCACTAAATAACACTCGAAAATCGATTGTCTGAGAGGCATTGGTTTTGCCCCCCTGTGCGCGAGCTCCCTCGATCAGCGCGTTTAACACCACAGCCAATTACAGCATTAGCCCACCGCGTTTATGCATCGAACCAGCGGTCGCAAATCACGGTCGGACACCACGCGGAGTCGGCGTGGTGTCCGGCGGCGCGGCGCGGCGCCCCGCACGCCGCTAAACGCCGGTGCCCGCCGGGCGCGCGCCCCTCTCCCAATTACACCCGCGCGGACTCAATCAATTGGCTATCAGACGGAGCGCGCGGCGTGCTGATTTACCGCCGCCGCTATCGCCCGATCAGGCGGCGCGCCGCGTCCGAGGCGGGCGCCGGCGCGGGGACCACCCGCCGGCAGGCTGGCACCTCTCCTCCGCGGCACCGGCGCGCCAGCTCCGTCATCGCTGGACCCCGGGAGCATGGTCCGGGCTCCGGCTCCGGGACGAAGCTTGGGGGAGGTCAGGTCGGATGAGGATGACTCGGATGAGGTCGGGTAGGACGACGCTGACTCGGATGAGGTCAGGTCGGATGACGCTGACTCGGATGAGGTCGGGTCGGATGAGGATGACTCGGATGAGGTCGGGTCGGATGAGGATGACTCAGATGAGGTCGGGTCGGATGACGCTGACTCGGATGAGGTCGGGCCGGATGAGGGTGACTCGGATGAGGTCGGGTCGGATGACGCTGACTCGGATGAGGTCGGGTCGGATGAGGATGACTCGGATGAGGTCGGGCCGGATGAGGGTGACTCGGATGAGGTCGGGTCGGATGAGGATGACTCGGATGAGGTCGGGTCACATCCGCGTTTCGCGACAGCGTTCGGCTACCGCACCCGGCGTCATGGAGGTAGTGGTAGCACACGGCTTTCGGCGTTGGAGGCCGCCAGGTGTCAGAAGCCCTCGCGTACCACCGAACATCCTTGGCCATGCCACGTAATGTTGGAGACAGTTTTCAATTTCCGTTTCCAGCTAACTCTATTCCAGGACAGATCTGATGCACTACAAAATGTCGTCCTAATGTTTTAGCCGCGGGCGGAGGGGCTACAGGCGCTGCCTCATGACCGCATGGTTCAGGTCCGCTGCGCGTCGGAGAGTACTGCCGCCGATTTCACCCGGGAGTTTTGATGCCAGTGACCCCAGCAGCCAGGTCCTCGAGGAAAAACTTAACGGCTTTTATGCACCAACGTGAAATGAAACAACGTCGCAACCGTGAAATTTTCAGAGACATGCTGCATTGAGAACGGTCAAACGTTCGCAACGCATACACGAAGTAGATCGGGCTTCAGGTATACACTGATAACAAGCTGGGTGAGTTACGGCAGATGTAGCTGAACTTGAAAGCCTGCGCTCATCCTTCACACATTCGCGCCGCCAAAATACAAACAACCTGGGTTCTTCGATCCGAATGATCGGCGACTACCGTTGTTTTCGCTGACACAGAGCGGTGCAGACATACATGTACGCCAGCGGCAAATATGTGCGTTTATCGCTGCCCGTCCGCCGGACGCCGCATACTTCGAAGCTCACCTCTGCCAGCCGAGCACAACCGACGTGCGTGCCAGAAGCCCGGCGTTATTCTGTTCCGCTTCCTCCTCGCCTGCTTCCGTGCATGTTCTTCAATACATCAGACACGGTGTAAACGGAGTGACATTTATTGCACTAGTTAATAATGACACATCTGACTAGAGAACGTTTGTAGCGACAAACAGCCCGAACCGGCCTAAATGTCCATCCAAAACAAGACTCGCCGCCTTCGCGGCGGGGCGGAGCGGCCGCATCGCCCCGCGGGGCGTGTGGTCTGCACCCGCGGAGCAGTACATGCAGAGGAAGGGGTCACCGACGGGCGCGACGGCGCCGCCCGGGCGGCCGGCCGCCACCGCTGCCGCCGGCGGCAGCTGCGCCGGCCGACGGGCGCCGCGCCGCGGAAGGGCACACCGACTAGGAGGAAGGCTGCGGCGCTACACACACGGAGACGGCACCCACCGAGGCCCACCCACCCGCACACACGTATCACAAACACGCGCGGCCGCCCGCCGGCGGGCCCGGCCACTGCACGACACGGAACAAAGGCACACACCGTCATTAGTGGGAGCCGGCCGGCGGGGCCGCCAAGGGGCGCCGCCGGCGACCGCACGACCCCGACCATCAGTCCCGCGTCGTGACGCGCTGTCCGCGCCGTCGCCAGTGGAATGGCCGCACTCTCGGCGAGGTACGGCGGCCCGGGACGGCGGGAGGCGGCGGCGGGCCGGCCACAGAGCACGCCGGCAGCTGATGTCACGCGCCGATGTGTGGGATGCTTCCAGATGACGCAAGCTGGTCGGGAAGCATGCAGCGCCGCTTACAGGTGATGTCCTTGAATGCATCACATCAAGTACCTGATTCAACAACACGCCATCTGACCGGCAGTAAGCTCCAACTTAGACAACGCTATAGAAAAAACAATGACTTGACACCGGTGGATCTCACAGGTTAACGCGTTTCTCCTCCGATCACGCCCACACCACAACAGTCCGCTAGTCCAGAGCCGTCCACCCCACACGCCGTCATTCTCACCCACTCTGACAGCATTCGCACCGCGCAGCCCGCCTGCCCGTCGCTGTCCTTCTTGCAACACTCCGACTGGCACCGCGCACCGCAACGGCGCGACGCCCCATTCGACATGCCAGGGAGCCCCTGCAGCACGTGCCGTCCCCACCGAGGGCCTCCTCAGCTCTCGTCGGAGGCCGGTGTCCGCACCAGCCGGCGCTGCGGCCAGGACAGCGCGCCCAGCTGGTCGCTGCCGTTCCATTCCCACACCGGACTCGCCGAGCCGTGATAACGGAGGGCGAGCTGGCCGGCCGGCGCGGCGGCCTGGCCGAACGTCGGCGAGCGCCGTCTGCGGGGCGGCCCGACACCGACCGCCGGCTCACGCGTCCGACTCCGGCATCGTCTCCAGCTTCACCAGGTGAATGGGGTCGAGCTCCTCAGGCGGCGGCGCCTCGGGCTCCACCTCGCCGGCCGCCGAGCGCGCTGCGCCCGCCGCCGTGCTCGGCCCGGACCGCTTCGGCTCGTCGGCCGTCGGAGCCGTCTCGGCCGGAGGCGGCGGCGGCGGAGGGTCTTCGCCCGGCCAGCCTCCCGAAGGCGCCGCCGGGGCGGACTCCGGCGCCGGCGGCGGCGGCGGCTCGTCCTCGACGGCCGGCTCCGTCACGACCGGCTCCGCCTCGGGCGGCGGCGGCGGTGGCGGCGGCGGCGGCTCCTCCTCGGGACTGGACGGCTCCTCAGGCGGCGTGGCCGGCGTGTGGATGATCTGCGGCTCGGCGCCGGGCGTCGTGGGCGAGCGCGGCTCCTCCGCCATCGGCTCGTCGACGGCCGGCGTCGGCCCGTCAGCCGCCGGCTGACTCTGGTGGCCGTCGCCAGCGGCGGCGGCCGGCTGCCGGAAGTCGACGGGCGCCGTCTCGCAGCACGGTGTGGGGGCCGTCACCACGATCTGCGCCACGCCCAGCCCGGCCGCCCCGTCCGGCGCCGCCGCGCCACGGTCCGGACCTTCCGTCTCCTCCTGCCGGCCCCAGCCCGCGTCAGTCGGGTGTGGCGAATTGGGCACTAAGCTCAACACCCATACTTAGTTCACTGAGCCTACGGGCTGACTGCGGTTCCAACACGCACAAGCAATGCATGACAGCCTGTTTAGTCTGCATCAGGCATGACGAGTGCGCAACGCCGCACGTGACTGCTCTCGGCATGCTGCCCTTCCTCAAGCAAGTGTGTACTGTATAGTGTGCACCTGGCATGACCCACGTCAGGTACACACGGACCTGGAGCGGCAACAGAGGCACCTGCGCCTTCACACAACAACTGGTTTGTGTTCACGAAACCCCGAGACCAAAAGCGCAGCATACAATGATACATTAAACAAAGAATGACACGTCTTGGCTTTGGTCAGCCAAGACAATTTCGGTTATCTATCTGTGTTCTATTTGACAAGCGATCTAACAAGCGATCTAAATGCTTGTGATCGGCAAGCTTTCGACGACTTAGGACGAGGGTCCATATGACTACAATAGGGCACAAGTTATCGTTTTCACCTATTCCCACGAAGTTTCATCGAGTAACACCCGACAACATAGTTTGCAAAGACGCAAAACTCTGCTAAAAAACTACACTGCGAAGCGAATCATCGGCGAAAACCTGCTGAAGCGTTTCGTAACAAGCCGTGTCCGATGTCATCACACGCGATCGTCCGCCGTCGGCGCCGGCGGCGCACTGTCGACCGTGGTCTGCTCAGCGGCCGTCGGCGCCGGCGGCGCACTGTCGACCGTGGCCTGCTCAGCGGCCGTCGGTGTCGGCGGCGCGCTGTCGACCGTGGCCCGCTCAGCGGCCGGCGGTGCCGCTCCGTACCTGGACCGTGACGTTGACCTGGACGACTGGGTCCGGCTCGGCGCCACTCCGCTCGCCGTCCGCTCCTGGGCAGCGTGCGAGATCGGGCCGCGTGAGCAGGGCGGTGTTCCGGTGCGCCCTCCCCCCGGGGGCCCACGGCAGAACAGAACGAGGGGGTCGCGTAGGAGGCGGAGGAGGCACCGCGGCCCGTCGGACTGCTGCCGATGCAGGGGACCGGAAGGACGGGCCGAGGGGCGAGGGGGGGGGGGGGGGCGAAGAGGCGCCGCGGCTCACCGGGCCGCTGCTGACGCGGGCAACGACGGGAGGAGCTTGTGCCGCCCTCACCACATGGGGAGGAGCTGCAGTGTCACCGAGGGCTGCGCTCGCACGTTCAGCTTGCGTGCCACGCCCGCGGTAAGTTCAAACGTGGCTTCGCAATGAGCAATTGGAGCGCGGCCCAGATCGTCCATATTCCCTTCATCACAACCCCAGTTCAACACAAGCGGGCGGCACAGCTCGGCCGGACACCGGAGGAGACCGCCGGAGCCGGCCGGTGCTTACAATCAGCTCGGCTCCGTGGGCAGGCCGGCTGACTCCCGCTCTGCATAATGACGCGCGGCGGCACATTCCGGCGGGTGCCATTAGCGGGTCGGCCGCTGCGCCGGTCATCGCGAGCGCCGAGCCGACCGGCGGGGGCCCCGTCGGCCGCGTGTCGGGCGGCGGGGAGGCCGGGCCGGCACACGGACGACGAGCGCGCCCGCCGCGGCCGGCTCGCGGGCCGCCGCAGAAGGTGGCCGTGTCAGCGCGGAGGGGCGGCGCGCGGCGCGCTCGCAGCGGCCGTCACTCCGCCGAGGGAACACACACAACACTGCAGAGGACGACACGGCCAGAATGAGGGAGGGGCGAGACAGAGTGTGGGACAGCGTGAGACGGGCGGGGTGAGTACAGCGGCTCGCGCAGCGGCTGGCGTACGGGGTACACTCGATGCTGAGTTGCTCGGCGGCGTGGGTGAGAGAAACGGGGATCCGCCGGTCTTCAATCACAACTCGCTTCAAAAATCGGCAGCAATCCTCACGACGTGATGCCGGTCACAAAAGCGTCAAGCAACCGAGCTTGTCTGGAGCAAAAGCATAGCGGCAAGATTGCAGGAGCGTAGCAGCGCAGCCAGCATAGAAAAGCCAAGAGAAGCAAAGGACAGGCGCGAACACGAAGGAAGTGTGTCGTCGGCGCTTCACTTACCTGCTCGGCTGACGGCGCCCTCTGCTTTCGCGCGGTACACTTGCTGCTGCTCTTTGGACAATTCCAAATCAAAACCGGGCGAGCAATACGAATAAGACACCACTGAAAACGAAACGAACGAAATAAATCACGACGGATAGAGAAACCGAGCCGGATGGCGAAGGCAAGGCTCGCAGCAAAATGCATCACCTGCACGACACGCTAAAGCTAACCACGACAAAGGCAGAGCCCACAGGCCGGCGCCTAGCTGGCAGCGCATGTGCCTGATTTTGGATACAATCCCGCACGTCGGGGATCGTTCTGGGCACCTTTTCGACTGCTGCGTTGTCATAAGACTTGTAAGCACAATACGTAAAGAGGATGGAAATTTGAAACTAGCATTAGTTCTTTCCGCAAAACTGTGCAATAACCTCAAATAGCTCGAAACGTTTAAAGGCTTGACGATGCCACGGTACATTATCTCCGAATGGGGTTCAGAATTTGCACTGGCACTGCGTACCTGCGAAGCATGCGCACACAAGACTACATATCTCGTTCAGTATCACCAACAAGACTCAACCGTGTTGAGGACATGCCCAACCTGCCGCCACGAACTCTGTGGACTGCGACTACGCCACACCGAGGACAAACACGGCCTAGCTATCAGTCAGCACTAGCACACGGCTGAGGCGTCACTCAACGCACACAACACCATGAGCAAGCTCTCGTCGGACGTCCCGCCGCTATGACAACACGTGTTGTCCTGCGCGAACTCGGACACCGTCACACTGCCTTACCGTGCGACGCTGCACCGCGCCCTGCCCGGAGCAGCCGCCTCTCGGCACCGTCGCCGGGCCGCGCGGCCCCGGCACAGCCGCTAACAGGCTACCAGATCGCCCATCCCAAGCACTAGGAACAGTCGATTAAAGGCACGCCCTGCAGCGTCCTGCCGCTCTAGAGTGGTGAGTTTGATGGCTTCTCGAAAGAGGTCAAATTTGGAATTTACATGCTGTGGCCAGATTTTCCTGCCGGTATTCCCCCATTTTTAACGAGGAAAGGCACAAACACATCGCAACAAGAAATAGCAGAGCTCTGAACTGGTGTCGAGTGCAACTACAGTCTAATAGTGCTTTTACTACAACAAACGAGAGCCCGCGAGGACGCTGAGTGCCATAAGGTCGCTAGTCTACCGGCTGCTGCTCAACCGGGTGAACAGACCGGGATCGGAGCCGCGCCAGGCCCGTGATCTCAGTAGCGATCACCACACGGTCCCCTGCGGCAGCCGCCGGCGGCCGCGCGGCACCAGCCGGGTCTAGCCTGAGCCCGACCCCGCCGGTGACCTCCGACTGACCTGTGGCCTGCGCCTGGTCGGGGCTGGCGCTGTCCTCGCTGGGCTGCGGCGTCGGCTGCGTCACGATCACCATCTGCGGCGGCAGCAGGCTGGCCGGCACGTCCGGCGGCGTGAAGACGGGCGGCGCCTCGCCCAGGCCGGACGTCTCGCTCTGGCGGCGACGGACCACGTCACCACGGCCCGGCGCACACCGGGCCACGCGCCTCGCTCTCGTGGGAGACGACGCCGGGCGCACACCCACACGCACACACACACGCGCACAAACACACCCACACACGCACAAACACACCCACACACGCACACGCACACCCACACACCCACACACGCACACGCGCACAAACACACCCACACACACACACACCCACACCCACACCCACACCCGCACACACACCCACACTCACACCCACACCCACACACACTACGGCTCTCTGCAGCGCGCCCATCCGTCCTGCTTGCCTCATTATCCTCGCTTCATCCTGCATGCTCGCGACGCCCCGTTTCTCCGGGATACAGCTCCACACGCCAGCCGTGAGTGGCATTAGGGGCCTCTGGTGGGGGCTCCGTCCGAACACAGAGTCCCATATTCCACATAGCGGTCCCTGCGGAGGCTGAAGCTGGACGGAGCACCCCCAAGTGTCTATAGTTTTGCCCCACTATTATTTCTCTTTCACCCAATTACTCTGGAAGGGTCATTTCTGGCCGAAAGGGGCCGAATCCACATCACACCAAACATACGGCGCGGTGAGGGCCGACGCGCACAGCAGACTGAGAGACGCTGTTGGCACCACACGCGCTCCATAAACGTGTCTGCAAGCATTACAAACAGACCATCAGGAGAAGCGCCTAAGACTTCACAAAAGCGACCACCTTACATGCACGGACCTCGCAGTACAGCTCTGGCGTCGCGAAGCATGAAACACATAAAAAGCCTCACGAATCGAGCAGCAATACCGACGAATCAGTGCCGGCTGCGCTAGCTGGCCTCTGCAAGTCGGTAGACACGCGCCAACGCGGAAGCCATCCCGAATTTCGACCTCAGCAATCTATCGCCACGCATACATTACTCACGTGACTTCAACCCGTCTACAATTACGGCGGGCGGCCCACCGCAGCGCGCGGCCGCGGCCGACACGGCGCGCGCTACTGCGGCGGTCGCGGCGCATCGTTAGCCGTGTTTGCCGCCGAGCGCATCCGCCTGGCGGCGGCGCCATTTGAAATTCGGGCGCCGGGCCGCACGGGGCGGTGCCAATACATCACCCCGACGCGGAAGCGATGCCCCGGCCCGCGCCATCAAACAAATACGGCGGGGTCAGCGGCTGGAGCGCCTCGGACCCCCCCCCCCCCCCCCGCAAGCCGCCGTCCGGCCGCCCACTGGGACCGCCCGAGGGCTTCTCTGGCACCGACCGGACGTGCCACTGCGACTGCGTGCGTGCAGGCCCCGCCGCCATCTCTCGGTGGGCGCTGGCCGGCGCGCCGCGGGGCCGGCAGCAGCCTCACCTCCGGCGTGAGCGGGTCGCCGTTGGCGTGGCAGTCCTCCACCACCAGCGAGGGGAAGAGGCCGACGCGCCCCTCCAGCTCGCCCTCCCACCAGCCGTCGTCGACGTCGTCGTGCACGACGGTGCGCAGCACGCGCACGATCTGGTCCTCCACCAGCGAGAGCTCCTCGGCACTCGTGGCGTCGTAGTCGTACAGCGCGCGGCAGTAGTGAGAGCCTGCCAGACGCGGCGGCCGGTCAGAGCGCCCGTCTCTGCTGCCCGTCCACGACGGCGCGCTCCGTGCTGGGAACGCCGCGCCCTCGAGCGCCGGCTGCTGCGCAGGACGTCCGGGCCCGGCGGCGGTAAGCGCCACTCACAGGGCGTCGAAGTCACCCGTCGCGACACGACTGTACCGTGGCGGGTGACGAACGTACAGGCGAGGAAAAGAGCCCCAGGAAGTGTGTGACCAGGGCGGTACGGTGCGAGACGATGACGCCGATCAGCAGTACTGATTCTGCGAGGCTGAAACACCTCCCTCAAGGCCCAGCAACATCCATTGCTCATGCAATCGCGGCGTAGCCTTACCGGGCAAATTAGCCGCACCCTGCCAGTTACACGGGGCACCCTCCAAATGGACGTCCTAAGCGCAGACGGTTGTAATTATAATGCAAATAAAATAGATAAAATAATGCCATCTTATGTCAAAACGAAACGGTGGCCGACATCAACGAGTCCCAGCATCCTCCTGCAGCACCGCTACGAACGCCTCGTACCATGAACCCCGTGCCCCGGCGCGTTACCGTCTGGCAGCTGGCCGGCGGCCACCGGCAGCGACTGGGGCGGCTCAACCAGCAGGGGCGGTGCCTCGGGCGCGCCCTCCTGGCCCTCCTCGATCGTCGGCAGCTCGTTCCCATAGTCGACCGAGCTGAAGCTGACGCCCTCTGTCTCCACCTGCGGCACACGTTACCGTCAGGCATGCGACCAAGCTGAAGCTGAAGCTGACGCCCTCCGTCTCCACCTGCGGTACGGGCCACCGTCAGGCACACGACCAAGCTGGAGCTGAAGCTGACGCCATCCGTCTCCACCTGCGGCACGCGCCACCACCGGGCACATGGGTCCGGTGGTGGCGTGCGCTCGCAACTCCGGCCTGGTGTGGTGACGCAGCACGACGGCGGTACATCGCGTGCACAAAAGTCCCGCATTTCGTCTTGATTCGCGTCGAGTTCCGTCTCGTCTTGAGCCAAACGAGCATTGTTCGCAGTGCCTGGCCTTCATGCCACAAGCGATATCACCCGTTTGCAAAAATCGTACGATGTTGCAGCTAGTGTTAACTGACAGGGAGAGTGACCCGTCAGACAGATAGAGGCAACTTCGCTGACGTTCCCGCCCAGCTGAATAGTCAGAATAGAATAGAACAGCTAAGAGTGGAGAGTGCCCACTGAGCAAAAACAAGCAGCTCTGTTGACGCCCCAACTTCCAGCCAGCTGTCCCACCCAACTGAAGCCCGTGCGCCCGCCCGCGGGGCACACGGGACTCGCGCCGGGGCGCCGCAGCTCACCTCCACGTAGTTGTGCGGCACGAGGCCCTCGAGGCCGGCGTCGTTGCGCGCTCGCACCCAGCCGTCGCCGTCCCCCTCGCTGACGATCTCCAGCGGCTCGTTCTCGGTGATGCTCAGCTCGTCCGGGTTCTGCGCCTGCGAGGTCAGACGGCGCACACGCTCAGCGGGCGACGCTCCAGGTGTTCCTCTCTCCCTCCTCAGAGAGGGTTGCTGTCTTAATAACAGGTCAGCAGCTACGTCAGTGCAGAACTGTCAGTGGCATTATCAAAGCGCAGCGGTTATCTGTATTGGCGATGGAGCACGAAGACGCTACTGGCTCGTTGGTCTAGGGGTATGATTCTCGCTTAGGGTGCGAGAGGTCCCGGGTTCAAATCCCGGACGAGCCCTGCTTATTGCCGCCCATCTGCGGCACTTGTTTTGCTTTAAGGCACGCAAGACAGAGCTGTTTCCAAATAAACACGTCGCATCGTCGTGAGCTTACCGCAGCCTGAGTCACGTGCGTCGTGCCGTGCTCTGTCATACCTCGTAGGCGAAGAGCGCGACACAACGCGAGCCGACAGCGGGCGGCGGGCCGGCGCCCGTCTCGGCCGTGTGGCCATTGAGCTGCGCCGCGTCGTTGGAGTCGGCCGGCGGCGGCGGCGCCTCGTCGGCGGCCGGCTGACCCCAGGCGTCATCGGTGGGCCAGCTGTTCTGCACGCCCGGCAGCGCAGGCGCCGGCGGCACGGGCGTGGTGGGCACAGCGCCCCAGTCGGGCGCGGCACCCCAGCCGGCCGTCAGTTGCGCCATCTGAGACTGGGCCGCCAGCACTGCGGGCCGGGCCCGGTCACGTCAGGCCAGGCCAAGTCAGGCCGCACCACGTCAGATCACGTCACGTCACGTCTGAAGAACACGACCGGCCGATGGCAGCTTTAACTGCTAGATTACCAGCATCGCGTCAGGTCGGGTCATGTCATGTCAGGTCAGATGCACATAGACGACCACCGTTAGCTCTTATCTGGCTCTCTAACACATGGAGACCGCGTATCATGAAGATGTTATAGCGCAGACATCAAACGTTGACAGTTTAAAAAGCCTGATACGCAAAAAAATAAATAGAGGATTGATAAAGCATTGCCGCCCGCCGTCTTGTCCGGCCACATACCCCATCATGCCATCTCGCGCCAATAAAGAAAACTAACCAAGGACGCATCATTCATACTTGGCGTTTTGCCGATTTGGGTTTACCGCGCTTTCCCGCATCGGCTCGTTGGTCTAGGGGTATGATTCTCGCTTCGGGTGCGAGAGGTCCCGGGTTCAAATCCCGGACGAGCCCGACTTTTTCCATGAATGAGCACCTGGCGGTAACTTAAGTACCTCAAGCCCGATGGACAGCTGAATAGTATAAATCTGCCTTTATCAATCTACAAAGTTCATTAAATCTAATCTTGCATGCCATATGATTGAATAAAGAATTGCTTAAGCTGTTGGGTTACAGCTACGCCGCGCCTTTCGGATGTTACTATGGAAAAATCTTGGGGGTGGTCAAACTGACCCAACCCGAGTGCGTATGAAATAACGCAATTGGACAAGTTATTAACAAAATATAATGAAATCACCAATACAAAAAACAAAACAAATACATAACTGACAATTACGCATCATACAGCTTTCCAAGGTCACCCGGTCATGGCTGGAAGCCGAAAACCAGTCTCATTTTCAGGACCAGTTAACACCTGCCTTCAGCCAGAGGAACGTTCCGGGACGTGGTGTGCATCCTAACACTCATGGCAAGAACGGTGATCCGAAACCCTTCTATCCGTTACGCTAACACTTGGCCTCAATTTCTTCACAACATCCTCAGTACATTTCCAGCCACATACAGTTTTAACTGACGCGAAAACAGCTTTGTCCTGGCTAAGCCCCTTGTTAAAACAAAGTTGCCCATTTCATCCGATTTGGCTCCGCCTGGTGGTTTTAACTGATGAAGTCAGCTTTGGCTTTACGTTACCAAAGTTCAAACCATCGGCTTCGGATGAGGGACCTCAAAATCTGGCACAAGTTAGTTCACGTGCACGCCTACCTACCGTTTGAATTTGGTATTTCCATCTTTCTTAGCTTTTTAGATCTCTGGAGGTCAAATTTACCCCACCCGAGCGCGCTGCATTCCAACGGCCACCCAGGCGCGTGTTCATAGAAACGCGTTAATTTGGGTAACTGAAGTAAAATAAAGCTTTTGTGAAGTTAAGACGCGACTGTAGCAAAAAGTGATACTGACAAAGCCTACGCCAGTAGTTCCAAATGGCATGGAGCCAAAACTGGAGTCATAGCGCAAAAATTGTTCGAAGCCAAAGCCGAAGCCCGCTGCTAAGAGTGGCACGAAACCAATGACAAAGACCACCGTTAACACATGACACGAAGTCGAAGCCAGTCGTGAAATATCACAAAGCCAGAGACGAACCAAAATCCTTTGGAAGACAACTGCGGCTTTACGAAGCCGGAGTACGCTTCGTCTCCCTGCCTGCCGCGCTGGGAGCTTGACAAAACGGCACCAAAAACGAGTGTGCTGAGCATGCCACGCTTCAGCTGCATGCCGAGTCGCAGCATGTATCGATTCGCACAGCTTTCTTTCTCCCAGCCGCTTGTGGTTTACGCTGCGATGCTTCTACAAAGACTTCGCTGCTGCCATTCTTCGTTCTGGAGGCTCAATAGTGCTCTCAAGCAAATTTTCTCCCCGTTGTAAACATACCACATGACAAACCCGCGATTCTTTTCCACCGAGGCGGATACAATTTCATTTGGCGCACCTATGTGTGTGTGTGTGTGCGTAGCTGTGCAAGGCTTCCACCAGTTATGCAACTAGCCGAACCTAGCTAGAACATACCTGCCACAAAGGACACGTTCAACGCCACATAGCAGCCTGACAGACGCCGAGGCGCGTCACTGCGCCAGCCGATTTCCGACGAGCCGTCCCGCCGGGACAGCGGTCCGTCGGCGGAGCATCGCTACAGACAGAGACCGAGCACAGAAACACTTCCGACAGGTTTGGACCAGAAACCCAGCTGTGGCTCCCCAGCGACTGAAGTCCGCAGTGAAGCCGGCGCACACATCTACCACGGATCTCCAGACACCTGCGTCAGCCGTGTGACGCCGCTGGACGGCGGCCCAGGAGCCGTCGGGCGGCGGGTCGCGAGCGGCACTCACCCTCGCGGTCGGCCGGGCACTCGTCGTCGTCGGCCGCCTCGTGCGAGTCGTAGCGTGCCGCGCCGCCCGTCGGCACCGGCGACGCGCTCAGCGACGCGTCGTTCAGGTCACTGTCGTCGTCCCGGTACTGGGGACATCGCACAGCGGGTCGGATCACGCGCGCCGCTGAGGAACCGCTGACATGGGACGGAAGCCGGGTCAGGTCACTGTCATCGTCCCGGTACTGGGGACATCGCACAGCGGGTCGGATCGCGCGCGCCGCTGAGGAACCGCTGACGTGGGACGGAAGCCGGGTCAGGTCACTGTCGTCGTCCCGGTACTGGGGACATCGCACAGCGGGTCGGATCGCGCGCGCCGCTGAGGAACCGCTGACGTGGGACGGAAGCCGGGTCAGGCATGGTCGCTGTCATCGTCGCGGCACCGCCGACATGATGCTGGATGCGCCAGGTCATGTCAGGTCACCGTCGGCGTCGCGGACACAGGAAGATCTCATGCACCGGGTCCAGTCAGGCCACGACTGTCGCATTGCCGGGACGTGCCACGTACAAAACAAGCTAGTTTGCCATGTCACCGTAACGATAATGCAGACATTGTGTACACGTGTGCACACAAGGCAGGCCTCACGGCCAGGGCGGGCCAGTGCCATCCCTGCCATACCGGGACAAACAATGCAGGCCAGATCTGGCCACTGCCGTGTCGACGGCCCTGGACCAGCACTCTGTCGGCGCTGTCGGCAGCAGCTGCCACAGCCGGGGCGCGGCCCTCTGACCTGCTCTCTGACGCTCAGCTGGCTGCTGGACCGACACATGGTGTCGCCCACCGACAGCGTGTCCACGTCAAACTGGCTCATAAACTCGTCCACATTCACTGAAACACGGCGGCGGCCTGTTAGCGCGGGCATGCTGCGCCACGTCACGTCACGGCTCGGCACGTCACGTCACGTCACGTCACGGATCGGCACGTCACGGCAAACTGCCTCAGGCGCAGTCACAATAAAAATGCGTGAACCACGCCGACGTCTTCAAGTGAGGGGCATCAAACTCACCACAGGAGTCATCAGCCAGGTGCTTTCCTGGCACAACTTTCCACCAGTTAAAACAGCGGCAGCAATGAGCGTGGCGCGTGGCGCGGCGTGGTGACGGGCTGCAGCAGCGCCCGTCAACCGGGGACCAGAGATGTGGCGGGGGCCGGTCCGTCTCAACCAGAGCTTACCTCCGCCGTCGCGCAAGCACTGTATTCGAGCCTGACACTTGACGAGGGATGTCTGGAAAGACGCGAACAATGACATCAGGCAAAGAGCGATGGACCTTAGATCCACGTCATTATACCACAAACAACGGGACCTTCACAAGCTAACCGCCATGACGCCGAATGCATGGCCATAACACGCTCACGCGCTACCAGCACCTTGGTGAAGAACACGCCACTACAACGGTATAGTATCAACGACTTCCAATTTCTTTACATACTCATCGGAAGGCATCCGTTTCTGAATCCAGACCAGACGTTTGCCAGACCCTGTCGGCTCAGTCCGTGCTCAGGAAGGCAACAGACCACAACCTGCTGAACTGGTTTCGAGTCGTATGAGATGTGTGTCGCTCCTTACATGCTTTCCATTGCCAATATCTGCTGAAGCAAGCTCTGCCTTCAATTATGTTCATAAAGTCAATAGATATCATAGCCTTGTTCAGTCCCGTTTGCTTGTAGGTTACATAAACGAGCGTGTCCAAGGCGCAAAAAGTCCAGCGATATTTGCTTAGCTTACCAACCAACTGGACGAGCCCTTTTATTTTGGAAACAGGAAAAAATCAGGTAAAATGATAACCTATTCACACCAGCTAGGCTTTCAGCGCAAGGTTTATTTTATGGGGTACACGGCCTGACCAAACAAACCCATGATGACATACACGAATAATATGAATCCCTTAACTATTCGTAGAAGGCAAACGGGCTGCTGCCGACGTGTAACACATTGCCTGCCATCCGGCAACACTCCCTGCCCGCCGGAGCTGCTCGCCGGACGCCCACAGCCGGCGGGCTGCTGCCGGCGTGTAACACATTGTCTGCCACCCGGCAACACTCCCTGTCCGCCGGAGCTGCTCGCCAGACGCCCACAGCCGGTGCCGGCCGACCACTCAGCTGAAGGTCCGCGCCGCCGCCGGCGGGCGGGACACTCGATACCGTCCGACGGGCCGGCGCCAGCTCATCAGTATGCAGCGCGCCGACGTCTGCCGCCGGCGGCCATCAACGGCGCCGACGCCGCTCACGGAACCCGGTGTTCCGCCTCTGCTGATGGCGGTATTAAGTGCAGCGCATTGCACAATAGGTGGCCGGCGCGCCGCGTGAACCATATCCGCTCACAGCGGCCGAGTCAAGACTAAAGTGGAAAGGGCGTGCTCCCCACGACAAACTTCCGCGGTGCCACGCACCAGAAACGGCGTTGTTGATCCAAGGAGAGCGCGCACACGGACTCTCCGGTGGTCCCAAAACTTGTGCGGTTATGATTCACGTTCACACGGTCCTCGAACACGCGACGGCAGGGTTGGAAAAAACTTCTGGCGTTTTCCATCGGCAGAGAGGTGAACGAACATCACGGCCGCCCGCTCCAATATAAAACACAGCGGGCAGCTCAATGTTTGCCTTTAACCCCCATGTTTGAGACACGGATCTGGCCCGTCAAAGCAGCCCTCCCACTATGTTTCGAAGAGTGGACAGCTCTTCCGAAGTGATAGTGCAGCGTTGGCTGCACGCACTTACGGCCAGTGTGGAGTTTAGCGAGCAGGGGCGCAGCCAGGCTGTTTTTAAGAGGGAGGTGGGTGGGGTGGGGAAGCGGAGTTCAGCGTTAACGTATCACGCCGTTAACGTATTCACTTTCGATCAGGAACCACCTATGACGGCAAATAAAACAACGCGAGGCCTAGAGGCAAGTCACCGCCTTAGCCATGCTTGTAACAACCGCTGTTGTCACGTACAGCCTTCCGGGTCGTCAGGATCTTCAAGCGTCCAACGTATGACATTGCCGCGAACCATACCACAGGGGTGTGCACTGTTGATGACGATAGCTTCCAACATGTTCGGAAAGCAGCCCCATCGGAACGTATTGCTGGATTGTTATTAAACGAACATTTAAACAGATTTCAAACCGCCAAATGTTTAGCTTGGTTATTTGAATTAGAGCCCTTTCGACCAGTCATGATCATTCCACGGCTATGGGATGAAGAAAAATGGAAAACGCTGGGGCAGGGCTACATGTGACTGGCGGGGGGGGGGGGGGGGGGGCGGGGTCGACCGTTGGTCGACCGAGCGTTGACCCGCGCAGGAAACACCTCTGCCAGGTATGCGCCGGATGCCCGGTCAGTCCCCTCCAGGGAGCCTCCAGGCCCACTCGTGGTGGCGCGTACAGCCTGCCCCGGACAAGCGAGACGTCGCGAGGATTCAGGATAAAGCAAGACAGACGGTAAGAGGGTCGGATCCCACCAAATGAATGACCTGTCCATATGTAATGGGCGCAGGTGGCACAAGGGCCAGCCACATGTACAATGACCGCCGATAAACAATCAATTGGACCGCAACTCATTCCAAGTCGTAAGCGTGTGTGTGAGAGAGTTGTGTGAACCAGGGCTCCGCCGGAAGCTCCCAACGTCGTGGCGTCTGGCATGCCACACCGCGCCGTGGAACCCGTTCACCCGAGGGCGCCGCAGCCGCCGGGCCGCCCCGCCCCCCGTACCGAGTCAGCTGCATATGCATGACGCCGGCCGGCCGGGGGCGCGGCGCTGCCGGCTCGTTACCGGCTAACGGGCCGGGTGGCGTTCCCACGCCGTGCGGCGCCGATTGAGACGCGCCGCGTCTACTCGGCCGCCGTCGCCGCTGAGCGATGGAGACGTCAGCCGTGTGACCATGCCCGGGCCGGCGCGCTCAGCGGCTCGGGGCGCGCCGCGGGCCTCCCGCCCGGGCGATGTCTCGCGCGGACAATGATCGGCTCGCCGGTCGCCGCCGGAGAGGGTGCGTGTGAGTGGAGCGGCGCTGCCGCCGGCGGCTGCGGCGGACGGGCCGCGGCTCGAGCGGTAGCCGCGCCCCGGAGGCCATGGGTCGCGACTGGAGACGGAGGTCCGCTGGTTCATGCAGATGATGGTGATCTCCGTCTTGCCTTCGCAAACTAATCGCACTATTTGGAGTCGAAATCCCGCCGACGAACGACAACGAGAGGGCCAAAACGACTGACAAGGCGGTGCGATGAGAGCCGGGAGCAGTATCGTAACTCTAAGCGTGGACGTGCGTGTCGTGGACACCGTGGACCTGGCACAAGTGCCAAATAAAAATCGTATCTTACTACACCCAACCCCTTCGGCCCCGCTTGGCTTTTAAATATGCTTTTCTATGGCAACTGGTAATCCGTATTCGACTTCGATTGAGCACACTGTACTGAGCACTACACAGATGGCTGGAATCGTAGCTAAACTTGGCGAACACGTGGCATGGTCCGATCAGCCGCTTATGCTATACCCGGAGACGTTGTCAGCAACTGAACAATGTCTCAGTATGTGTTTTCCTCGTAGAGGATATGTGAGGACAAAGAAGTGCCCCAGTGTGACACTCGGTAATAAAATGAGGGCTGGTATCAGACAGCAGTGCAATCGCCACTGACTTCAATGCTCTCGAACTCTTGAACCAAGAGCGGTGCAAACTCAATGTGAATCCATCAAAAGTCCCTGAGCGGGGAATGGATAGATGTCCGGTGTTTCCCATCAGTCGTGGGCAAATGCATTTCAAAGCCAACCGTCTGAAGTAGCCTCTGAGCGTTTAAGATGCCGTGGAGGTACCTAGTCTGGTTTTAGACGCCGCCTTGATACACTTCCCAATACAATGTTAGTTGACAGTCATTGCCCCTTACATGCATTATTTTCCTTGCAAGCCCAAAAACTGTTTCAGCGTAGCATTTAGAACAAACGGGTATCTCCTCATTTGTGTGGCACTATCCCTCGGCCTGATTCCTCCCTTCGCCGCACCAACTTAATGAAGCTTTGAACCCTATTGGGTGAGTAACACGCACCGGCAGCTCCACTTAGGCGCCCCCCCCCCCCCGTCCATAGCGTTACAGGGAAGTCAAGTGCAAAGGTATTCACATCAACATTCGCAAAGCATTCGCCACGTTTTTACAGACTTGCTACGAATGCATCACTGGTCATACATCAGCCCATTCTCCTACACCAATATCACGCCCCATAATCACAAATTCCGCCCACTGAAAGGTCTGGAATCCTGCAATTTCCGTCGACGGGAGCGACAGCAGCAGATGCTGCCCACCTACCTCTGACCAGCGGAAGTTGTTCTTGGCCTCGTCTATCCGCATGTCGATGTCCATGCCGGCCGGGTCGGCCGGGTCCGACTGTCGGACGAGAGGGCCCACGGTCGCGTCAGTGGACGGGCCGGGCCGGGCCGGGTCGGGCTCGTCCAGCGCCGCCGCCACAGCGGTCAGAGCGGGCACGCACACGTGTCGACACCGGTGCCCGACAGCGGGCGGCGGCGGCGCTCGAGACCAACGGCCCACACAGCTGCGCCGGGCAGGACACGTGTCTCACTCGCTCACCACACGACGGCCAACAGACACCATTGTATCACCGTGCTTACAGATGTCCCCCTTGCTGTTCACACAGCACCGCTCGTCGCATTAGCACTCGCGCCCGATCGGTCAGCAGCTGAGCACCTCCCACGCAGCCTCCGGATATAGCGCTGCAGCCGGAGACTCGCGCCGGCAGCCCACGACAACCGGGCCAGAGGGCCCCGTCGACTCCCCCAACCGTCCGCGCCGCTAAAAATAGCGCAAATTTGTTCAAAGCGCCAGGAGGCAATGCAGAAAACGAATCTAACTCAAGTCGCCTGCGGCCGGCCGGCAATAATCGCAGCGCTCACTAAGTTTGCTGTCCAGCGCACCGCTGACCGGGGCGGCCCGCGGGCCTAATAACGCCGGCCCGGTCGACGGCCACCGGCGCCGTTCGTTCCCCGAACACGGGCCGGCCCGGGAGCCGGTCGACGCTGGGTTGTATCGCGGTGCCGCGCGCCGCCGCCAGTCCGCTTTCCGGGAACGGGTCAGCGTCGGACGGCGGCAGCGAGATGTATGGCGGTTCGCGGGCGGCTCGATAGGCGTGACAGCGGGGATCCGGGACGTCACGCGCACCCGCGTGATTGAATTGTCGCATCTGTATACCGCGGGCGTACTAACCACAGCATGCGAATTGGAGGTCGCGGTTCTCACAAGCTGCTGATCAGAATACAACACTGTTACTGAATCGCTCTAGTCTGAGAACGCTGCACGTCATTGGGGTCGACTAGCCGAGCTGAGCTGTGTGCTTCAGCTAATAAGACCAGCTGCAGTGCCAAGACCGGTCCTCCTAACAGGCCTCTCCAGGCTCGAATGTCTGGGGAAAGGAAGCCGCACACACAAAACAATCGGCCGCTTCCTTCGCGTAGCGATGCTCCTTCCTGAGCCGCCCAGACGCGCCGTCTTGCGGCTCGCCGTGTTTTCCTGGCTCCAGGGCATCGGACATGCCCTCCCCAGCGCAGCCTGTCCCCAGCCTCGGCGAGCCACCCAGCCAGCCGGGCCGGGCTGGGGCACCGCCAGCCGGACCCGGGAGCCGGGCGGGCGCGGGTGCCACGCCCCCAGACCCACCTTCTCGCCGCGGTCCTTCAGACTCTGCAGCTGCTGCAACCGCTTCTGGCTCTCGCGCAGCGACTTGGTCTCCTTGGCGAGGCGCGACGTCCACTTGATGGCCTCCTCCTCCAGCCAGCCGGTGCAGTTGTGGTCCATCTTCACCCGGTCCACCTGGCGGGCGGGAGGCCAGTGTCGGCCAGCGTCAACGGTGGACCGCGGGGTTACACAGGCCTGGCACGGCCGCTCAGCACGAGACTCGCCCCGGTGGGCTGGCATAGGCTCTCACGGTGGGGCTTGGGCACCCGTGGGTCCTCCACCCGCGGAGAAAATGCAGCCAAAAAAGGTCTCACAAGCAGCATCATACGCGACGATAACCTGGACTTTGCCCGGAACGGCAAGTAGCTGTGCACTTGTCAGTGACACACAAACGAACCGATGCGGAAGAGACCGCGAGAAAAGGTGACACCGAGGCGAGGCAGATATCACTTCGGAAACACCGACGCTACCGTGCGTCGGGGCTATCAGGGCGTTGGGAGGAGGGCGTCGGGAGGGGGCAGTGCGCACTCATACCCACCGAGTCGCCCTCGCAGGGCTCAAAATCGAGCACCACGTCTTGCGCGATCACCGGGTACAGCCGGTGGTAGCAGTCGATGTTGTACTGCGTCCGGATCTGCAGCAGGCATGGAGGTGAGCTGCACCGAGCCGACGCCAAGTTGACCTATCCCAGGAAGGGGAGGGGGGGGGGGGGGACCGGGCGCCCTGGACTTCACTAATCGACGCCAGATACTGATGCTGATAGGGTGGCGGGTGAAACAAGCTAGAGTATAATGTGAGGTGGAGGAGCATGACAACGATGCGCGGAATGAAGTCCAGCACGCGTGCATCCGCCATTCGAAGTTGGACGCTTGACTTGATCGCACTCCAGCAAGCGTCCGTCGCGGTCTGACCTGGCTCAGAAAACCATGCAAACAGACAGAGCTTTGCAGGCTTACAGGCAAACGGGTTTGCCCTCCATAAGGCTTTGACATTGTCAAGCCCGACATCCTCGCAAGGCTCAGACCAACACGAAACGGACGGCCTTCCGAGAACAATCTCAGACAGGGCTTGGGTCGAACTCGCGGACTCCAGGGAAGGCCGCCCCGAGAGACGTCGGCGGTGGATTTCCGGGCAGCGCAACAAATTGCCTCCCTGTCTGGCACAGCCCTCCGGCGAGAAGCCACAAGCGCGGCCGGGGAGCGGTGGGCTGCCGCGCTACGGAGAGGAAACGGGCCACGTCATGATGAGAGCTTTAGCTGGGTGGCTCTAGCCACACAACAACCAGCCCGCAATGCGCGGAGGAGTCGGTTTCCGTATACCAACGTCGGAAAAACCTATGCCTGTCGGAAACCTGGCCGTTTTTCACAGACCATGGCCTCAGATAAGAATGGCCACAAGATCATTTACCAGGGGATATGGCCAGGCGGATTTCCAACGCAACACTATTTGGTAGTGGGCCATTTCTTCTGGGGATCGCTAAGAGCGATGATGAATTAAGTCGCTGTTTGATGGCAGTCCCAGATCAAAACCGGTGCTGAGAAAGGCAAATAATAAAGAACTGTGGAAACATCGGCTGACAAACAAATTAGATATTCAATGCGCCTTACATGTAGCATAACCCTAAGACATTGGAAATCAGTCATGATTTGATATTAGTGGTGCCGGATGCACAGTAATGCACAGCCCGCACCTCGTGCCTGCAAGAAGGCACAACGCGCGATGTGCAACAAGGCACCCCGTACAACCTGCGTCTGCAAGCCCATCGTTTACAAACAGCATCGGGTTCGGTGAAGATGCCGACAACGCGTCCCATTCGGATCCTGAACTGAGTGGCAACTTTGACCACCAGTCTCTGCCTGTTGCAATGACCGAATTCATAGACTCTATACACTACAACAGCTGTTATTACCCGGAGTGAGCTGGGTTACACTCATTCAGGATGAGGCGGACAGCATGAACCGGGCGCTCCTCGCCACATGCGCGACCGCCTTCGGTTCCGCTGCACCGCTGCCAGTGGAGCTAAACACGCGGCACCGCTTCACGGCCGAGCCGAGGTCAGCCTGGCGAGCCGGGACGGACTCCGAGCAGCCAGCGTTCAGCCAGCCAGCCCGCCTCTCTCGCCGGGGCACTCCAGCGCCCTGTCCAGCCCGTCCCGGTCCGCGTCCGCCGCCGCACGTACCGCCTGCGCCTGGTCGCGCACTTTGGTGAAGGAGGCCTGCTCGGCGGAACAGGTGAGCAGCTCGGTGCGGCCAATCAGCGTCAGGTACTCGGCGATCTTCTCGTACGTGTCGCCCTCCATCGTCTGCCGGAGCGGCCGTTGCCGTCAGCGTGCCGGACGGCGAGGGGGGGGGGGGGGGGGCGAGAGGGCCTCGACCTCACGCCGGCCCTGGTCTGGCACGCCGTGCGGTCACACCGAGGCGGACCCTGCGCTCCGCATGCCACGGCAGCGCTCAAACACGGCGTGATTCCCGCAGTCAGGTGATGCTCCCTCTTCCATCCAACCGAACCAAACGCTCACGAGGGAGCTGCGACACCGAGGCTCGATACCACAGGCAACTGCCCCGCACGTAACTCCTCAGCACATCCCACGACATCTTTGCGACGCTGTTTGCACCCACCGATCTCACAATGCAGTTCGGGGAGCTCAGCACACCTCGCGTAACTTTGCGTCCCGTGGGCTGGTGGCGCAACGGCCGCAATCGCCCGACACCGCGCGCCGTCAGCGCCGCTGGCGGCGCCTCACCCTCAGCAGATGCTGCAGGTCGTGGTGGTGGTAGCGTCGCTGGTGAGCGCTGGCCGACGCCAGCTGCAGCAGGTACTCGTTGCGGGCGGACGTGGAGCGCTCCTCCACCTGGTCCTTCTTGGCCGACAGCTGGCCGGACAGCGGGACGCGTCACGGCCTGCACCGGCACCGGCACCGGCACCGGCACCGGCTGGCTCGCACGGACCGGAAGCCGAGCACCAGCCGAGCCTCTGTAACCCTCCCGGACTCGTGGAGGCGTCAGCGGAACGATAAGCGTCACTGGCGACAGCTCAAGTCATGCGGCTGGGCCTGTTATTACCAGCGGCGGGGCACGCCGTGGAGCCGGGCCGGTCATCGGCCCGGACTTGGCAGCCTAGGTCCAGAGATGAACAGAAGCGGGTAGCTGTACAGGACAGAACACGTACCAGTCGTCAGAGAAACACAGGGATTCGTCCCATTGGCAATCCGTGGGTAACAGGTGACGCAACTCCATTTCGGACAAGACCACGCCTTTCGACAAAAGATGAAGTGGTCGCGCATTTATAGGTTAAGTTTTTTCAGTGAGATCATCGCGCCATCCAGTAAATATTCCATTCAGGTTCACCCGCATCCCATTCACAAATTACGTCTTTCCAGGAGGGTCGACAATCCATTGCTTCAGTTTTTTGTTACCTTGGGTATGCCCGGATTGCTCAACTTATCTTTGCAACATTAGAGGCGATCACCAATTACCAATGGCAATACCAACAGCAATGCAGCAGACCGACACGTGCATCGCCTACAAAATGAAAAATAACGCCGTCGCCAACTCTGAAGTCGATCCTTGCCACGCATTACTATCGGGCTCATTACTATCGGGCTCATGCCCAACGTCCTCAGGAAGTGGGGGTTCATAGCTCCTTCTCCCGCACCTTCTTCTGCACGTGAAATCCATTATATTTGGTTCATACCAGCTAGTGAAATCCCCAAACAATCTGTGCCAGCCAGTCCGTTGCCACCTAATCAGCCGCAGCTCACACGAACCAACCTTTTCTCCCAGCTCAGTTGCATATTTACCTGAAGGCATGGTTTATAGTTTAATTGAGAGGTTTTAGATCTTAAGGGTTTTCACTTTAAGAAGTTTTTTAATAGTTCCATGTCAGCTATCACGCAATCTACCACCATCAAAGGCCACGCTTACTCAAAAGCACGTGCTCACAGAAGGCAAACGTAGCGACTTCCCCACCCACCCCACGAAATGCCCAGCTGGCAGCATGCGGCCACGGTCACACAATCTGCAGTTTGCCCGCACATACATTACCAACCATGCAACGCTACGACGCACGCAATATTTCTAGTATATATATATATATATATATATATATATATATATATATATATATATATATATATATAGCATTTCTGGCTCAAAAGCGTTGGCCGTTCCGCTCGTCTGCCTTCCGGAGCAGCGACGCAATGCCGGGCTTTTAGCGGAGCTCGACAAAAGCCTGGCCAGGACCAATCCACTCACGGAGCCGTCGCTGTGGGCGGGGCTCAGACCAGGCTTTCCTGCGCTAAGGGCAGTCGTAATGACAGCCTCAGGCATGCACATACAGGAATCGAATCACCTGGCGTTTCAAAAGATCGTCTTGGAAGTTTGGCGCCACCGGAATGAAGAATTCGGTAAGGATATGTCGCTCACACACGCGAACTGACTTAGCCTTACCTGGAGCCTTCATGAACGCAAGGTGCTCGACAAACAATGCTTGCCATATGCTCTTGCCTGCGAGCGCAGTTTATTTCAGTCACTTGTAAGTTGGACGACCAGAACACTAAACTTAAGAGCCCCAGTCCCAAGCGGCAAACATCGGCGTCGAGAGGCAATGACTGCCGCCAGAGTCCCAGCGATTCTCCAGAAACAACGCTGAAGACTCTACCTACCTATTACCGGGAGACAAACGCCCAGCGCGAGACGGTCCGGTTGGGGAAAGAGAAAAGATCAAGGGAAATATGCTGGACACGTTATCCAGCCGTACTGGGCACGAGGCCCAGGGCGGGCGTGTCGTCTGGCTCGACTGGCATTAAAACGTCAGCTGATAACTGACCATCGAGTCACGATAGTCAGCCAGGGCTGGGGCGGCCGTGCTGCAGCACGCACGTCACCCTTGGGGTTTTACGACGGACTCAACTCATGAGGATATATGGCGTCGCCTGCCTCTCATCCTGGCAGGAAGTGCCAAGTGCATTATTAGGTGGCACATAAGCCTCCGCAGTCTTGTCTGGCGAAAGTGCGCAGGCAAAATTATCCGTTCAACTGGACGGGACAACTTGGTTGGTGGGTTCCCGGCGCACGCAACAAGCTATATCACTCAGAAACGCGGCCTACCGTCCTGCAGGCTCAAGCTGGAGGCCGAACAGTCTCAACCAGCCGTCTGATACATTGGTACTCACACGATGGACGACTGCAGCAGCCTCAGCTTTCCCGCCGCAATCAGGTAGCACGTATCCAATTACCTGCCCAGCGCTCTCATCCGCTCACGACCTTCTCATCAGTCAGCGGAGCGGTATCGCCTGTCCCCGTCCCCCTACTCGCGAGAGACAGTGCCAGTCAGATGGCAACGGCCCATCAGTTCGCCAGTCCGAGTCAGTCAGCGTCCATCCGGGTCCGTCAGCGTTTGTGCGGGCCCGTCAGCGTCCGTCAGCGTTTGTGCGGGCCCGTCAGCGTCCACCAGCGTCCGCCAGCGTTTGTGCGGGCCGGTCAGCGTCCGCCAGCGTCCGCCAGCGTTTGTGCGGGCCCGTCAGCGTCCGCCAGCGTTTGTGCGGGCGCGTCAGCGTCCGTCAGCGTTTGTGCGGGCCCGTCAGCGTCCGCCAGCGTCCGTCAGCGTTTGTGCGGGCCCGTCAGCGTCCGTCAGCGTTTGTGCGGGCCCGTCAGTGTCCGTCAGCGTCCACCCGGGTCTGTCACGGGCCGCCAGGACCTGTCGGGGTCCGTCAGGATCTGTCGGGGTCTGTCAGCTTCCGTCAGGGCCCACCAGGGTCTAGCCCGGTCTATCAGGGTGGGCCCACCCTCGTTCGCTGCCGCTTGCAGCCTGATCGATGCCGGCGGAGGCGTACCGCCGTGATCAGCCGCCGCCGCGGAGAGTCGGCCGCCCGGTCGATATTGGGGAGCGCGCGGCTCCGATCGCGGCCGCGCTCGCCCCGGCCGCGATCGGTCCCGGCGCGACGCGGCTCGCGCCGGCGGTCCGCTCCGGCCAGAGCAGCCCAGCAACGCTCAGCAGCCCGGCGCGGCGAGCGGCGTCGCAGGGGGCGGGCCACGCCGAGGCCGCCGACCGTGCCGGGGACGCCGCCGGCGGACGGCCAGCGGGGGCGTCTGGCTCTGTGTGACTGGGGAGAGGGCGTCCCATGGCCCGCGGGATAGCGGTCGGGACATTTGATGGGTCCACCGGACCGTTTACGTTTGAGTGTGCGGGATACCTTATGCTGTTTCTTTTTTGCGTGTCATTGCATATGTCCCACCATATTCCTGCCGGCCAGTCAGCTTGGTGTCCGCCCAGTCTCCTCTGCTACAGCGTCGACCACTCAGTCATCAGAAGACATAGAACTGTCTCCTACCGACTGTCCCAACCCAGACTATGGTCTTCTACTCTGCAATTTCTCTAATAGCCTACGCAAACACCACCTTCCTCAAGCCGATCCAACCAGGGGCCAAGCCAATAACACATCACAAGCCAATGACCTTCCGGTCCGGGATCTGTCACTGAAACTGAGGACGTACTTTCCACACCGGTTCCCAGCGACGGCTGCAGCACTCCGGCTGACACCATCGGACACGGCGGCACACAAAAACGCGTGCCGCGTCCGCCCCGCCGGTGACACGCCGCGAACCATCGCCCGCGTCACACGCAGTGCCGCCACTCACCTTAGCGCTGTTCTTTTGTAGCGACGAGAGTGAAGTGAAGAAGCCCTTCTTCTTCTTCAGCCTACGGACAAAACGCGAGCGAATGGTAAAAATACAGAATCCCTGCACGCAGTCGGCTGGATCGGCACGGCAGGGCAGGGCGCAGACATATCGGCAGGCACGATGAGACCCCGCGTGGCCCTCATTCTTCTGGCACATCTACTGACACAATCACCGCCACCACCTCAGCTAATCCATTCCCGATGTCTTCCGCTGGCCTTCCCCTTCCCGACGGGCAGCTGCTAACCAGCCGCTTATGAGGATCGACCGGCGGCCCCAGCACCGGCGTATTAGCGAACAGAGACCTCCCGCACTCTTCTCGTCTGGCCATCACGGGAACACACGGCAAATCACGCACGGCACTACGTAAGCACGACGGAGCCGCCGCCCGCGATGGCAAGCCCACTCCCAGACCATGCGTTCGGTACGCAGCGGCACGACCAAGCCCGGTACGGCGTCAGTCGTGTGCCGCTGGCCGGGCCTGTCGGACCGCCACCGCCGCCGGCGCCGCCGCCGGCCTCGCTCGCCCCGCTCAGCGCCCGGCTCGGCGAGGGCGCCACAGCCGGGCCCCGCAGGCGCCGAGGTCCGCCTCCACCGGGCCCCGGCGAGCTCCGCACGGCGCCGGACACAGCCAGCGACAGCCCGGACAGGCCACGCACCGGCCGGCCCCGGCAGCGAGGCGACCGGCCCCGGCAGCGAGACGACCGCCGGCCGGCCCCGGCAGCGAGGCAGCGAGGCGGCCGCCGGCCGATCCCGGCGGCGAGGCACCGAGGCGGCCGGCGCCGGAAGAGAGGTGGCCGCCGGCCGACCCCGGCGGCGAGGCGGCCGCTGCCGGCGCGTGCGGGAAACAGCCGTGCTACACGCAAAGCGGCAACGCAGGGCGCGTGGACGGCAGGTCAGGCAGGGCGGTCGTCGGGAGCACGGCCGACAACGCGGAGCAGCGCCGGCCCGACCCGACGGCGGGCACGCGAGCACAACACCCCGGCCAGCCTTCAGCGCGTCAGCAACACAGAGTCTGACGGCCGGGCGGCGCCAGGTGCTCGCCAGCGCCTCCTGCGAGGCAACAGTGACCAGCCAGCTGCGCGTTGCGGGCCTCGGACGGCGGCACACCGACAGACGGACGAGCAGGGCCACAGACCAAGAGGCACCTACCAACTACGCCGGCCTCTGCGACAAAGCGGCGCGGGGAACACAGGCAGTGAGCGGCGAGTTCGAGACCGGCAGCGACCCCCCCCCCCCCCCCTCCACCGAGCCGCCACCGGGCCCTGCCAGGGACCCAGCGGTGGCGCTCTGCCCCCGCACGCGCGGCGACGCATGCAGAGCAAAACAACCGGATACGAGGACTCGTCCGGGCCTGTTTAATGCACTGCACGAGGCGAACTGTCACAAGAAATAAGCGCGAACTGTTAACAACTAGGCAAACTATGCAGGCTACAGCGCCGTGCCAACCCTTGACATATGAAGCACGCCCAGGACATTTGGGAACGGGTCGAAACCTGATGGCAGCAGCCAAACGCTGTTTTGCCGCGTTCGAAATAGGGCCAGGGCAGCTTGAATTGGGTTCAGCTGCATGACTGTGGTTGACTGATCACATTCCTTTGGACGTTGATACATGCGGCAGATTTTTCAAAACTATGTGTAGTAAAAAGATTCCTCACGGGGGAAGTCGGCTGCGCATGCTTCGGACGCGATCCTCATCACTACGTCACGAATGCACGCGACAGTCGCTCCGATCGCGCCGCCTCAGTTTGTCGACGTCACAGAGACGCGTAGCTCCGCCCAATGCCCGGCGGCACAGTCTACACGCCCCGGCGGTGGGCGCGACACACTATCGTGACAGGCACGCGAGACCCGGCTCCCCAAACGCGCTACTTTGCAGACATGCGTACATGTGCAATGCGTAGGTCAGCAACTAAAGCCACCTTTTCGTTGCAAAACATTGACACCCGCTCCAAAATGCCGCCCTTCTTGCATCCAAAAAAACGTGGCCTTCCATATTCCGCTTACACGAAATGTGGACACGCTGGTGAAAAGGTAAAAGATCAGGTCCTCCTTGCCGAACTACATCATGAGTTCCGACAAACGTCGGCGAAGCTCCTGCGCCGACCCTGTCCCGCGGGGATACCCCAGCCCACCTCAGGCCGGCCAGCGGAGGACCCAAGGTCGCCGGTGGCCGCCGGCGCGCGTCACTCACTTCTCCTCGGCCTGCTGGGCGCGGTCCCGCACGTCGTGCGCCACGTGCTCGTCATCCAGGTAGCGCTTCTTACAGTTGTCCAGCTCCTGAACGCAGCCCTGCAGCTCCTTCTGGATGGCCTGCAGCTGCTCCAGACACTGCGGCCGGGGCGGCGGGACTGGTCAGCGGCGCTGGGCCCGCGCGCGGAGCACTAGACACGCGGAACAGCAGGCGGCGGCGCAGACACCGGAGGGAGCCCCGGCCACAGATGTGCCCGCCGGCGAGCCAGTAACGCCAGCCGCGCCGCCATAACCGGCAGTCGCCAGGGCGGGGAGCGCGGCCGACAGACGTGGGCGGAGACATCACCAACGATCCAGCGGCTACGAACAGACGGCGCGCTCCGCACCAGGATAGTCTTTCAGAACCCTTGAAGCGTTATCAGTCAACATAATTCTGCAGGACTCGCCACAGTCGCATTGTTGGCGCAATCAATGTCACATGCACTTGGTTTAGTGCTTACCATGGCAACGCATTTTAGCTGAATTCCAAAGCGGCCACTCCGATGTAAATGCCATCGCAAATCTTATTCCGCTCACGGCTATCACATGTTCCGCATGTAAATGTTCTTAGCATTACACTTATGTTAAACTGCGAACAAATTATCGAGAGAAAGCCAACCGAAATAACCGCAAGGAAACTGTAGTAAGCGTGATGGTGACATTGAACGTGGATCCCAGCCGCGTCCCGTATTGAGAGCGCCGATTATGCCACCGTGGACCGTATGGACCGTATTATGGACCGTCAAACTGCCCCTTTTTCCCCGTGGGTACGGCGACAGACCAAATTGTACTCGTAATGATCCAATTTCCTTTATCTGAACCACCTGTGCGGTGAGCGATGCGATCCAGCGACTCGTAGCTTGAAGGTTATTACCCAGATTCTTCACTATCTACAACTGCTTCCAATCGCCTGCGCTCTAGTGCATTTCGGTGAATGGAATCTCGCGTGATGACATCTCCAGATCCGGCTTCAAACGCACTCACAGGCGCTAAATTGTATTGTTTTGCATGCAGACTTGGATCCCGCCATTTCGCCCGGCCATATCAGAGTTTAGCGCAACGCTGAAAGACTGGCTGGCAGGGAAAGTGAGTCACCACAGCACACAATATTGACCGCTACTGCTATACAAACATTAACGCACGCAACACGAGTCGAGGTGGTTAACGCGTCCGCGTTAACCACTCCGCGTCTGGGAAGCCAGAGGCGCAGGTTTCGATTTCCCGCGGTGCCCGCCATCCCTGCCAGGGTGAGAGGCGGGCGACACTTTACAGCCTCAGCAGCTTGAGTGCGCCGTAAAGCCCCAATGACTCACTCACATGAGTCCAAAACCACATCGACAGGCGACAGGTCCTTCCCATCATCACGTGGACACTCCGACTGCCCACAAGAACCCGGACCTCACCACACCCACTGGCCAGGCGGCGGCTCGCCTCACCTTCTTGGACGTCTGCACTTTGCTGGTGCGCACGGTCTTGGCCTCGTCGGTGATGCGCTGCTGGAACACCTCGACAGCGGCCATGCGCGCCTTGGCCAGCTTCTCCGTCTCGTCCAGCAGCGTGCGCCACACGGTAAACACGTTCCTGGGGCCGGGGTTCGGGTTCGGGTCAGGGTGACGCCAAGCACGCCCGCCCAGGACCGCCAACCGCAGGGGCCGACCAACGGACGCGCAGGTCGATCTCAGCGATGAATACCCGATGCAGGGACGCGATGGCATCGATTTGTGAGGGGAGGCGAGGCCACGGCGGGCGGGGGAGCGCCGGGCAGACCGGAGGTCCACCCAGGCCGGAGCCGGGTGGCGGCCACCGCCTGGGGGATGACGCCAAGGCGGGCGGGGGAGCGCCGAGCCGACATTGGGTCCACCCAGGTCGGAGCCGGGCGGCAGCCGCTGCCTGGGGATGACGTCACGGCAGGCGGGGAGCGCCGGGCGGACCCCAGGTCCACCCGGGCGGCGGCCACCGCCTGGGGGATGACGTCACCCGACCGGCCCCGCCCCGACGGGTCAGCACCGGCCGCAACCCCGGCACATGTAATGCCACGGCCAGCTCGGGCCGCGGCGGCCAAATCTGGCAAATCTGAGCCGGCGCCGGGCGACGGTGGAGCCACGCCGCCCCTGATCACATCAGGCTAATCGAATCGGCGCTGTCGGCACTAAATGCGTTGACTCGGAACGCTGTTTCATTTCAGCAGCGTCAGCCGGCGGCGCGCAGACACCTGCCAATATCAGGTGAGACTACGGGACGACGGCGAGCGGGGCGGGGGGGGGGGGGCATCGATAAAGGGATGGCCCGGCGGAGGGCCGGGCGACGGGTGGATCTGGGGGCCACCCTCTGCCCGGGCGGGGGACACCACGCCTGAGCCACGTGGCGACGTCTGGACCGGGACACCGCTGGGGCGAGCACAACGCTAGACCGATCGGAAATCGATGGCTTTACTCCGGCCTACTTACGGGCGACGAACGAGACGGTAGATCAATCGCACGCATCGTAGGAACATCGTAAAATGAACGCAAGAACATCCTCGGGAAGGGGATGAACGCACGCGTGTGTCGACAGAGCTTATAGGGTCGGACAACGAAAAACACATACGATTCTGGAGTTTTCGTGTGTGCACTAGGGGAACGTGAACAACTCTCACTACATCTTGTACGTCTGAGCACTTAATTGAAATTTTCATTGGCATAACGCACATTTAAGTCGTGCCCGTATCTGCTGAAACGTCGTCCAACTCAAGTGTTCATGACAGTCATCTTAATACTCGCAGAGGTCAATAGATATGTTATCGTTCATGCTATCTAATCCAAGAGCAAGGTGGGAAGTCTTCGCGAGCCCAATATCGGGCCTCCGCACCAGAAAGACCGGATACCACGGTTACGACACGCGGCTGCCGTCTAATGGAGATCTTCACGGTGCTTCAAGCGCACGCGGTACACGACACAGCGCCGTTCCACGTCGAGCGCGGCGCTCTCCCCCACTGACCATTGTTCGGCGCCCTCGCCGGGGATCTCGGGCAGCTGCGGGATCTTCTTGTGCAGGTAGGCGGAGGAGATCTTGAGTAGCGCCTGCCGGACGCCGGCCAGTCAGTGGGCGAGCGGGCGCAGCACGGCCGTGCCACTGCCGCCCGCAGACACTCTGCCGCAGAGCGGGGCTGCTCCGGCGACGCGCTGCGTCGGCGGGGTGGGGGCCTCTCCACATCCCAGCGATGGTGAGGTGCTGATTCGGCGTTTACGTGAGCGTCGCAGCAAAGGTCACAAACGTCGGGCCGTCTCCGTCGTGCGTGATGACGCGTGTGATGAACAACGCAGGGATCAGTGGGAAGGCTGGGCGGCGTCACCATAAATAGCACTCCAAAAACGCCACCGAAGCACATGCATTCCTCACCTCAGCATACGACTTCTCGACGGCGGCCCTCTGTTTCGTGAAGTTCCTGTGGATGTGACGCTCTCTATCATTCCGACCCAGCTGCGCGGGTGCCGGCTGCCACACACCCGGTGATCAGCTCTATCTCAGAGCGACGTGACAGCCGTGCCAAAGCTAAGTTCGATATGTGGCGAGGCCTTCGGCGATCAACGTATCAACTGTCACGGTCACTGGGACCGGCTGTCGCACAGAGACTGGGAAGGCAGCTCGCCAGAGCGGTGAAGACGGCGGAACCAGACGTTCCACACATGTGACGCACAGCTCACGATGGCGCCTCTCCACTGACAGGAGCGGGACAGCAGCGGCGCGCCAGTGCACCCCTCCCGCCTCCCGCAGCCGGGCTGACAGATGCGGTAGCCGCTGCGCCTGGGCTCGGCCGTCCCCCGAACCCCCGGAGCCGGCGCGGCGAGTCTCTCGCTCACCTGATGTCCTCGAACAGGTCACACTCCCGCTGCCGGGCTGAGAGACGCGGTAGCCGCTGCGCCTGGGCTCTGCCGCCCCCCCCCCCGAGCCCCCGGAGCCGGCGCGGCGGGTCTCTCGCTCACCTGATGTCCTCGAGCAGGTCACACTCCTGCTGGTTCTTGGCCTGCACCCGGCTCAGCTGCTCAGCGTGTAGTGACTTCAGGAACTTCGCGTGCGTGGTCTGCAACAGCGCTTACGTCAGGCACAGTAGGCTCGACTTCGCTTTGGCACCTCACGATCTGACGTGCCATTACCAGGGCTGGGGTTGGCAAACTCAGGACCGCCAAGCGCCGAGGGTTTATGATCGATTAACCCAAAGCCTTAGTTCTTGCAAGAATCCATTTTCTACTGAGTTTTGAGACTTGCAGTTTTCTGCGCATCTTAGTGTTTTGCTGCAATCAGGATTTGTGTTAAGTTTCGGGGTTTCCGCTATGTCTCTTCGGTGGTGACGTTTAAGTTACAAAAAAAAAAACATGCCAAATTTGGTGCTGTATTGCTAACCAAAGGCACGACAATCACCTAGGTACCAAAAGAACGTGCGCAGCTACTGACTGCGATTTTTTGATTACCTTCACACGAACCTGCAACATTTTTAGCAATGTTCAGCATCACCTTATTCCAAGTCACCTCAAAGATACCAAGCGACCACCTGTTCAAAGAGCACAGTGTAGATCACAAAGTGAATGTGATCTACACTGTGCGCGCCTTCTTGCCAGCCACACTGTACATCACAAAATAAAAACATTTTCGTAATTTACGAGATCACAAAATCGACAAATGAACACGCCTTACAAAACGTGAACAGAGTATCTCCCCGTTGTAAAACTCTGCCAACGCGTCGGTGATTTTGTACCAGTTTCACTGAATGCCAGGAATTTAGATTATTGCATGGTGTACTCGTAAAGCGGAATACGATCACTGCGGCTACGTAATCTATATCCTCATGACACCAATATATATCAACTTGACGCTGCATGGAATGGCATTGGTGCTTTTCCAAGTGTCCTTTACATAACTACCGGTGCAGTGCAACGACCGGCCTGCAGCACAGACCAGCGGGCGAGCAGGCCCCGGCCCCCGGCCCCCGCCCCCCCCCCCCCCCCCCCCGGGCCGAGCGACGATGCCGAGTGCAGCGCACGTAAACGTCGTCAGCAGTTTGCAAATGCCCAGCTTGCCAAGTTTGAAATATGTAGTCTCGAGTTATTGTTCAGGGTATGTTCGAGTCGTTCATTCATCAACTACAACTAGCCAAAAATGGCCGTCTGCTGGGAAACACTTTTTAGCCCATGACTAGCATTAATCAATTTTGTACCACAAAATCTACCTTGGCTCTTGCCAACGATTCCAACAAATATCAGTAATAGTATTCACTCTGACTAAAAGAAAGCAAAAACTGAGGAGAAAAAACAACAAAAACCCAGGTGTGAACCGTGCTAACATGTCAATGTTGATATGGCTGGTCAATCACAACGGGCCTCGGCGATCTGTAATGACTGAGTTGCTGTCCTGTTATTAACGCACTTACAGCATTAATCAAAAACTCAATACGGGTTTTGATCTAAATTAGCAACCCAAACACCTTCAAACTCACTGGGCTGGGCTCCACTCTTAACAACCTTGTCTCGGGCACGGAAGTTACTGCTCAGACAAAACGATCATAGACCCAGAACAACGGTTACAGCTCAGGAGCAGGCGCCACATCTCAAGCACTGTGGTCACAAGTCACGAACGAGGTCACAGCCAAGGCACAGCGGTCACAGCAAGGAACAGTGGTCACAGCTCACGAACATCTGTCACTGCCCAGGATTAGTGGTCACAACTCACGACCAGCGGTCACAGCCAAGACACAGCGGTCACAGCTCAGGGACAGCGGCCACAGCCAAGAAACAGTGGTCACACCTCAGGGACAGCGGCTACAGCCAAGGAACGGTGGTCACACCTCAGGGACAGCAGTCACACCCCAGGAACAGCGGTCACAGCAAGGAACAGCGGTCACACCTCAGGGTCAGCGGTCACTGCTAAGGAACAGCGGTCACGGGACAGTCCCCACAGCACAAACAGCGCAGTCTCAGTTCAGGTGCGGTGGTCCCAGCCCAAGTGCAGCAGCTGGAGCTCAGGGACGGTCGCCGGAGGTCGAGCACAGCGGCTCCAGCTCCGACGCCGTGCCGACCCTTCAGCACGGCGGCCACCACTCAGCCACGGTGGTCCAGGTCAGAAACGGCAGCCGCGGCTCAGCGTCAGCGGTCGCTGCATGCAGTCCAGAGACTGCAGCCACAACTCGGGGCACGGCTACGGCTCAGACATACCGGCCACAGCACGGCAGCAGCGCTGGATGCAGCCCCGAGACTGCAGCCACAACTCGGGGCACGGCTACGGCTCAGCCACGCCGGCCACAGCACGGCAGCAGAGCTGGATGCAGCCCAGAGACTGCAGCCACAGCTCGGAGCTCGGCCACAGCTCAGGCATACCGGCCTCAGCACGGCAGCAGCGCTGGATGCAGCCCAGAGACTGCAACCACAGCTCGGAGCTCGGCCACGGCTCAGGCATACCGGCCACAGCACGGCAGCAGCAACCAGCGACCATATCCCAGAAGTCAGCAGCGGCGGCCACAGCTCAGTCGCAGTGAATTCGGCTGACAGACGGCGGCCACAGCTCGTCGCTGGTGCAGCTGGAGACAGCTCGGTACGTTAATGGCGACTGGAGCATTACGGGGGATCGACGACGGAGCGATCCCGGTAAGTAATGGGATGCTCTGCAAATTGCACCGAAAAAAAGGTCGTTGGCTCTACACACTCAGGAAAATGGCGCACTCATACCAATATGATGAAGGGCTTGTTCTGAGAATGTGCGTGGACTAATGGAAGGATGAAACAACGTACCCCTGCCCCGCTTCACAAATGATCCCTTCTTTGCCCCGTGTGCCATGTGCCGTCCGTTCTCTGCCCCGTGTGTTCCGCGCCGTCCTGTATTTGCCCCGTGTGTCCTGCGCCGCCCGTTCTCTGCCCCGTGTGTCCTGCGCCGTCCGTTATCCGCCCCGCGCGTCCTGTGCTCTCTGCCCGCTGAGTCCTGTGATCTTTGCCAGATGCGTTTTGTGCTCATTGCCCCACGTGTCCTGTGATCTTTGCCCCGCGTGTCCTGTGCCGTTCCTTCTCTGCCGTGCGTCCTTTGCCGTCCGCTCTCCGCCCCATGTGTCCTGTACTCTCTGCCCCGTGCGTCCTGTGCTGTCTGCCCCGTGTGTCGTGAGCTCTCTGCCCCATGTGCCCTATAGTCTCCGCCCCATGTGTCCTGCACTCTCTGCCCTGTGTGTCGCGAGCTCTCTACCCCTTGTGTCCTGTGCTCTCCGTCCCATGTGTCCTGTACTCTCTGCCCCGTGTGTCGCGAGCTCTCTACCCCTTGTGTCCTGTACTCTCCGCCCCATGTGTCCTGTACTCTCTGCCCCGTGCGTCCTGTGCTGTCTGCCCCGTGTGTCGCGAGCTCTCTACCCCTTGTGTCCTGTGCTCTCCGTCCTGTGCGTCCTGTGCCGTCTGGTCTCTGCCTCGTGTGTCCTTTGCCGTCTGGTCTCTGCTCCGTATGTTCTGTGCCATCTGTCCTCTGTCCCCTGGCCTGTGTCCGCACCGGGGGCCGGCCGCCCCAGCTGACCGGCTGGGCCGAGGTCACGCGGCGGCCCTATCGATCCCCGCCGAGTCCACCGCCGCTCCCTGGAGCCCCGCCAGCGCGCTGCTGCCGCCAACCGCGGCGGCGGAGCGGCCGGGATGGCGCGGGTCGGGTGCGCCAGCACACCCCGTCGCCGGCCCAAGCACCGGCGCCGTTTGGCGACGGACTCATCGATTGGACAACCTCTCCGGCGGCTGTCAGTCTCTGTCGCCCCGTCCCGGCCGCTACCCGTGACCTTTCCGGCGGGTCAGGGCGTCCCAGATCCGCGGCGGCAACGTCCGGCGATCGCCCGCCGTCGCCGCGCGGGCGGAAGCCGAGAAACTTCGGTCCCCGGTCGGCAACGAGGCGACAAACGCTCCCAGAAGTGACAGCGGCGGTGCTGGTGCCTGGCGCGGACACCGTGGTCTGAAGGTCCCGCAGATGCCAGTCGAACAGCCGCCGGTTGAACGGGTGGCATGGGAGATGAACGCCGGGCGAGGTGGACGACGTTGACCGCAGTTTGGACAGACGATGCGTCGTTGTTGGGCGGTGGAGCATCCAGACAATACCCTAGTACGGCACGTGGCGGCCGGGCCGCGTCGACAGGGGGCCTCACATTTGTCCTTCCACGCCAGTGGCCACCAAGACGGCACTAGACGCCAAACCGGCCCATCCCGAGCCTGCAGACAATGGTCCCGGGTCCAGCCATGCGCGCTTATTTGTCGCGCGGAGACCCGAGCACGAACAAGCCTGCTATCTGAAACAAAATTGTAGTCACGTAAAGCTGTTTTAATCTAGCTATCATAATTGGATCCCGAGTCTGTTTATTCTTCGTTAATAACAGACACAGAAGAACAAAGTAAATCCAAAGTTAAGTTGCTTCCCGAGTGGACAATGACAAATTGAATGTGATTTAATGGGTAACCCTTGCATTTTGACTTCAACACGCGGCCTCGCCTCATTATCCGGAGCCTCGGCACGACGGGAGCCCGTGAACACGTGGGCCCCGCCTCATCATCCAGAGCCTCGGTACGACGGGAGTCCGTGAACATGTGGGCCCCGCCTCATCACCCAGAGCCTCGGTACGACGGGAGTCCGTGAACATGTGGGCCCCGCCTCATCACCCAGAGCCTCGGTACGACGGGAGTCCGCGAACCTCCCAGTAGCAGGGAGGCCGCACCGACCAGCCGACGGTCCCGCCCCGAGCCGGAGGACCGGCTGGTCCGCAGACCATACCGCCTCCCCATCGTCGCTCGTCCGATAGCGCCCAGCACCAGCCGCGCACCTCTCGCGGTGCGGTCCGGCCGTCTGCCGCTGCTCTGTCGGCTGGAACCACACCCATTGCCGCCGCCGCGGCACCTGGCCAGCCCGGACGGGCGCGGCGGCCTCCAACGAGGCCAGCCCGGCCGGCTATCTTTACAGCCGGCCGTTCCCCGAGCGGCCGGCCGCCATCCCGAGCTCGGCCGCCCGGCTGGCGCCGCTCAGCCAGCGAACGGCGGCCGACGGCCTCCTGCACGGCGTTCGGCACGGCGCGGCGGGCGTCTGGGATGGCACGCGGCGGGGCCAGACCGGCCGCTGTTGCAGACCAGCGGACGACCGTTCAGACATGCGACAGTGGGCCGGGCGGCGACAGGCGGCGAGCGACGGCAGACAGACGGCGGGCCGGCGGCGGCCACCGCGACGACTCGCCCGGCCCGGCCGAGCGCGGCTGCCTCCAGCGAGGCCTGCGCGGCCGGCTATCTTTGCAGCCCGTCGTCGCCCGAGCCGCCGGACACGGGTCCGATTGGCTGGCCGCCGGACCACGTCGGGGCGTGGAACGACCGGCGACCTGCGCGGCGTTCGGTGCGGCGGCGAGCGAGATGGACACAGCGGGCTCGCGCCGACCGCCGCCGCCGGCCGGCGGGTGGCCGTCCATCGACGCACCACGGCGACCGCACAAAATCACGCCACGACTGTGGCAGCTGTTGCGTGCGGCGGGCTCTCATGCGGCAGAATTGTCCAAGCGGTTCCACGGCGAGGACATCGCAGTTGCCGCCGCTGTTTGAGGGGCCGACCCGTCGCCGCACTGGCTCGCGTGCCAGGCGATGCGTCACGCACACCGCACGCGCCGGTCTGGCCCCAGCCAGGACCCAGCTAGCCGGAGGCACTGCTGGCGGCGCAAGCCGTCCGAAATGCTGCTCAAGCTCGGAGGGAAGAGCGTGGAGCAGGCGAAGCGACGTTGTATCTTATCCCAGATGTCGCCGAAGTCACGGCTGATCCGACGCCTCCTTTATTTGTCGGCTGTGTATGCTATCTGTTCAATGTGCTGCTGCATTGCGAACGTCTATTGCAAGTGCGATACCACCAGAAAACTTTCCTAAAACCAAATTTTGCGCGTAATACGCGGGGACATCAACGACAGCAGTCCTCCACTGCAATGGCGCGTAACGCGTCACATCTCCCACATCTCGACGCGACCACCTTTTAAAGTGCTGGCCGTGTCTGCCGTCTGCCATGGTCGCCAAACAGCGGACGGCTCCACGTAAGCGTGCGGCAGCTTGCGCACGACCTGCATTGCTATTTGCACCTGCCAGCTTGGCCTTTGGTCAACGATGACAACCGTGAAGAATCGACCGGGCTTCAGCACCGTCTTCAGTCTTCCGGCCATCGGCAGACGGCGGAGACTGCGCTGCGGCGGACGGAGTGCTGCCGGGTGACCTGGCGGTGCCGGGGTGACCCCGAGCCGCCGGCCGGGCCCCGCCCCGCCCGCAGAACACACCCACCCGCCCGAGCCCGCCTCATGCAGCCCCGCTTAGAAACACGCCATCCCCCGCGCCACAGCACTGGCAAGCGATACGGATTGAGCGCGCCATGCGAGACGGCGGACGCGCTGACTGACGGTGGATGTACGCACTCTGATCACGGGCACGGGCATGGGAGAGACTTGGGTGGCAACGCTGGACAACGCGCGCACAACATGGCTCACAGAGTCTCACCTCCACGGGCCGTGGAGCCATATATGGCTGGAAAGCACGCGCAGCTTATGATTATCAAGCATGTTGAAGGTGGACTTAGTTCAGTATGCATGGAATCCCAGGAGGGCCTTCAACCATCCACGAACGAGATAGAACGGATGCCGGGCCCTTGGAGAAGTGTACGCAGAGCCTTATTTATTCGATGCCAAAATAGACGAGCATTGACGTTTGCGTTAAAAGACGAGCAACCGTATGGACGAGGAAAGTTGTGTTCCAATGAGCAACTTTCATCGCAACGCCTACTATATTAGAGCGCCAGTAAGCAGGCCAGGTCACTGCGCTCGCATTAACTAGACGAGCTGGCCTGATGAGCTCATAAATTGATAGTCACGCCAACAAACTTCGGCGCACTACCAGTTATTAAGCTTGGGACGCCATTTAACGCCGGCTTGATAAATCCACACCCGCCGATCTTGCTCATTACCTGGCTTATTTTGCATTCAGTCACATAAGAAACGCGTGACTCTTTGCCGAGGCCCCTTCCAAAATCAAGCCCATAAAGCATACCGCCACGGAATTAAACGGCGCTGATTTCACTGCAGGTGGGTGAACTTGATTGGGTTTATATTCCTCATTGATAATGGCACAATTTTCAACTTAACCCTCGAACCTAACCGTGCGTGGGACCCAAATTCGTCCCCTGTCTGAAAAGCTCCCAACTAATCTTGAGTATACCTACCATTGGAAAGACAATCGGGGTGGTTAACTTGATGGGGTGGGGGTCTCAAGATAGCGCGTTAACAAGGGGACGAGGATGGTCCTCCCACTTCTTAAAGAAATTCAACGTTACCCCCTGGCGACGCATGACAAAAATACCTGCTACAAAACGGGACGTGGCTCTTGCACTATCTGAAACGTTCCCAAGCCTCCGCGCAGGGACAAGCGAAACACGAAGGACAGGGTAAGCGCTGAAGTTCTACCACACGATCGGTTCGTGGCGCGACAGATAGTGTGCCATATTTCTTCTGGTCTAACATGACCTACCGTGTCATAGCATGCACATATTCCGCAACGCATCAACAAACTCCAAAACGCCAGACATACCACGTAAACTAAGCTCCTCTTAAGCCGCTGATTAAACGAACAGCGAGTGCAAGTAACCAACGTCCGACCAAAACAGACTAGTGTTTACTCGCCACGGTCTGGACCACTTCGACGGGGTAATTTGGGCCTCATCACCTGCAATTCATACGACTGATCTCACTGAACTTACCGACAACTGACCGCGCCGCGCTTCGGATAACATGATGCACGGGCACGAGTGTGCCGTCGTCTACCAGGGGACGGGGCCAGCAGTCACCGCTCGCCAGAGGACGGGTCCGGCAAAGTCAGCGTCCGCCGGGGGACGGGCCCGGTAGACACCGTCCACCGGGGCACGGGCCCGGCAGAGTCACCGTCCACCGGGGCACGGGCCCGGCAGAGACACCGTCCACCGGGGCACGGGCCCGGCAGAGACACCGTCCACCGGGGCACGGGCCCGGCAGAGTCACCGTCCACCGGGGCACGGGCCCGGCAGAGTCACCGTCCGCCGGGGGACGGGCCCGGCAGAGTCACCGTCCACCGGGGGACAAGCCAGGCAGAGCCGCCGTCCACCGGGGGACGGGCCCGGCAGAGCCGCCGTCCACCGGGGCACGGGCCCGGCAGAGACACCGTCCACCGGGCCACGGGCCCGGCAGAGTCACCAGTCACCATCCACCGGGGCACGGGCCCGGCAGAGACACCGTCCACCGGGGCACGGGCCCGGCAGAGTCACCGTCCGCCGGGGCACGGGCCCGGCAGAGACACCGTCCACCGGGGCACGGGCCCGGCAGAGCCGCCCTCCGCTGGGGAGCACGGGCGCGGACGTGGGAACACCCAACTGGGACGGAGCCCGCCCACGAGCCGCGCACGTCTCGGCCTCGACTAACAATGCTGCCAAACGCGCAGCACTCACCTTCCTGGGAGGGTTCTGCATGGTGCAGTGGCGGCGGTCGGCGGTGACCGGCGGTCAGTGCATGGCGCGGCGGCGGCGGCGGCGGCGGCGGCAGCGGCGACGGCCGTGGATCGGCATCGAGCCCCGGCGTCGCCGGCCCCTGTCAGTATTGATCCCGCCGGCGGCCCCTGCGCGCGCGCACCACCCACCGCCGGCCGCACTGGCACGGCCCCGCCACTGGCCCGGCGGGCACCGGCGACACCCGCCCCGTACAGACCGACCAGCGATTGGCTGCCGGGCCTGTTGCGCTTGCATCGGTACGTGCCACTGACTGAAGCTGTAGCCAAGGCTGGCGAGCCGTCGGCGAGCGGGTTAGAGCCCGGTTCCCCGCCCGTCCAGGATCAGTCGGTGTGTCGTGGCGCTTACCACGCCAATCCTTCTCCGGCCTGATCAACTGAGTGGGTCTGTGCCGTGCCGACCTTTCGTTACGAACAAAAGACACCCAGCCCATCTCCGGTGTTGCTGCTGCCCAGGAGTCCTCCTAGCTCGCTCCGGTATTAACTGCCTGGAGCGGCGCATGCCCGCCCGAGCAATCACCCGAGAGTGCGGTCGGTTCAGCGGATTCATGTTGCGACGAGAATCCGCTGGACCGGCTGCACTGTCCGTTCAGCGGATTCTCGTCGCAACGTAAATCCGCTGAACACATATCCGCATATCCGAGAAGGTGCGGGAAGTATGGCCTAATGATTTCGATGCCCATACACGGCAATACATACAGATGAAATACGAGGTATATTTATTAAATTGCCATAAGTAACAGTCGATGCTATGTACAGCATGCCAAATGTTCACTTACAATATTTACAATGTTTAACCATGTCAGTATGGCCAGGTAACAGTTCAATAGATTCACAATAAATACGAAAGAAAAGTTATGTACACAATACAAAAATATGACACAAATACAAAAAACTACCGCTCCGCATGATTGGCGCCTAACATTAAATTACTAGGCTACGCCGGCGGCCCGGGCCTGTATGGGTCGCGTCTCAGGTCAGGTCAGGTCAGGTCAGGTCAGGTCCGGTTAGGTCAGGTCAGGACTCGGGCCGCTGGGGCGGCCGCCCTCCGACGGCGCGAGACCGGCCGGGCCGAGCAGCCCGGTCGCGGCGCCCCCGCCCGAGATCACATGGAGTCGTGTTCCGTCGGACCCGGCGCAGACCGCGGCAGCGGCGGCGGCGACCGGCCCGCGCCAGAGATAAAGCTCTTACATCTAGGCGACTCGCGCGGCCGCAGGCGGGGTGGGGCGGGGCGGGGAGAACGGCAGCTCGCAGCGCGGCGCGGCCGCCGGCAGCGAGACTCGGCGCTCGCCGCCCGTCACGGCCGTCGACGCGTCGCGCGACCCGACCCGACATGGCACGCACTCCGCGGCGTGCGCTTCGATTGAATGCAGTTCAGCTAGCTAAACCCTAGGCAATGCGCACCCCGTTCAGTGAGCAGTGATAATCGATCAACACTTGAACAATGCCTTTATGAAATTGAAGTCGTCGCTAAATTTGGAGCAATAAAAAACTAGCAATTTCGTGATTTCATGAACACAACAAATTATAACAGCCTTACGGAAAAGCGCGTAAAAGACTCTCACAGGTGAGAACACCTTTGCTCCATTGCAATGTACGCCAGATAAAAACGCCGATGTTGAAAGCCGCTGTCTCCATTCTCATCTCGTCCTCCAAATGCGAATTGCATGTTTCCAGATGCCAACCATACTTATTCTATGCACAATTTGTATCAGCGCTGCAGATTTTTGGGCCACCCGAACACGCCGACGACGTTTTCTCACGACGAGCCTCTAAAACGCTGCGCCCGACGTTAAAACGGTAACATGCACCAGCCGACCGCTCCGAACCAACGGACTGCAAAACCCACGCGCTACACATCATAATGCCTGATCTGCGATTCAACTGCATGTCTCACGAAAAGATCAACGAGCGGCACCTGGTCCAATGCCGCACCAGCCCGCGATCGCATCCACAACAGCTCCCGCAAGATAAAAACAATACCCGTTGCCCGTCGTCAGCGCCCGGTCCGCGACGAATCACGCGCGTGAAACCATCGGCCCGCGCGGGCCCGGCCGGGCGCAGCGGCGTCTTTACCTGTCGGCGCGGGCGGCGACGGTGACGGTGACGGTGGCGGCGGTGGCGGCGGCGGCGGCGGCAGCGATGGCGGCGGTGGCGGTGGCGCAGACGGTGACTAGGGTCAGGCCGGGGCCGGGACGGGCGGCGGGAGGGGAGCGACGGCAGGAGCGCGCCCCGGCCGCCGGCTCAGGATCAGGAGCAGGACACTAGCGGAGCGAACAGAAACAGACGGTCACCGGCGCCCGGCGCGCGCCGGCCGCACCAACCCAGCACACGACACCAAATGCACCATCCCAAACGTAAAAAGGAATGTCACGCGGCATGCGGCGTCGCGCGCGACCGCGGCGCAGCACTTATTGGGGCCGCACGCACCATCGCACCCGTCACACGGTCGAACAGTCTGCCACGGATAAATTCTAAAACAACACACTCAACGCACACTGAGGCCCATATCACAACGTAGACGCCGGCCACCGGCTGTGCGCGTCAGGGACGGGGCGCGGCGCCCGGGCCCGGCGCCGCGCCCGCGCCGTCCCCCTCCCGAGTATCACACGATCACCGCTGTGGCGGCGGCGGCCGGCCGGCGGCCCGCCGCTTTGTACCGGGCAGGCTGGCTGGCTGGCGCGCGCGCGGGCGCGCGGCGCGGGGCTACCTGACGTCGCAACTCTCGGCCAGCTCGCCGGCGCCCACTTCGGGCGTGAGCGTGGGCGGCGGCGGCGTGTCGGCGCTGGCAAAGGCCGGCCCGCGCCGCGACAGCGTCAGCTTGAGCGGCTGCAGGCGGCCCGGCTCCGGCTCGGCCGCCAACGGCTTGATCTTGACCACCAGGTCCTTGTGGCCGCCGCTGTCGTCGCTGGGCGGCGGCGTGGGCTGAGAGAGCGGCGGCGGCGGGGTCTCGGCGCCGCCGCCCGACGCCGACGGCGAGTCGCTCGGCTTGCGGCCGCCCAGTTTGATAATCAGCTTCGGCGCCGCGGCAGTATCGTTATTAATAATTTGTACTTTGGAGTGTTTGTGAGACTTGTCTCGTTTCTTCTTCTCCTTGTCGCGGTCTTTGTCTTTCTTCTTTTTCTTCTTCTTGCCCTTCTTATGCGGCGGTTCCTGGTCGAAGCTGGCCAGCATCTGGTCACCGAACTGCAGATTGTCCTGCCGAATTTTCTCGAACACAGACAGTTCGCCGGCCGCCGCCGACAGCTCACCGGTCCGCTTCTTCGGCGGCTTCAGCTCGCTTCCACGCCCGTCCTTGCCGAGGCTGATGCGCAGCTTGTGCGGCACAGCCTCCTGCGCAGTGACCGCCGCCGCCGCAGGTTCGCGCGCCAGCCGACCGCGCCGCTTCGGCAGCAGCGCCGCCGCCGCCGCGCCGCCCTCCTCCTTGCCGGCCACGGCACCGCGGTAGTCGTCGCGCGTGGGCGCGCTGCTCACAGACTTGACCGCCTTGGGACAGATGAAGCGCTGGCTGACCACCGAGCTATCCTCCTGCGGCGGCGCCGGCTCGGCCGCGCCCTCCGTCTCCGTGCTGTTGACGTACTGCCGGATCAACTCCTTCTTGCGCTTGCGCAGATTGGAGTTGACGGCCACGGCGGCGGCGGCAACGGCCGCGGCGCTGGGCGTCGCCGGCAGCGCCTCCGACGCCGCCGCCGCCACCGGCTGCACGTTGTAGCTCGGGTTGAGGAACGGGCCCTTGATTTTGAGCTTGAGCTGGTTGCGTTCGTCGCGGACGCTCTCGATGGGCGCGGCCAGTGGCAGTTCGGGCGGCGCGTCGGCGGCGCATGGCGCGGCCGACGCCGCTGGCTCCTCGGCCTCGACGGCAGCCGCCTCCTGCAGCGCTGGTGGCGTGCCGGCCGACTCCATGCTGGTCTCGGAGGCACCCGGCTGCGTTAGCGTGGGCAGCACCTGCGGCAGCGGCGCCGCCGCCGGCAGCGACGAGCGGCTCGACGCGTCGTCGGCCGGCTCCGACATGGCGGAGCCGGCCCGGTCCGAGCCCACGTCCGTGCTGAGGAAGCGCTCACGCACCGGCCGCATGCGGCCGCGTGGCGTCTTCGGCAGGTCGTCCAGCTCGTCGTCATCGAAGTCGTACACAGTGCCGGCCAGGTCGTTGGGCACCTGCGGCTTCGGACAGAAGGGCGCAGCGCGCGTGGCGGCGGCGCCGCGGCCGCGCCCTCGTCCGCGGCCCCGGCCTCGACCGCGGCCGCCGTACACGGCCTGCGCGGCAGCCGCCTTGCCACCGCGGCGGCCGCGGCCGGCCGGCTTGCCTTCGGCCGCACGCGGGCTCTTGCCGGGCGAGGCGTGGCGCGCCGCCGCCGCGCGGCGCACCGGCACCACCGGCTCGGCGTCATTGAAGTCGCTAGCGTCGGTCGACTGGATCTTCTGTATCTGCATGCTGGCCTTGAGGCTGGACTCGCGGCGGCCACGCGAACGGCCGGCCGCCGCCGGCGCCGGCTCGACGTCGGGTGCTGGTGCTGGCGCCGGTGCCGGTGCCGGTGCCGGTGCCGGTGCCGGGGCCGGCACCGACACTGGCACGGGCACAGTGGCCGGCGCCTCAGCCGGCAGTGACGGCGTGGACGCGGCCGGCGGCTGCTCTGTGCTCAGCGCGTCCGGCGCCGCGCCCACGCGCGGGAACTCCGACACAAGCTCCTGCGGTGTCGGCTGGCTCAGCACCTTGCTCTTAGGCGCCTGCGCCTCGGCGACCGCCTCGCGCGCCGGCTCCGAGTCGGGCGGCGCCGGCGGCGGCGACGCCACCTTCAGCTCGTCCTCCTGCGTGACCAGCGCCTGGAGCGCCTGCAGTCGGCAGTGGTCAGGCTCGGCAGCCGGCGGCCGCTGGTCCTTGGCACGGTCGGCCGGCTTGACCAGCTGCCGTTCGGCGGCGACCGGCGGCGGCGCCAGCAGCCTGCGACGCAGTTCGGCTTCCTGCTCGGCCATCAGAGCCTGCAGGCGCACCTCGGCCTGCTTCCGCTGCTGCTCCTCCTCTTGGCGGCGCAGAAGCTCCTCCTCTTGGCGGCGCAGAAGCTCCTGCTGGAGCCGCTCCATGTCGCGGGCGCTGCGCTCCTCCTCCTCACGCCGCAGCCGCTCCTCCTCCTCGCGCCTCAGCCGCTCCTCATCCTCACGCCGTAGCCGCTCTGCCTCCTCCTCCGCTTCGCGTCGCCGACGCTCCTCCTCCTCCCGCCGGCGCAGCAGCTCCTCCTCCCAACGCCGCTCCTTCTCCTCGCGCTTCAGCCGCTCCTCATCCTCGCGCCGGCGCCGCTCCTCCTCGCTCCTCCGGCGCCGCTCCTCGGCGTCCTGCCGCGCTCGCTCCTCCTGCCGTTTGATCATCTCGTCGTGCTTGCGCAGCTCCATTTCTGCTTCCTTGCGACGCTCAGCCTCCGCGTCCTGCCGCATCAGGTACTGCTGCGACTGCTCGTACTGCATCTGGATCAGCTCCCGCAGCTGGCCCTCCGGCCACGACTGCATCATCATCAAGTGCTGCATCATGCTTTCAGCACCGAACTGGGCGTAAGGCGGGGGCATGGGGCTGGCGGCGTTGATGCTGGCCGGCGTGCGCACGCTGACGGAGCCGAGACCGCGCGGCTGCGCCAGTAGGCCGGCTACGCTGCCCGGCGGCGGCGGTGCCGGCGGGGACGCGAAGCCGGGCAGTTCGGTCGGCGTGGCGTACAGCTGCGTGCCGTCCGTGCGCGACTCGTGCCGTTTGCGGCGCAGTCGCGCCGCATGCGGCGGGGCGTGCCGGTCGGCCGGCGGCGGAGACTGGAGCGGCTCGGCCGGCCGCTCCGCCTCGGAGCTGGTCGAGCGGCGCGAGCCGGTCGCCGGTGGCGGCGGCTTGCCTGGCAGGCTGCTGACGGCGGCCGTCGGACTCGGCTCGACCTTGCGTTCGACTGGCGTCGGCTCCACCTGCGGCAGCACCGACTGCGCCGGCGGCGGCTCCGGCTCAGACTCCACGGACGCCAGAGGCCGCCACTTGGACGCCTCGCCGCGCGTGGGCGTGTCGGCCGGACCGCCCCGGCCCGGCGTCACGGCCGGCTTCTCCTCCGGCCGCTCGTCCGGGCCCTGCTGGGCGTATTGCAGGCGCAGCTTCTCCACCAGGTCCATGGTCACCTGCTGACTCTCCTCCTTCGTCTCCATGATGACAGGCGCGCGCGGCGCTGGTCGGGCTGGCTGCACCGGCGCCGCCGACTTCAGGCCCGCCAGCACGCTCGTGTCCAGCTCGAAGGCGGGCTCGCCGGCGCTCGAGCGCGGCGGTGAGAAGATGGACGAGGCCTGCTGAGGCGGCTGGGGCGGCTGCGCCGATGACTGCGCGGGCGGCTGGACCGACGGCTGCGCCGGCTGCTCCGCCGGCTGCTCCACCGGGGCGACCATTGCCGGCGCTGGCGCTGCCACTGCCGGCGCTGGCGCTGCCGCCGACTTCTGGCCGCCAAACAAGGCCGTCTCGAAGTCGAAGATCGGGTCGCCGGCGTTAAGCCGAGGCGGCGAGAAGATGGAGGATGGTTGTGCCGGCAGCACCTGGTCGTCGGTGTCGCCGACGGCGGCCGGCCGGCGGCCGGCGGGTGCTGCCGATGTCGGCGCCGGAGCGGCCGCCGCCGCTGGCTCGTCGCTGATATCCTCGAGCCGCTCGACGCGGATTTCCTCGCCGGACGTCCGGTAGCCGGCGCGCGCCGCCCCTTCGCTGCTCTCCTTGGCCGACCGCTCGCTGAGGATGCTGGCGATCGAGCCCCGCATCGGCTTACTTTCGGCCGACGACGAGAGCCGGCGCGGCTCGAGCGGCGGCGCCTGCGTCGCGTCTGGTTCCGCCTCCAGGCCCAACGCGATCTTGCGACTGCGCGGCATCGGGCGCGCCTTCTTTAGCGCTTCGGGCCGCGGGCTGCGCTGTCCGCCGAGCGTAGTCGCTTCTGGCTGCGCGTCTTGGCCCGGTTCTCCTGCTCCTCCAGCCGACGCGCGGCGTCGCGGCGCCGCGGCGGCGGGTGCCGCGGTGGCGTCGGCGGCGCTGCGCGGACTGTGAGCGACAGCTCGCCCTCGCCCAGCCGGGCCGCGTTCACCTCGCGCAGCAGGCGCCGGTTGAGCGCGGCTCTCGGCGTCGGACTCCGCACTGTCAGAGCTGCTGCCGCTGCTCGAACTGCTGCTGGAGCTGCCGCTGCTGCTGCTGCTGCCACTGGACCCGCTGCTGCTGCTGGAGCTGCTGGAGCCCGAGCTACCGGCGCTGCCTCGCCGCTGCTGCTGTTGAACCGAGGGCGGTCCAGCAGCGGCATCTTCAGTTGTCGCATTGTGCGACTGAGTAGATTTGTAGTTGTGCCCCGACCGCCCTCCAGATCGAAAGGGCTGCTTCTCCGGCCGCCGCAGACGGATATCGCGCGTCACCGCGACGTTGTCGGCGCCCTCGTCGACGGGCTCGGCCGGCGCCGGCCGCAGCGGGTCGCGGCCAGGCGCGCCCACGCGTGGCGACTTGGACGCCGAGCGGCCCTCGGGCGACTTGCGCGGTCGGCCGCGGCCCCGCTTCTGCGGCGTGGCCGGCTCGGGCGCGGCGACCGGCGCCATCACCGCCGCCGCAGCGCCGTCCGCCGGCTTCTGACCGGCGATGCGCTTGTTGGCGTCCAGCATGGCCTGCCGCGGCGGTACGATCAAGCTAAGGTCGGGCACCGGCGCCTTCTCTGTATTGACCGAACTGACGTCCGGCTCGGACGCCAGCAGCTCCGACTTCTTCTTGCGGCCGCGGCGGCGGGGCGCGGCTGCCGCCGGCGGCTCCTCCAGCCGGCCGGCCGGCGCGCCCTCCGCCTTCACCGCCGTCGAGAACGCCTTCATCGCCGCTTTGGTTCGAATTGCACTTGAGCTGACGGACGAGGCGGAGCGCAGCTTGTCATCGTCGGCGTCCGACTCGCTGTCCGTGTAGATGTGTCGGCCCTTGCCAGCACTCGCCGCGCCGGCCGGCAGCCTCGAGTCCGAGTCACTAGTGGCGGCGTCACTGGCGCCCGGCGGCCGGCGCCGCTCGGTCGCGACGCCGACGCGCGCGCGGCCTCGGCCCCGGCCGCGGCGCGCCACACTCTCAGCCAGCCGCGGCGTGTCCTCGTCACTGCTGTCGGCCGCCTTGGGCGGGCGCGACGCCGGCGCCGCCTTGTGACGGCCCGGCCGCCGGTACTTGCCGCCCGCCTGAGTCACTGGCGCCGCCGGCGCGTCACTCTCACTAGAGTCCTTGCCGAACAGCGACTGCTTGGTGAGCCGCTCGGTGGCGGCGGCCGCGCGGCGTCCACTCACCGTGCGCGGCCGGTCGGCCTCCGAGCTGGAGCCGGCGCTGGCGGCGGCGCGCCGCTCCCGGCTGCCGTCCGACTCGCTGCTGCAGCTGCTCGCCAGCTGGCTACGCCGCCGCTCGGCGCCGTTGACGTACTGGCGCCGGTACGGGTCGGCGCCGCCCGGCCGGCGCACGGCGCCGTTCAGCTCGCAGTGCGGCGCGGCGCCCGCCTTGCCGCCGCGGATCACGTCCAGCAGCTGCTGCAGAGGGTGCGCGTGCAGCGACGCCTCGGCGTGCGAGTAGTGCCGGTCGTACACGTTGTCGCGGATGTGGTTGGCGTCGAGCACGGCGCGCCGCTCCTCGGCCGTCAGCCGGCTGGCCGGGTCGCGCAGCACGGCCGCCTGGCTGAGGAACGTCTGCTCGCGCAGCCGGAAGTAGTTGCGGCACTGCTTCTGGCGCTTGGTGACCATGTAGCAGAGGTTGCGGACCTGGGCGACGCAGGAGAGCGTGTTCAGCAGACGCACGGACAGCAAGGGCACGATCATGAAAACTAATCAGACGGCACATCATCGCAGATTTTCGTTTGGACGTTGACGTCGTTCGATGAAATGTGACTAAGCTAGTCCGAATGGATCTGACTCCATTACACTCGCTGAGTTTGGGTGATTCCACCCGTCGATGAAACTGACTAGTTGCCCAATTAAGCAGGAAGACTCTCGCTCACGAGCTCGTGTAGGAGCTTGACAAGGCAGGAACCTGACACATATTTGGTGAGCGAAACTTAACGACGGGCTTAAGCGTTTCTCACTGGGTTTTGCTGGGCCTCAGCAAAGCCTCTGCATTTAATGCACAAAACGCGTATCCTCCCCTAACAAGCAGAACCTGACTGTAAGAAAACAACAGCACAACTAGCCCCTTGCGGCGCACTGGTCTGGTTGCCCCCCCCCCCCCCCCCCTCCGTCCCGCCCAAACGCCCACCGTCCGGCGCGCACCTTCTCCAGGTTCTGCCGGATGTGGACGAACTGCTTGACCTTCTCCAGGTCCTGCTGCTGCTGCTCGGTGCGCAGGTCGATCTCATCCGTATTGGGAGTCAGCAGAGCCTTGTTGTTGCCCGACTGGGACGGCGGAGAGACGCGTTAGTCGGCCGCCGCCCCATCCAGGGCCGTCCGCCCGTCGCTCAGGACTCAGCGGCCTCTCGCCACGAACGTCCGGTAATGACCAGCCCGTAGCCGCACTCATTAAAGCCCCGCGTTCCCGCTGGCGAGGTCACTAGTAACGACTCGTCCAGGCTTTGAGGCTTTCTGTCCCTGTGCCACGGACTACAGCACGCGGAAGCGGTGACATTGACACACACCGCGACAGTATCGTCCCATTTCGTCCCGTCTCTCCTGCACCAATGAACGGACGTATTGTCCCTATCTGGACCCAGTGTATCGCGTGAAACTCGGTAGAAAGTGGTGGTTCATGTCTGCTAACAGCGTGCAATTACATCCCCATGAATATGTTCAGGCGACGAATTCGTGGTGGTCCGACTACATTTCCATTTTAGTAGGAGCATAGCCGGTCAATTTTCATTCTCAAAAGCGCTCTTTTAACAAAACCGACCATAGTCCTACACGGTGCGAACTTCACCGGCGTCAGGCCTCCCATCTGCCTACCACTTCGAACCGTAGCCCACGAGCCGCATGACTAGCAAAGGACATGGCACAATGTCGCCGTCCGGGTAGCCTATTTGCAGGCTGCGCCAGGCCGCCCGAGACGGTCCCTGCGCGGAGACCGGGCCATACCTTCCGCTTCAGCTTCCAGTAGTTGTAGATGAACTCGACCGCCTCCATGGGGACGCCACAGGCGGCGGCCGTGCCGCGCAGGTCCACGTGCCGGTAGAACTCGGACTCGATCTGCTGCAGCCTGGCGGTGGCGGGCACGCGGACGGGTGAGCGCGGATCTCGCCGACGGCCGGTACCCCGCCGGCCGTGGCGCAGAGCCCGCCGCCGGCACGGCGCGGCAGACCGGCCAGCCGAGTCTGTCGAGCCCACGGCCACGTCCGGCGGACGTCACAGATGAGAGCCGTATCTCTGGTGTAAAGGTCCAGCGAATTTCGAACAAGCCGCGCTTGCAAAGTGAGGAACTATCGCACGCAATCGCTTCCAAAACTGCGCTGGATTCAGCGCCTGGAGTGAACAAACACCGTTCGACGACGGAAGCCGCGCATGGTCGCGTGGTCCCTGTCAGTGCACGCCCCACTCACTTTTGTTTGCGAGTGCGCCGCTGCGCCTCCGAGTCCGGGTCAGGCCGACGCAGCTCCCCGTCCGAGTCCGACTCGCCCGACAGCTTCTCGTTCTTGCTGTGCTTCGGACAGTACGACTGGAACGGCAGTAGCGGGCGTCAGCGGGCGCCGCAGAGATTAAGCAGGCGTGCAGCAGGGCTCGGCGACCACCGCAAATTGCACCTACCCGTCCACTAACCGCAGTGACGGACCACAGATCAGCAGCGGTCGTGCCAGATGGAAGGCAGGGGGGGGGGGGGGGAGGGCGACCGCTTTCACAAAAAATTATCCCATAGCGTTACACACTAAAGTACGACGGGCATTAAACCTTCCCTGCACGTTTTTCAGAGGATCCACTGTCACTGGGACAGATATCGACGGTCCACTGCTACTGTGGCAACCCTTGCAAACATAACCGATGACCGCTCGGACAACGACGGTGGCTTCCACCCCTGGGTGCTTCAACCGATCACCCACTGCGGCCGCGCTGTGTCGCTGCGCCCCGAGCCACCGGCCGGGCGGCGAACCCCAGCCGCGAGCTGCGCCCGCCCGCCAGCCCACCTTCAGCTGGATCTCGTCGTCGTCGCTCTCGTCCTCCACCGGCTTCATCTTCAGGTTGTGCTTGAAGGCGCACGTCACGTGGTAGGCCGTCTTGCACGACTTGACAGAGCACTGGATGCAGGCGCCCACCTTCTCCTTGCAGAGCACGCACAGCAGGGACCAGCGCCGCACCTGACGGGCACGGCCAGCATCAGCGGAGGCCGGACCGGCCTGCGCGCCGCCGGCAGCGCCGCGCCCCAGCCGGGATATCGCCTAACACGAACGTGGCCCTACGACGGAGCTCGCCGCGTCACGCGCCGCGCTCAGTATAAACTCGAATGTGCACAAAGCCGAAGAAATATTCAAAATTAATACCGAGCAATGCTGGTAAATGCCACAGTCAACTTAAAACATCTGCAGTTTTTCGCATCACGAAGGGAATCTCGCTCGCGAAGAAAAAACAATACTGGCCGGGTGGCATGCTTACGACGAGGATTACACACCACATTCGTATAAGGTTTTTGGTCAGGCTGTTTCCTTCTTCCAATAATGTGGCGCTCGTCTACGTACACATGCTAGTCAACCATATCACATACTATGATGCAATGACTGTATTTATATCCATAATCCAAACACCATTTCCAATATTTCAATGGAAATAAAATTAGGCACTTTCGGGTCGAAAAGTCTCATTATTCAACCATGGAAACTCTGTGGACCCCACTTAAATGGGCCTACTGATTACTACAGCTCCGACAGAAGCACACAGCTGTTTGTTCATGGAGGAAAATTACATTCACGAGCAGTCAGGTTTTGAAGTCATGCGGACATCGTCGTGCATGTGCTGCACGTCGTGCGTCGTGCACGGAAAGCCCACAGCCAGACTTCGTCGCCATAGTCGAGCATTGCGACCTGATCCGGGGACTCAAGTCCGCCTCAAGCATCGTAATATGTGCTGGCGCTATGGAACCCAACAAGACGCTGAATTGTTTGCACAAACGGCAAATCGCAGTTCGATGCGTTATAAAAAAAAACCAACCGCCAGACACCTGACAGCAGGTGTTCTGGCACGACATTCTGACGGCGGTGGAAGGTCAAAAAAGGCAGTTCCATAGCAACATACCTAATATTGCAACAGACGCACTTTCCATTAGCTGTGATGCTGCAGCCTTTCGTAGCAGCTTGCCCAATCCTCAATGGGACTGATGCTGTTTATCTCGATAATTACGATGACGGGCGCGACGGTACCCGTGGTAACTTTACGCCAATGCTGTTTATCTTGGTGACGTCATGGCAGGATGCGTTACACATCCCAACGTGCCAAAGTCGGTGTCTGCGACCTTCAGCGCATTTGACACAAGGCTCAAATGGGTAGAGATAACACGCCTAGCGAGTCAAAACAACCGGGGACAGAGCACAAGTGCCAATATACCGGCTACTCACGCAGGCAACCACCTGAGGCCTGACAGCCAGCAGCAGCGCTCACCGAGATGTTGGAGATCTTGGTGACGGGCTCCATCTTCTCGACGTCGCCGATGCTGACCTCGGGGATCCAGAGGGCGCAGCTGACGTGGGCCCACTTGTGACCCGACCTGGTGCTCTTCATGGCACCGCCTGTGGCAGTGGCAGGGCCACATCTGTAAGCTGCCGCAACACAACGCACCGCCCCGCTCTCGGCCAGGCGGGGCAACGGGCTGACACCATTATGGAGCGGCTATCCATCCTGGTATTCATATATTGAACACCTGTATCACTAAAAATGGGCACACCTACTGTAATATATATATATATATATATATATATATATATATATATATATATATATATATATATACCCACTGTAATGTAATGGCATACCTTCTGTAATGCAATGGGAGCACCTACATTAACATAATGCAGAAAAGAAAATAAACCTTTCTTTAACACGCACGGAAGGTAGACTGCTACTGCGGAGCAAGCACACTGTTTACGTTAGCAGTAGGGCGTCTGGCGGCCGACTGATCTCCGCAGTGGGCCTGGCCCCACGCTGGGTGACCGGCGACCGACGCCGCACTGACCTTTTTTGGGACAGAGCACGCAGTCGGGTTTGATACCGAGCGCGCACGCCTTGCAGAGCCACGAGCCGTCGGGGATGCTGGTGATGCCGTAGCAGTTCTGGTGGACGCAGATGTTGCACTTGTCGCAGAACACCATCTCGTTGTCGTCCTCCGAGTCCGGCTGCCGACGGAGGCAGCGTCAGCCACCGCGGCAACGCCGCCTCGGACCGGCGCCAACACACACGCCCAGGAGACAAACGGAGTACATCGCAAGACCACCGGCTAAATCCAGGCGCCAGCCGCACACCTGGCGCCTGGATGCACTGGCAGCATGTGCACAGCACAGCAGCACAATCCGCGGGACGTGACCAAGTGAACGGAACAGGCGACGGGTCACAGCCCGCCGAGCTGTTCCAGTCCTCGCGTTGCCCGACCGCGCTGCCGACTGCACCGGCCATTCTCAAACACTGAGCAGGCAGGCACGAATCACCTCGCGCCAGCCCGGCCCAGCACTGCCCGCCCCATACAGCGAGTGGTGAGCAGCAGCTGGGACCGTTCTGTGACGCCTGTGGCGGCGCAGCGGCGGGCGCCCCCCGGAGCCGCCGCTACAACTGCCGTCAGGAGGCGGCGGAGCCTCGCCCAGTGCTCACCTGCTGGCAGACGTCGCAGACCACGTTCTCATCGAACTCGATGCTAAGCCCCTCCTGCGTCTTGACGATGGTCTGGATCTTGTTCCAGCACTGGCGCTCCATGTCCTCGATGGCCCGCTCCATCTCCAGGTCGGAGACGGCCGGCAGGCCTGGCGAGAATGGCACGGCACGTCACGGCACAGCACGTCCACGCACGTCATTGCACAAAACGGGGCCAGGCCGGGGTAACACTCAGTCAACCTGCCGTGGACACCCGGCGTACGGGTCAGCAACCCCAGCCACCAGGCATGGAGTAGAGAAGGCCGCCCAACCGTTCCTTACATGTGCACTTCCGACAGCGTGCACATGTAAGGGGCTTGCACGTTCCAGGGTACGTAAGTCGTTTACTGTAGGCAACGCGTACACTCGTCGATAGTTTTCTGTAGAAGACACAACGATTGTGTGCATGCACACAACATGCTTCGGAAAACTTGGATAGAAAGGCTTACGGGCATTAGGATGACAACTCTCCGCACCGAAAATAGCGCATTCACTTAAACAGAACACCAGAAGTACGCTCGCCACTTAAACAGAACACCAGAAGTACGCTCGCGAGTCCGTTCCAACTACCGCATTTATGACTGACTAAATGCAACACTGGTGATCTGGTCTCCTGACCTGTCCTTTGGTATTCCCAGCCAATTAATAAACAACGTGCCTTTACCACCACGCCGGCATTACCTCAACAGCTCGCTCAAATGAGCAGAGCTGAACCATGTGAGCATCCACATTTCACCCCGCGCCCCATGACCGCACCAGTGCGGAAGGCACCCATGCCGGTGCCGAGGGAGCCCGCTCCGGCAACACGGCCTCCCACAGGTCTCCCCTCCCCTCCCGCACGTCGTAACAACGAACCGCAGAGGGCCCAAGAACTTCCACGACGCTGCTGCCAGGACCATACCCGCCGAGCCGTCATACACACGGTCAGCCAGGGTTACAATACTGCCGCGGCGGCCGGCACAACTCGGGCCCTGGCAGACCGGCTGCACCAGCGAGCAGTGCTTAGCGCTGAGATGACTTACCCGCCAGCAGGCTCGTTAAAAACGGCTCAAAATAACGCGAACTGTTTCCCCGAACAGACTGTGTCACTCGACGGGGCCAAAGCCCCTAATTTACGCAGGCGATGCGCATGCGCGACTTTGGCGGGTGACGGTGAGAAACGGGACTACCCGGAAAGACGGAAATGTTTAAACGCATGCCACCGATGCCCTTCTTCCCCGGCCCTCCCTCTCCACCGCATCCGAAAAACGTCATCCCACACACGCCCAGTGAACGGCGAACGCGACGTGCGGGGCGCAGGGCGCACGCGCGCCCGAACAGCACCTACCCATGCGCCCCCGCTCGCCGTTGAAGACGCCCAGCCAGATGGAGTCCTGGTCGTCCAGGTCGTAGCGGCACATCTTCTCCGCCTTGGCCGGCGCGTTGGTCATGTGGTACAGCTCCGGCGACGCGTCGTCGTGCGTCACGCGCAGCAGCTTCTTCGGTCTGCCCGACAGACGGCGGCAGGGCGTCAGGCGCTCGTCAGCCACCGAGGCCGCTCTCCAGAGCAGCGTTGGCGTGTGCAGCGAGTCTCATTCAACACAGTAAACCGTCAAAAGCTGAAAGCATGGGTCACACACTCGGAGTCCCTGACGCCCATCCCTTTGGGGTGGGTTTATAAACTGACGCATACGTTTCAGTCAAATAGATTTTTTTACTTCCCACAACTGAACAGTTCAGTAACGACACCAACGTCACAATAAATAACCCATTTCAGTTAAGTGTTCAGCAAATCTAGCAACACCTCGCAGGGCAGCCAGTGTTTAAGCTGCGCCGCCCGGGCCGCGGGTGCCTCACTCACATTCGGAAGTCCTGCTGGCGCGAGGGCGGACCGGGTACGGAGCTGACGCGCGGGTGCGGCAGCGTGTCCGGGTTGACGGGCACTTGGACGCCGCGCTCCCACTCCTGCTTCCACTGGTCGGCGATCTCCAGGAACTCGTCCGGACACAGGTACTCAGAGTCGGGCAGCTTCATCGCACTGATCAGGTCCTTGCGGATGAGCTGCGGCGGCGGCCGACAGCGGGCGGCGTCAGGGGAGCCGGCGTCACCCGGTGCCCGCTCACCACGGCCAGTGCACCGCTCCCCACAGCGCGTGAGGACACCGATGCGTGATCAAGCCATGCAATAGGTGCCGAAATCCGACATAGGGGTTGTGAAAAGCTACCATAAGAGGGAGCCCAACAAGAGGCGGCGGCAGGGCATCGCTTGCGCCCGCAAATAGACCCAATGCTTCAAACTCGTCCGACTACCAAATCGCGCAACACCGTAGGAGGGGCGCCCCACCGCGTCCCCGCCTCATCTCGCAGTCTTTCTGCCGGCCGCCGCTCCCCACTGTTCCGCCGGTCAGACCCAACTCACTTCGCCCGGCTTCTCGACAGCCTTCTTGTTGTAGGCCTTGAGGTTGCCCAGGTGTTTGGGCGTCCAGACGTGGCCGGAGGCAGACGGCAGCTGCGAGTCGGCGTCCTCCGAACCGCTCAGTTTGCGCCGCTTCCGCTTCCCCATGGGGCCTGGGAGGCGAGCGAGCGAGCGACAGTCAGCGCGCGCTCCTGGAGCAGGCGCGCGCCGCGGCAGGCCGGCCGTCGCGAGACGCACCGCGCCGCGTCGGCCGGGCCCCCGCGCCACGGGCGCATCACACACCCGGTCAAGGCAACGGCCTATCGACGTAGTATCACAAGCCGAATACGGCGGCGAATACAGCGGGCTGGGAAGGATTATCAGAGGCTCCCTGGCGGGGCACTGAAACCAGTACACGGCAGGGTAGAGCTAGGACGGTAGTTAAAAGTCACGCTGTAATACTGCGCAAGAAATGTCCTAATAGCTGCCTTTTCCAGATCAGCAGTCAATAATAGCAATGCACCTGGCTAAGTGCAGACTATGTGGCTTTGCAAGGTTTCAGTGTATCAACTTATTCACCATTCATTCAATCATTAAAACTAAGGTGACTTGGAGAAGCATCGCACGTCCAGAAGAAGCGCTGCATGGTTTTAGTTGAATGATAGCTGATGCATTATGCACAGTTCTCCGATCTGTGCTGTAAGAAACCTAATTTAAATATGTTGTCCAAGATCCCACGGAATCCCACCAGCACCGTAACAGAAACTGTGGTCATAATCAGTTAACACAAATCCAAATAGCTTAAATGTTATTGCTGCCCCAATATCAACCCAAAATGCTCCAGTGGACTATTCACCTAAATTCCAGAAAATATAACAATACTGGATGACCCAAAAATGCGTCAACTGCTGCTCTCACCCATGCCAGGCAGAGTGTTGGAAAAACCTAGCAACTGCGTTTAGAAGTGCAGCTTACTTAAACAGTGTTAATTCCAAAACAACAATATGTACATGGTGGGGTGCTGCAAATTTGCCCACATTCACAGCTATCCAACCATACAGCTACTCAAACCAATTAAAAAACCTAAGTTTCTGTTTCCATTTTGAAGTTCACAAACACCTCAGGACATCCAAAGTAACCAGGTTTACACGACAGCTTGAACACCCTGCAGTGAGCGGGTCAACAGTCCACAGAAAGCCAGCCTGCAGGACCCCGCTGAATTACCAAGCGCTACGTTTAACTGACTCACTGTTACATATCACGCACAAAACGCGCATAAATATAACAGAACATTGAGATGGTCAAACAAATTTATGTTTACCTTGGTCACAAACAGAATGTGAGGAGAGATGAGCAGTAGTTTCTATGGGGTGCAGTAACGCCCTTCACAAGCAAGGCATCTCAGAGTGGCTTAAGATATGCGACTAAGAGACTTTGGTTGGCCAGTAGTTTAATGTTGCCAGTGCATTGCTTTCTCACATCAAATTCCACCATAGCTATGTCTTGTGGAAGTTAATCTGAAAGAAGTTAATATAAAGCTCAAACTGACCAGTAGCTGAAAAAAGAAACTAAAAAAGAAGGCAACTGCAATGGTGCTATACAAGCCAAGCTCCCAATCACTGTGCACCACACATGCATACACACATGCAGAGAAACAAAAAAAGGGAGGACATCTCAAAATTGCATCAACTTGGGACCCCTTTTCAGCTTTGCAGGCCACATTGATGGGGCTCATTTTCCCACATATTGATGCTGACACATGTATTTCTACCCAAAAAAGCAGCCTGTGGACCACATGATTTGTTGTTCATTGGTGTTTTCGGGCACGTCAACTGCAGTGGTCATTTTGCGCCCATGGACCACATGGTTAACTGAGTATCCAGCCTAAGTTCCTCACATAATGATGCAGTGTCTATATATACACTGGGAGCGTGAAACTAAATAGTACAAGCCTGCTGAAATTCTGGTGAGTTTCCAGTTGCCAAAACAGTTCTAGGTTCCACCTTGAGAATAATCAGCAATTGGCAGGGCATGCATATCCAGGCATATTTAACTGCAGAGGTCATTCCATTTGTCATACAATGCAAAGTATCAGCATTTTGAAATAAAAAGATAAGCCTCACAGAATCAATGGTCACTGATGAAGAAAAACATGCTTCTCTTAACCCACTATCAGATCCCAGCCCTGTGAATATTGCTAATGCTGCATCCTGCTCAAATAACTGCTTATCTGTCTTCATGCTCCACTTCCAATCAAGGGAAACAAATTTCTTTGGACACACATGTAAGCACACTCTGAGTGCCTTTACCTGGGCTGGGTGATATGTCTTATGCAATGTCAGCAGGCTCTTTCCTGGCACACTTGGTGGGTCTTACATCAATTTGGGAGTGGAAGTTTTAAACACACAAACATGCCACCATGATTTGCAATTGGGAGAGGAGCAGGGGCACCATAATTTGCTGTGAATGACAAGGACTTCTTGGAATGAGTCTCACCTCATTCACAGAAGATAGGCATTGCAAACAGCCTGCAAACACCACAAAGCAGAACAAACCAGTGGTGTATTCTGCTGCTGTACAACAAACTGGTGTATGATGTAGAACAGAATCACTAATGCATGCACCTACTGTGAAATTTTTGCATACATGAATATGCATTAGGATGAATATCAGCACCTTACACATGTTGTGCCTCGACAAAGCTCCAAATACTACAATACTGAATACTGAACAGGTACACACCCACACCAAAGTTCTTATAGAAAAAGAAAACAGTAGATTCACAAATGTGTCCATTCTGCACCCATGAAGATGGCATCAATCACTTCCTGATGCCATGGTGAAACTTCTGATGACATGCTGGCCAGTTGCTATGCAGATCCAGCAAGAACTGCTTGAGATCATTCACTGAGCATATACTGTTTGGGTGCCTTGGTGCTTTGAATGTCATCAACTCTGTCATCCTGTTTGCAGAGGGATCTTCAGCCCAGGCTCCTGAACCAATACAAAATAAACAAGTGTATTTAGGCATAGGAAGACAAACTGAAATTATTTCATGGCCAATGGAATTGCCTTGTTAGAAACTGTGTATTTCTTGTTGAATGTTGTATGCTTTGTTCAGATGTGCGAAATGATCATTGTGAGAAAAACTACCCATGTACCTGCTGAACATGCTGTAAAATTATTGTTTGGGCTACATATTTGAGCAGAATGTCACACAACTCATAATCAAGCATGTGTGCACTCACATAGTAATGTAAATGGCGATGCCTCAAATCAGGTAATGATGTAAAAATGAAATAGCAGCAATCCAAAAAGAAAACATATACCCAATCTTAACAAAGCACATTCAAATGTGAGATGTTCCCAACCATACAATTTGCAAGCCTGTGGAGCACTTAAAGAGGTTCTTAGCAACCAATGCTGAGGTGTGTCTCTCATATTGTAAAATCCAATGTATGCCCCTGGCTGATAGATACAGTGCCTAGTAAATCAATGGTCTCTCACTGTTGGTTACCCATGGCACCTAAAATATGCCCAACTACTTTATGTATAGTGCATAACATGTACTGAATGCTTCATAATCACATCCAATATGAATGTGACACCTTCCATTTAAATTTCAGATCATACAATTGATGTAGTCTGCATATTCTCAGCTTATTTTACATAGCATCGTGGAATAGCCATGTTCATCCTCATTCTTAGCCTGACAAACTTTTGCTGCACATGCATCCTGCAGATAACCATGATGTGACCTTTCCAAAGCTCCTGATCTATCTGCTCTATTGCCTTCTGATATTTAATTGATGATCATCAGTTCACATAGATACATGCAAGATGCAATTGATACATCACAATGTTGAGTTATTCACAGCACCCTGGATGATAAAGAATATATGCCAACATCATTCATGACATCATGCCTAATAGATCCTGCATCTTTTGTTGTTCACAGCAAACAGACAACAAACACTTTACATGAAATGTCATGAAAAACCTCAGCCAGGTGTGCCAAATCTTTTTCTGTCATTTCATCATATTGACACAGAAATCAAGCAAAAGATTTAGTTAATCAAAAGTGTATAAATTATCATGCTTAGAATGAAGCATGGGTAACCAAAGGACGTTCTATGTGTCACAAAAAGCAAGATTTGAAGCTTCCCTTGTTAGAAGCAAGGAGAGTAAGTGTGATCATAAGTTTCTTGCATGCACCCTCATTGACACCACAATTACAAAGATGTGAACAGAAAACATGTCATGCTGTGAACACATCCAGCATAAGTTTTACAGGATGTCACATAGAATGGAATACCCTTAGTGTTCTGTACATACACCTGTTGTGTCCAATTTTCCACAAAAGTGCTGGAGTAAACCAACTTACCGGGATCATCCGGCTTCCCGGCAAGTCTCTTCAGTCTCTGAGACATTTCTGCTCAAAGACCTGAAACAAAAATGGGTTGAATTAAACACTGCCAACCAATGAATGGCCACATATGGGGTCACATGTAAGAGGCATCAAATATACATCAGAAGATATTACTCTTGTTGGGTAGTACAGTACATTTCATTTGCCCCCATACAGGATAGTGTTCATGCTCACACAAGACCTGAGAAATTCCTCTCCCTTCTTTTGTTACTTCATATTTCACACACTGACCAAGTCACACATCAATAAGAGGCCTCTGGCACCCCCCTGACCTGCCTTCCCTCAAGTGCAATACATTTCTATTCCACCTAAAGATGAGATCTAAAGCAGAGCTGCTTCCAAATCTTGAGATCTAATGCACAGCTGCTCTGAATTCTTACTTTTTTACAATCATTTATGTCAAACCACATGCAATCATTCATGTGTCTAGATATGGCTCCTTGAAGTGACAGGGGATAGTGTCTGGGTGCAATGCACTATGCAAAAGAGCTACAATCATGTTACATTCATCCACATGCTATTAGTCTTGACACTTTGGCCAAAACATATGTGTTTTCCTCAAGCTGGCTAATAATGGCCCACATAATGCCCATTGTGTGACAACTCAGTATTGAACTAGTGATGTCACTTAACTTCAGTGCAATTTTTACTCCTTTTTGCTAAAAAACAAAATGTGTTCATGTGCATGGGACATGTTACAGGAATACCAAAATCAGCCTGCTGGCTGACAAACATGTTGTGTGTTGCAGCTTATGGGCTTCACAAGCCAAAACATTTTGGAGCCAAGATTGCTACACTGAGATGGGAGACAGATACACCTTGAATCTATAAACTCAGAGTATCTTGCAATGACCACAAACTACAACAGGAAGTGATGAGTGCTGATTCTGACAACAGCCAACCCTCAACCAACAAAGGGGTACTTGTTCAATACACATATCAAGCAACCATCGATATGCATTGATAATACTTGACATTTACACATGAGATACACATGAGATACACATACATGACAATACTTGCCATTTCAAGACAGTGACCATTATCACAAAGCCAGCATACACACCACTATATTGATGGGTTCAAATGCAAAACAGCAATTGGGCCCACAATAAAATGCACACATATATAAGAAGTGGTTTACATAACATTCAACCTAACTGGATTTCATGCGATGCCCATTGTCACAACAAGTGGAGCAGCATATCACTTGGTTAGGTTACTAAGTCACACCAGTCACTACATTCAGGTAAAGTATGCAAACCATGCAATCATTTATATATGTTAGCCCCATCCCAAAAGTGGCAAATGGTGTCTACCAAATACATGCAGCCCAACATACAAAATGGAATGCATTCCTTGTCCTGAGACCCAGTATGCTACAATACTCCCAGCTTTATTTTTGTGATCTCTCAGGAGTACCAATAAACAGCTGGTTGCAATTCATATGGGTTTCAAAGCAAAATGTGCACATACATCTCATGTTTTTTGTGTGCCCAAGTGTGCCCTAGGGTATGTTGGTTGAGGCTAATTTGGTTACACATCCCCTGATATAAGCATCTTGCTTATTCAATGTGTCAAGCATCAGAAATTTAATTGAGCACCACATACACATGCACACACACACACACTAACAAACTGAAGATGCAAGTATGAGACCTTATGCCTGACATCATCTGACATCTGCAACAATGACATATACTGTTGGGGGTGATGCCCAAAATTTTATACCACTCAAGTTGCTAACGAACGTGCAATGCGAATGTGTATCACATAGCTTTGGTAATGTGACCGTCATTACGGTACCTCACACATCAAGGACCATCAGGAGAGATCCAGTACATGGATTGTAAGCCAATCCCAATTCTGACAATTTTAAACTTATACCTGGCAACTGTACCCTGCATCAGGACAAAATAGTAACTTGCTGACCAATGGCCATACACCAATTCTGTGTCAGCCAATTCTGCCCTTGCAGATGATGTTCTATTCTCTTCATGGATCACATCACAAATTCACTTATCCCCCTTTCACTAGTGATTTCTATTGCATTCACAGTAATACATTTAGCAACCAAGTTCAACACCATATATCTATTGCACAATAGCTTTGATTTGTACTTAACACCACCATTACATCATCAAATACTACATCAGATAATAAAACATTGCAGATATAAGATGACATGGTGACTAGCATAACATGCACACAAAACCAGTTGCTGTGTTAACAGCTTACACAACACACTCACACACACATGCCCTCTCGCTCCTTGCTTGGTGGCGACAATCAGGTGACAAACTCTCGGCAGTGAAATGGAACAGTGGAGCAATATATATGGAGTGGGTAAGTGAATAGTGGAGCAAATGGCAAGTAAAACATGAAAAAAACAACAACAGTGCAGCAACATAACAGCATAACCTGAAAGGATAGAAAGATATGCAAATTATTCACCAAACAAACATGCTCTAGTAGGTATGCATAGTCAATAATGTTATAAAGTCATAAAGTATAATCAATCATCATAAAATAAATGAGGCCATGTAAATTGCAAACTTTTACATGTAGAGAATAGTTCATGATATGAATTCTGGAAAAAACTATGCTGAGAACACATCGGTTAACCCATTTCAGGTGCCTTAAAAATGTGTGTAATGCCCTGTTCATATCATCTAATTATTGCCTTCCATACCCACATTCATGCCAGTTCAAAAATGGTGCATCTTATTAATCAACATAACAAACATATCACGGGAACATTTATACAGACACAGTCATATCAAATTTAAAATGAGATAAGAATTACAACATCACTTATTTCCCAGGGCCATGCAATTTTCAGATGACTCTGCAGTCTGGCAAGACCTGAACCTGCCATGTTGGGAGCGAAGACCATTATGTATGGGAACAATGGTTGGGCCTTTGGATCTATATAAGATAGCAGGCCAGAACACAAACATCACAGCTACAGGTAGGAAAGGCTATGCCAATTAAGTCCAATGGTCCATTTCAAGAGTGATGCTAAATACTAGCTGCTGCCAGACAGACAACCAAAATAAGTTTCACAATAGCACAATGAGCTAACAGCGTCCCCCTACGCTCATTTTATTTCACTGGTCCATACTATGCTGAATCTATTTACTTAAACATCTTAAAGCCATGGTCATGTATACTGATAAAAGATAACTGATAAAAGATAATATTTTAAGATTCCATGCCAAGCACAAGAAGCAACACTTCTAGTTAATGCACCATGTATGGTATCAGTAATTTACTCAGCATGCTATCTTTAGCCATCAAGTATAATCACGGCAGCCACATACAACAAATGCACATTTATACACATTCACAAACCCATATATACACTACATACACACACCAAAGGCTAGCTCAGCCATACCATCTGACATGCGACATATCACCCACCCTGCACTTTGTGGGTGCTAAGCCCTTGGAACCTCAACTCTACACCAAATGTGAAAAATTGCATACACATAATGTACCAACCAGGAAACAATTTTGTTAATTTCAGCTCAATCATACTTACTTTAGCCCTTCTAAATGTCCAGCACATGACAATAAACCTTATGAGACGAACATAACTTATAGCTAATAGTATCCACCTTCATGCCTGAGGTCATCACCAGCATATAACTTAGTGTATCCATGTTATCCCCTTCTTACATTTGACCAAATTGCAAACATTCAAAACATGCTTGGTTAAGAGTTGACCGCCTATTTTCATAACTGCACCTCTTTTCTTGCACATTGAGAGCGCCCAATTACAACAAAATAAAATGCGTCCGGGTGAGGTGAAAATAAACAGCAAAATGGACATATACAACAACAAATTAACCTAAAAGAGCTGCGCCGTATTAGTAACAACAAAACTACGCCGCTTGCCTTACCCGACATGAGTCAACTTGGCCACTAACACATTCCCCTATTCCTTCGCTTATCAATTCCCCATCTCGATTTCTTCCATTATGCACCATTTGCAAATAATACTGGAATTTTGCAAAGGACGGTTAGCGCCATTTTAGTTACGAAAATAACCTGTATGGTCACGTGACCACTATATCCCGTTAACTATCGCAGAGTCTCGCAAACGACGAGACTCTGAGCCTGTTCGATAAATCAGTATTTTAATATTTGTTTGGTTTTAAAATAAAATGTAGACATGCTTTGCATGTACAAAAACATTGAAAAGGACATATTTTGTTTAAATTAATGAGAATATCGTATTCATCATTACCACGACTATCTTACCATTTTGAACGAACGCATATACCCATCGATTCGAATGGTAATTGCCTCCCACCCAGAGTTTTGGCGATTAACACCTGAGCGTTATAATCGTGGCGTCCAGGTAGAGCACCCCCATTTCCCAAGAAGGATTTAAGCAAGACGGAGGGAAAAGATGAATTGACATCGCTTGAATTCCGTGACACTGACGCGCGTACTGGCAATCGTGTATCACCCGTTGCAGATAAATGCGGCCCACACCAGTTTCGGACCTCGTCAGTGCTTTTGAAAACTACGTTAACTAATCGACGCCCCTATTCTAGGTGTAGCCCTGTCTGTGGGATTGGTGGAAAATCGGTATTAAAGAGGTCAAACTGGTATCTCGAGGTATAGCACGACCCGAAAATGACCCCATATCATGGGTGTCCATTTTTAAGATGATTGGGGCCGGTGTCTTGGAATTCACCATGGGGGATAGGTACGGACAAATTATCGGACATATATATGTATATATATATATATATATATATATATATATATATATATATGTGTGTGTGTGTGTGTGTGTGTGTGTGTGTGTGTGTGTGCGTGTGTGTGTGCGCAGGGGCGGCGCACCCGAATTTGGGATGGGGGCAAAGACTTGACGAAGGGCCCGAAACCGATGGCCTCCTACATTTCGGTACAGGTGCGCAGCCGGAACATTGACAAGGGTAGAACACAGGGTTGACAAAGGGCCCCTGATAATGAGAGCCTTCCCCAACCAAAAATCACCAGATATGACCAATTTATTAATGAGAGCATGTTTGTTATATTTCTCATTTTTACCTTATATAACTGGAATAGAGGTTACAAGCTACCGCAAGATCAATTCTGCCTGAATTTCATAGTTAATAGACTGAATAAATCATGTCTTAACCAACTGCATGAAATAAGTCAACGACACTCTTTGATTTACAATGGTCCAGTCGACTTTTTCTCAACGGATAGAGCTCAGAAGTTTTTTCAGGATGTTATCCGGACTGTATAAAGGAATTAAGGGCCCGCAACTTCAGATCGAAATGGGTCAGCAATTGTTTGTCTGGAAAAGTTCAACATTCAATCAGACTTGGCCAGTGATACAAATTATGTCACGTAGTATTGAACGTGCGTGCTCGCAAATCTTGGCATTACACCTGGACGCCAGGCATTGCAGTCTCCAAGGGCCGCACGCCGTCCGCGTGCCTGACAATACTCGGCGGCCAACAGATGGGCGAAAATAATGACACATACAATTGACAGAAGTACCTTTGAGCGCTTTAGGACTTAAAACCATGCCTAAAAAGGTAGCCGGGCACATATTTTGAGCGTGCGGTTTTTAGATTGATGAATTGAACGGTTGGGAGCACCACGAAGTGATGCTGGAATCTGGCGGTAGAACTTGAGAGGTAGGGGTAAAATTTATATTTTTGTGTTGCTGCAGCTGTCAATCTGTCCAGTTAATCACACCAACCCTGCTGAAAGCATTATTTTTCAAAGATATAATGATACTGGATGAAATCATTCTTTTCAAAAATCATCACAATTGTGCAGTACCGTTTGTGAATGGTAATGCACAAGACTGCATTCGTGGCTGTATTTGTGAAGCACGGTAATAAGTGTAACGCGTAATCGTCACGCGGCGAAGCGTTACATAAGTACACAAAAGCTTATATGCTGGCGCTAATATGCAAGGCAGCCATATAGGAATACACACCATCTTCTCTTTTTAAGGTGCGCAGTCGAAGGGATTGAGGCTCACGCCGAGCCATTGCTCGTTGTGCGAGCTTCCCCTACTACCCGATTGCGGAATTCCAGATCAACGGTGGAATTTGGCGAATGGCATACCGCATTGCTCGACACGGTCCGTCCTGCTCTCTGAAGTCTCTCGACCTTTTGCGCAACCCCGCCAAGGTAACTCAAGACCGTGGTTGTAACCAGCTGAGCCATCACGACGGACGAGGAATGAAAAGGAAACATATATCAAATTGCAGGACTTACCTATATGCATTCTTAAGCCTCTGCCAGAAACAAAACGCGACGGTGGAAGTGGTGATGCCGCGTGATGGCCATTAACTTCATCGTGGTAAAATTTGGGAATATGAGCCCGTTTGTGAAAATTTGTGTGTAGAATGTGTTTTGTCCTACAAGAAGCCGATAGGACATCGAATGCCCCCCTATCAGACAATAGAAAGTGGGGTCTCCTTCGTTCGCCCTAAACGAGCTCGAATCCGGGTCTAGTGGTGCGCCTCAAAACTGTAGATCGTCGTTTTTGGCCTCCACTGCGACTGCATGGTGTCCATGGCTCGACCAGTGGCCTGCGCAGCACGAAGCCGATTGCAAAGACACGCTTGAATTCAGCATTCATTCGCCATTGTCTGAAATGCGGTGTTTATGTTTCATTTCATCAGCACAGTGCAATAACTTTTTGAATCAATAGGTCTGTAATTCAAGATGCCGTCGTCTTACGTCTTAGGAACGCATAGAAATACAAACTTGAGTTTGAAATATGTTTCCAGTCTGTTTAACTTTAAGTTTTCTGTATCTCAGAGAACTGAAAAGTATAAGGCGCCAGATTCCACACTGTGGAAGCTCTGTCCGAAATTGGCGGGGGCGGGGGAGTCCAGTATTGGTGGGGCCTAGCCCAACTTTGGGGGGCCGAGCTCACCATTGACGGGATGACCATCAAAAAGATATAAAGTCCCACCCTCGGTCACAAGTGGCAGTGAGACGGTAGAATATTCATTTGTCTGAAATGCAATTTGCATTGCTATTTTACGGTTCCAAAGAGTGGGACATGAATATGTGGTATAACGAAATTCCAGCTTTAGTTTACCCAGATCCAGATGCGATTGAAATCCCAGATTCCAGGTTGAGGACAGGCTGGCCTTGACCTCGTTAGGGACGGATGTTAGTATACACGGTTATCGATTGACATCTTTTTGGGTGAGGTACTTTTCCCCATGTCCAAGTTGCCACACCTCCCCTCAAGGGTGAGTTTGCTCCCGCCAACGTCCCGAAGCCTTAGCACAAGCACAGCATTAAAAATGGGAGCTAAAAATTGTATCAACATTAACGAGGATTTTAATAAATGCTTCACAGGTAAAAATAACAAAGCAAACTACAACTACGACGTCATGTTCAATTTAGTACATCTGGCTGAGCTAGTCACTTTTAGGGCTATGCATTCATACCGTATTTTGTGTTTGTGTTGCATGCTGCATGTTTCTAATTACGTGATGCTTATTGTCTCTGATCTGGTGTTGTGTTAATATCTAACGTTCTCCCATTCCTTTGCATTATGTCAAGTTTCACTAATTGCAACAAGACTGCAATTATTATTCTGCCACGGAACAAGGCAGCTCAATACTAGGCAACACGCCACGGCATTTTTAACGCACGCTCGGGTGGAGGTCAACTTGACCACCACGAGGGTTTTTCCGGAATGGTTTCTGAACGCCGCGGCGTAGCCGCGCCAAATTTTGCGTAACTATAGACAATTGAATAGAGGATCGTTTAGCATTGAAAAATCAGATGTACCTTGTAGGGTCGGTAAGGTCTGTACGAGGTAGTTTCTGGTGCTCATTTTGGATTTATTGAGGACAGGAACCGCAAAAGACGTCTTCCACAAACTTCTTAAAGGTCAGAATAGATCACTTACCCAAACGGTCCAGGTTAACATTTCGTTTTTCGCAACGAACTGCCTTGTGTAATTTTTGTCGGAGGATTTCGCTTATTCAAGTGCAAAACTCAAAGCAGTCTTGCATGATTTTGGTCCCATTACTTTCGAAAGGTCAGACAAGGTCACTGACCTTAAATTAGCTTGTTCTTTTTCGCTTAGAACAGGTGTCTAGGTTTTGGAGACAATTTGGAGACCAACTTGGAATGTGACCTTGTTTGACATTATTTGGCGCAAAGGTCATGACCTAGGAACCTCAAACTTTGATCCAAATATTTTCACCTATAGACTAACACTCTGTAAATTTGGTGTCATTAGCTCTCTTATTTCCTGCGATATTATTTTCCATCGAAGTCTCTGCCCAAAACTTGATGTCTTCCATTTTATCAAAATAATATAGAACACTGATTTTTTAGATTCAAAAGAGCTCGCGGCAATGGTTCTCCATTGGACTATCATCCAGGGAGCGGCGGCCTGACTGTAATGGTTAAGGAACGGGCCTTTGAAACACAAACAAGTGCACAACAAACAGCTTAGTCTAGCTGCCATGGCATTAGCGTGTGCTGCCTTGTCGAGTGTGGAACAAACAATAGGTTTGACGGTATGCATCGTCTTGGGTTTGTCCATTTTCGTTTTGACGAATTAGCGAATGTGCTAATAGGATGTTACATGGTTAGACGCTTGTAATCTTCTTGGTGTTGAAAATTCTTTGAACGGACGTCACACAAAATGTCTTAAAGTTTTAAAATCCTCTGGAAAGCAATGCTCGAGCCATTGTTTTGGGGTGGCTACTTCAGATGACGAAAATATGTCAAGATTTGGCTGCGGTATATGTTATGACTAACAGGGGCAACAACACAGGGTCCAGAAAGGTCCAGACCGCTGGGAGATGATTCAGCCGTGGTACTCAGGTTACCCCTGTTTTGGTCTTTGTCCTTTAGTCCCTGTCCTTTGGTCTTTGTCCTTTAGTCCCTGTCCTTTGGTCTTTGTCCTTTAGTCCCTGTCCTTTGGTCTTTGTCCTTTAGTCCCTGTCCTTTGGTCTTTGTCCTTTAGTCCCTGTCCTTTGGTCTTTGTCCTTTAGTCCCTGTCCTTTGGTCTTTGTCCTTTAGTCCCTGTCCTTTGGTCTTTGTCCTTTAGTCCCTGTCCTTTGGTCTTTGTCCTTTTGGCCCTCAGCTTATCTTTGCTTCAGCATGAACCGCTCCAGGTGCTCTCCAAGTAGTTGCGGTGTCACCAAGAGGGGGTGGGGGGGGGGGGGGACGTGACCTCCTCTATCACCGGATAGGGGCGACATTCACTCATATCCTACCAACTTTCTTGCGGGACAAAATATTTTTTTTCACAAAGATTTTTACAAAAGGCCCCATATTCCTAAATTTTACCACCACGAAATTACCTCTCATCAAAAGCATGGCATTGCTACAAATCTAGCGCGATGCTTCTATGATTCCAAAAGACCGCTCGGCGACATTCTCCTGAGATTGCCCGAGCGGATTCAATGGCCCGCGCATTGAGGTCAGGGGTGGATTATGGGCGATTGGATCATCTCGTGTCTGCAGTCTGTGGATATATCACACTTGTTAAGGGAAAGATGAAACTGATATCAGATTGTGGTGCGCGTGCTACAATGCAATATCCTTAATTTCACAAGTATGACTGCTATTTCCGTACGGTTTGTTACTGACCATCACGCGTCATGGCCACTTTCACCGTCGCGTTTTTTTTTGCCGAAGCTTTTAAATGTAAAGAGATACAGCCCTGTAATATGATGTCTGTTTCCTTTTCATTCCACGTACGTCGCTATGGCTCAGTTGGTTAGAGTGTCTGTCTTCCGATCCACTCACACGTGGCGGAGTGGGTTCGAGATGCTTAAGTGCTCGCTATTTACCATTTACAGACATGGCCTGCCGGCGGTGGTAGCGGCCGGTCTAAAGGTCAGGTGACGCCAGAGGGCAGGACGGACTATGCCGAGCATCGTAGCACGTAAAACTTTCGCTACCAAATTCTACCGTTGATCTGGAATTCCGCGATTGGATGGTGGGAGTCATACATATAAATTCATCCGTTTAAAAAGCTCGGATAAAATATTCTTCTCTGATTTCGCACCTGATTTTTTGCATTATGGATGTTTAACGTGATAGCGTCGGTACATAATGATTCGTTTGTCCAGTGCGGTACACGACGAACGACCATTTGCCCGACAATTCTGATGATTTTTTGCTTTTTTGACGGATATTTTAATCCAGTACCATTGCATTCCCGTTGTGTTCGCCCCAACTACCAGGGTGACAGGCAGGCGACGCCATATTGCCCAGAAGCTGAGTACGTAATAAACCTCCGATGACGACGGCGACGGTTGGGGGACGAAAATCGTTCCCCTCAAAGCTTAAAGGGCTAAAGCGATGGATGGAGGACTAAAACGATGGAGCAGAGCGACACAAAATCTTATGTACCTGTTTTGGTGCTATCCGTTTTATACCTTGGGGAAATTTGAAATTCAAAGCAAAATCCGAGATGAGTCTAAAGATAAAGTGAACAAGTTAGAACCCTCATAACACAGTTACATCTGAACTACTCGGTTAACGTTGCAGATGTGTCCCGTTATGTGTTGCGTGAACATTTACTAGATTCGGTTCATCTTTAAGCACTCTATGGTATTATAACATGTAGCGAAATGGTTTTGATTGAACATTCTAACAATGGTTGGCAAGACTGGCAGGAACCAGCTTGAGAGCATTGCTCCTCGGCGCGCTGCTAAGCCCGAATCATCATCATCATCATCAGATATTGCCTCTGAATGGCTGGCTCGTATTTTCCGTGTCATGGCTGACCGAGTGCCTTCGTTATTTGCTTTACATTCTTCGATTCTCGAAACTTTTATCAGCAGTTAGATATAAGAGTTGAGCTAAAATTTAGGTGTTTAATTCAAAACCTTAACGTGACGATCACAAACATATTGCGCAAACGAGTTGGCCAATGGCTTCTACCTTGCCGCAACGGTGGCACGACGCCAGTTTTTTTCTAGCCGTCGTGTTGGCTGAGATTTGGCGAACTTTAGCTTTGGATAAAAAATATTGTTTGCTGCTTAGAAATTACCATAGCAATCTTTGTACTGATTTGACAGAGAGAAAACCTATTACTGATGCTTCATGCTATTTCATTTTAACACTCCGAAAGGTTTTGTTAGGTTGTCTGGGGGGCGTGCTCTGTTTCCTCATGTTACCATTGTCATGTAAGCATATAAGCCACTAATATAACATTGTTAGAAATAATCGATGTTCCAGGCATGTAGGACTTAACTACTGGAACAGCAGCTCTCCGTCCTTTACTGTACTTTCTTCTCCCTCCTCCTTGTCCTCTGCGTGTCCGTATTTGCCCTTTTCCCTGTGTTGGAATGATCGTGCCCTTCATGGTATATGTGTGAAACAGTTGTTCACCTAAAGCGGCATCGAAGACACAAATGTTGATTGCAGATAAGACGTTTTACCACCAAACACCGGCTACCGTTCTGCAAAACCACCAAGGACATCGGGTAAAAGTGTATTCCACTGCCTCCGTCCCATGATATTGCGCAAACTGGCTGGCCAGCCGTTTCTAACTAGCTCTAACGCGATCACGAAGGCAGTTTTTTCTAGTCGCTCAGGCGATAATCCGCTCCGTCTGAAAATAAATCCGTGAGCATCACAATCGCGCGCAATCTGCTGGGATGTTGCCGACCTCACCTCAGTGTGAGCCTTGTGCCATTTACACCGCCTGTTTGTCTGTTTGGCCTCCGCATGCTGCGTTGTGCAACTCTTTCGTAAATCCTGTTGCATCCAGGTCACACTCAGCCGTATATAAGCCAGCCGCCGCGGCGGGTCTGCATGTAGTCTCTTCTGCCTGCTTACCCATCGTACATCGCAGAGAGCAGTGATGAACTTCATACTGATGGTGAGTGCAGGAGTGGGTTTGTTGGCTTTCCACGAAACGGACGTGGCCGCCTAGCATTGAAAACAGTCTTCAACATGTCCTTGGTTAGTTTGACATTGCTGAGTACTTTGTATGATGTCTGGAGCCCGCAGCTCTGAAATACATCCATGTAACAGCGCATGCGAAAAGTAGTTTTAATGGCGATACGCCTCTCCATCATATTCTATTCCACTTCTTATATTCAGTTTTACTGTGGTGGCATGTCAGTACAACGCCTGCGACGAGACTTGGTCTTGATTCTGCTTGGGTGGAATGAATTTCAATTCGGAATAATGCATCTGGCGTTGAGTCCCAATGCAGTGAACATGGAATCCTGAAAAGCAGATTCAGACCCGAATCCAATTTTGTCAGTCATCTTTGCCAAATTGAATTCCAGTCCTAAATCAGGTTATTGCTAATAAAGAGCAAACTGCAAAATAAATTTCCATCTATAGGTGCACGTTAGTATGCTGACATATGCAGCATGTCTACGATATCTGTATATATATATATATATATATATATATATATATATATATATGCATACGTAGATATATAAGTTATATAGCCATGTATATGTGTATATAAATCCATGCATACATGCATATATATATATATATATATATATATATATATATATATATGTGTGTGTGTGTGTGTGTGTGTGTGTGTGTGTGCGTGTGTGCGTGTGTGTATGTGTGTGTGTGTGTGTGTGTGTGTGTGTGTGTGTGTGTGTGTGTGTGTGTGTGTGTGTGTGTGTGTGTGTGTGTGTGTGTGTGTGTGTGTGTGTGTGTGTGTGTGTGTGTGTGTGTGTGTGTGTGTGTGTGTGTGTGTGTGTGTGTGTGTGTGTGTGTGTGTGTGTGTGTGTGTGTGTGTGTGTGTGTGTGTGTGTGTGTGTGTGTGTGTGTGTGTGTGTGTGTGTGTGTGTGTGTGTGTGTGTGTGTGTGTGTGTGTGTGTGTGTGTGTGTGTGTGTGTGTGTGTGTGTGTGTGTGTGAATGTAGTATTTCAAGACATGAACACCCTAACGTAACAGCGCAACACTGACTGTTCTGCCGAAATTTCGAAGCGAATTCCATCACTCTGATTTTGTTTGCATGTCCATAGAAGTGGAATAGGTTCTTAAATCCACCACCTACCTATTTGAATTATGCTTAAATAATGATCTGCGGCTTACAAACAACGCCAGGAAAGGTCGTGAAGGCAGCCTAGCAGTGCAGGCTACCGTATCGTCCGCATAGTCCGAAGCGATGGTGAAACCGTTCGACCCATAGGCGCACCGGCAGTCCATCGGCATTGGGTAATGCCACCTCTTCTGAAACTGGTGTCCAAAGTAACAGGCTGTCAGCCAAGGCGGTAAACTTCGGACGCCAATACCACAATACGCATAACACAGTTCACTATGACCCATATCCATCCATATTCAGCAGAAAAAGCTTAAGCCGCCGTGAATTCATCTTCGTCGCTGGCTGACCTCATCACGCCTCGCCAGCACCATAGCCAGCCAATCTCCTACAAGGTGACGGCAAACAAGGCCGCTAAAGGTTTATTCAGCAGCCTTTCCTGTAAATTAATGCAAATTTGCAATGCCATTTTCAGATAAATTTGTTTGCTTTCAGCCTTCCTGAGTTCCGTAGCCGAGGTTTTGATTGTCTAAATCATGAAGATTGACATCATTCACGACTGTTATAGCTTAGCTTTACTTAACGCTGCCTTACTGGTTGGCAGGCCTGATCTGCCGAAACAGGCGGCGGGTGGAGCCATCGCCCGTTCTCCCCGACTGTCACGGCTTACCCGGTGCACATGTGTGCACCTGATTGCTCATTGATGTAATTCCTGCTCCAGGTCGTGCTGCTGGCGGCTTTGGTGGGCGTCGCCTGCGGCTCCCGTGGCTATGACGACCATGGCGATGACTACTACTACTACTACAGGCGCGGGGGTGGCAGCGGCAGCCGCTACGACGGCGATAGCCATTCTTACAACAAGTACCCAGGGAACAATGAGTACTATGGCAAAGGAGGCGGTGGCAGTCGGCGCGGCTATGGGTCCCGTGGTGGAGACTACAATGAAAACTACGGCTATAGAGGCCACGGCAGCGGAAGCTACCGTAGAGGAAGCTACGGCAATGGAGGCAACGGACATCATAGCTACGGCCAAGACTACACAAGAAAGTGAACTGTACTGGCATAGTCTGCGTCGTCAGTTCTGCCCCCTCCCCCCTCCCCCCTCTTCCACATCAAAAGACTGTAAACGGCAGCAGTGTGTTTGGCGTGTCCTGGAACGGTGGCAGTGGTCACTTCCAACAACGAATAAACTTCCTGCTCACGGGAATACTTGTGGATTTCCACGTCTCTTAGCTGCCGCTGTACACTTCACGAAATGTGCTTATTTGAACGTTTTTGTCTCGAACGACCACTCGATTGCCAGATCAGTGTACTGGCAGGCATCTTGTCAGCGGATCTACAGCCACAGTAAAGCTTGCGGGCGGTGGTTGATATTCGTCGACGACGTCAAAGTTTGACCAACGATGCTGGAAAATGCCATTCCAACAGCTAGAAGGAAGTGTAACTGCTGAAACCATGTTGCACGTCAAATATATTGGAAAACATGAGCCCGCTTACTTTCATGCAAACAGGTGTGGGCAAGCGTTTTGCTAGCTGGCAAACAAGCGCTTCAAGTTTTCTTGTCGCTTGAATATATTAATGGGACCCGTTGCTGAAAACAGCCACGTAAAGCCTGAACTGCGAAATTGCTCAGGCATTTACCAGCAGCCACTCATGATTGGAGAGCATGCCTTAACGCGCCTGAGCTTAATTGACGACACGCCAGTTCAGTTTTCGTGCGGGAGCCGGCATAACCTTGAAACGCACGATGCCATTTTGTACCACAAATGCGGTTTTTCCGTTACCAACGAGGGTTGCCAGGTAGTCGAAGATAAACACGTCACATCGTCCCGCGGAGCCTAACTGTGGCATTCGAAGCCACATCCAAACAGTTTTGACAGACACCACCCGAGCACAGCTTCTGAGGTCACATTCAGGCGGCGTTTGCTGGAGTGCATTGCCTGCCGGAAGTACACCCGTTGCTGAGGTCCGGACTCAGGTGTTTTACGCCGGTGGTAGCTTTCTGAGCTTGTCTGAGTGCTGCGCTACCTGTGTTTGAACTGGTGATGGGATACAATATGTCAGGGATAGGGCAAAGTCTTGCCAGGCGCTGATAATTTTTGGAGACATGTGGCGTTTGGGAGCAGTATGGAGAAAGCAAGAAGGTCGATGTCTGCATCCATCACCTGCACAAACATGTGGCATACTGTGACTGTGTGCATCGGCGTAGAAGCGTTTCAAGAAATGGGGGGGGGGGGGAGTGGCGGGCACGGCATCTTTAGGATCGTCTCCTGGTGACGGAGGGGGGGGGGGGGGAATTCAGACTTTGTCTGCCATCGCACATTTTGGAGATAAATCATTGGGACTTTACGACGTACTCAGCTTCTGGGGCTATATGGCGTCGCATGCCGCTGCCCAAGGCAGGAGCGGCGGGCACCGCGGAAATCAAACTCCGTACCTTTGGATTCCCAGACATGCAGCGGTTAACGCAGACACGTTAAACACTACACTCTCGGCACACTTTTTATAAACAAGTAAATCTCCTGTTGCTGTGCTGCACAGACATCTGCAGGTGTTTTTGGCAATTGAATTATATTCTCTCTTTGACTCATCCATGCCATTCAGCAAACAAAAATACCCAGTTACCTAACATTACTCGTCCGGCTCAGCATTGTTTTCATTGACAAGACAAAATTTTATAACCGGGAGGGTATTTTCGTCATTGGGGGAGGAACATTTGCCTCCACAGCTTTGGCCTACATACCAATGTAAGGACCGGGCACAGATCAGCCAAGATTTTGAATTTACATTCATTTGAAAGTCCCAAGGCTTTTCATAAGCCTGGATCTCGCCGGGCATTGTTTAAGAAATGAGGTTTTGTCACAGCATTTTAAACAGAACAAAATTTGGGAAATTTGGATGCGGCGTGCCAAAAATAAGTTTAGTAAGTAAAGTTTAGGCCCTTTTGGCTCATTCTCGTCTAAGCCGTGATCCAACCCGCAGTAGGCGACCACGGCTCTGGACCGGATGCTCTTTCGGCCACGGCCGCCAGCCGCATGACCGACTGTGAACTGATCGTATTACCGCTTTGTTCCATGTTTTTGGATCAGCACCACTATTCATTATTGTGTAAAGCAGGTTAGACGCCTGTTATAGTGCCTGTTTCCAAATTATTTACCCACGCCTCACACTACAGCTGAGTATGTATAAACATGCGGGAAACTGCTTGTCTCAGACATGAACTAGTCTACCGCGCATCCACTTGCCTCTCCTGCAAGGTAACCGGCTTGGTCCCTTTTTGTTTGCATGATGAAAGAATGCATGTTGTTTAACAGGCTGCGTACCTGTAAGGGCCATGGCAACGTAACCTTGCTGTATTTAGCCTAAGCACGCAGTACCGGGCGCGGCCGCATCACCGGCCGCGACCGTTCACAAACCGTCGACGGCGCGTCCGCCGGCACAGCATCACCGACCCACGCTGGGGTGCGCGCATCCGGAACACACTACAGCACCGTCGACAGTGCACGTACACTGCAATAAAAAGGAAATTCGGTTTCCAAGGAAGCTAGTTTGTGTTCTCGGCCTCCCAGATCAACGCACATCCGGGGCACTCGCACTCTCCAGGCTCCGCGCTACAGGTACCACCACCGTTTTCCAGGGTAGCGATGCCCGTACATCGGCTCGAGACAGCCTAGAGTTGTGAGACAGGTCACCGCCGGAGGTATCTCGCGGCGGTTCTGTCGCAGGTGTCCCCGGCAGGTGCGCGCAGCACAGGAACCGGGGGGACCAGTGGTGACACGGTCGTCGCAGGGATGACCGGGCTCGGAGCGTCTGGCAGAGGCGTGCCCAGGTCGGACACCGCGGCTTGCGACGGTGGCGCCATCTCTGCAGGAGCTGTCCGAGGTACCCCTCGCGGCAGTTTCCTGTGGGCACCGCGATGGGCGGCTACGTCAGCGTCGCCGATTACCTCAGGAGATCCTGCAGATATGCCGTCTAGCCTGCGCCTTATCTGGTCGGTGCGCTGTCGCCAGAGCCCACCGTCCTCTACTCTGACGGCATGCGATATGAGTACATCGGTACAGACGATCTTTCCAACAGCCCACTCTGGTTCCAACACCAAAGTTGCCTGCAAATACAGGACCTGCGACGACAAATTTGCGGTCTTCCTTTACCTTGGGATCGTTGTTGTCCTTTTGGGTCATCTGTTGTACTACCCCCCCCCCCCCCTCCCCCCCTTCTGCATGCCTGGATGCAGCAGGTCCAGCCGACTCTGAGGGCGTGATTGATGTGGTGCTGTGGGGGTGTGGGGTATATGCTGACGGATCAGCCATCGAGGCCGTGCAGTTTCCCATCCCGGTGGGAAGCCAGCTTCACATCACGAACTGTACGCTCAGCAAGACCATTTCCCGACTGTGACAAGGTTCAATCGTTTTATGATGTACACCATTTCCTTGCACGAAGTCTTGAAAGTCCTGAGCTGCAAACAAGGCAACGTTAAGATTGACAATAGTGTCTGGAATTCCCCACCAAGAGAACATTTTTCGTAGTTTTAGAATCGTTGCGCTAGAGCAGACACTTGTGCAGATATCGGCCTCAAGGCAGCTGAAGTCCACGTCCACTACCAACACACGTACCTTCTGTTGGCAAAATCCAGGTGTCCTCGCGTCCAGGCACGGGCAGACCAGAGCCACATGCAAAGGGCAGCACGGTCATGCTCAGTTCTACTCTCCTGGCACGCCTGGCAAGAGCTCATGTTACGATCAATGCCCCTGTCCATGCGAGGCCACCGTGCGCAGCCCATGACAAAGGCTTTCATCCGGCCAATGCGCGGGTGAGTTACATGACGCTCCGCCAAGACAGTCTCACGTGCTTTGCTGGGTATGATAACTCAATAACCCCACATCAGAACACCAGAACAAACAGGTTATTCCAGTCGTTTGGTAGAGAACACGGACAGTTCAGGGTCAGAGCCCTGCAGCCAGCCGGCGTTCTGGGCGCAGTGCATCACTCGAGACAACATCGGGTTACGTGACGTCGGCAGCATAATCTTTTTAGCGTCAACCAGTTCATCACCGACATCAGCAGCAGTACCAGGCTGTTCTCCCGCGATGACGTGGAGTCTGTTGACGGCATCGGCGTTGCCCATCCCCTCCGTGCGGCGACACCGAATCTTGTGCTTGTGTGCGGACAGCTTCCGCTTCCACCTGCGAATTCTGGTAGACGCTTTCTCGGGAAGATCCGCGTGCTCTCCAAAGAGCATCACTAACGGTTTGTGATTCGTCACGGGGGCAAACAGGTCCCCGAACAAGTGCGAATAAAGCTTGCTAACGTCGAACGCGATGGCGAGCGCCTCGCGCTTAATTCGGGAGCACGTGCGCTCGCTTGGCGATAGGCTCCCGGATACGTAATGGCGTCAGGTTCTGACTGATGAGAAATATACCCCGAACAGCATGTCAGAATCGCCGAGAACCTCAAGCTGTTGAACGTTTTCTGACTCCGGCACAGCCTGGATAGGACACACCTTGGCAAACGTTGGTCTGACGGCGCTGCTGTCAATGATGTGTCTTAGATACTCCACGTTGGGGTCCAAGAATTTGCGTTTGGCTTGTCTCACCTTAAGATGAGCTTTCTCCAGACTGGCCAGTACCCCATCCAGTGTTCGGAAATGTTCTTTGATCGCCCTCCAACCGGTCAAGATGTCGTTGAGGTAAGCCGCGACGTCAGGAACCTTAAGCAGCACGTGACCTGTTTCACACACACACACACACACACACACACACACACACACACACACACACACACACACACACACACACACACACACACACACACACACACACACACACACACACACACACACACACACACACACACACACACACACACACACACACACACACACACACACACACACACACACACACACATACACACACACACACACAACACACACACACACACACACACAAAAATCACACAAAATTCACACAAAGCAAATGCGTCCTTTTCCCACACACCACCCAAAAGTGACCTGCTCCTTACTCTCGCCGGCCATTTTTCGACTCCCAAAAAATACACATATTCACTCCTCTTATCCCGTTCTTGAAAACGAGTCCGGCTCGGACGGCTCGATCCGTAGATGGCCCGTTGCTGCTTTGCCGTCTGGCATTCTGCAGGATCAGATGCGCTCGTAACAACGCTTCACCACACAAAAAAAAACTTTAGCCTCGTGGCCGGCGCAAGGGCCAGAGCAACGTGACCTCGCTGTATCGAGCTTCAGCACGCATTGCCGGGCGCGGCCGGATCATCGACCGCGACCGGTTCCAAACCGTCGTAGGCGCGTCCGCCGGCACAGCGTCACCGGCCCACGTAGGGGTGCGCGCATCCGGAACACACCGCAGCACGGTCCATAGCCCACGTGTACTACAGTACCTGTAGCTGTCGAGGCGTTTAGTGTAACCCAGTATTTTAGAAAAAGGGTTGACTATATTTGTTACACAT